CTCTTATCAAAAAATATCATAGTTTACGCTGTATAAAAAATTCAATTGATTAAATGATAAGAAATAAATAAAATTTAAAAATTTCTCGCCATATCTTCACCGAGTGAAAATTCAGTTTTTCAATTTTTCTCTTTAAATGCATTTATGAAAATGCATCGATAGATAGAAATTTTTGATAGGATATGAATTAAAATAAGACTGTTGACATCTAAGTATTGAGATTGGTCAAATAAACATTTTAAATTCTAAACTAAATATTGATCTCACTTATACTTATCGGATCTAAATATTATTATTAACACAGATAAATACTTATCCTCCATGTTAACATAATTACAGTCGGTTAAAGTATCTAATTAAACATAATTTCATTTCAAGAATTGTGCAATTAAAAATTTATGTCATAATAAAATCAATATTTCTAGTTTATGCTTGTTAAATAGGAATGTAATCATTCTAATTTCCTTGCACATTTATTAGTGCTTGCCTATTTTCCAAGTTTATGTTCAGAATATTTTTCCTTATTCTGAAAATATTTTATGAATTTAAACTTCACTCTCATCATACAAAATGATTGTAGCCTTGAACTTTTAGGCTTACTTTTCTTTTTTTATTTTGTTAATTAGATAACAGATTTAAGTTATAGAAAAATTGGTTAATCCTTAGAAAAATTATTCTGGGTCTTTTTATTTGTTCATTTAATTTCGATAAACGTCTTAATCGAAATATTGTTCACAATAAAATGTTGTGATAACTTTTGAACCTTCAATTTTTCTTCAAAATAAAATGTTTTTGTTTGTTTGGCTACATTTCAAGATTCAAAATAACAGCTTAGAATGTTTTCATTGATGGAAAATACAGAAAATGTTTCTCCATCGTGGAAAAAAAAGTCAGAAGAGCCGTCCTATTATAATATAAAAGCATTAAGCTTTCAGCAAAAGCATTTATGAAAACATTGGACCAATGTTTATGGAACATTAAAGTGTTGCCATATCATGTGACCTTAGAAGGGATATGAAAGGAAACACGTGATAACTGAATGTTTCATTGCTGAATAAAACATTGAAATGATTCCTGGGTGGAGAAAAATCATTTCCTGACAGCAGAGAGCTCAGAAGTATTCTAGACGTTCTGAATCCAAAACGCTTTTCTTTTCTGCTCTACTATTTGAAAATTTTATTCATTAGCAAGCAGGAAATCTTTTCTGTGCAGAAAGATTGATTTGTTTTGTTTGCTTGTTTATTTGTACGTAATTTTTGTTCATCGTGTTATATTGAAAAGTTTATTATCGAAAGTTTATTTTGAAGCTTTTCGTGAACAAAAATATTTTTGATAAAGAGAAACTTTAGGAACGGAAAACAGTGATTTTATTTTCGTTACGTTTGAGAAAGGATATTTATTAATTTCCTAGATTGTACATTGTGCTTACGGATTTAAGCTTACAAAGAGTGAGGTAATTAATGTAACATCTAATGAATAAAAACCATTTTTAATTTGTTAATGAATATAACCTGACACTGCGTGGCTCCGTTTCAAGTTTAATAAATAATTTTTCTATATAAGAATCTAGTGAACGTTTCTTCAAAAAGGTTTTGCATTGAACGGAGGAAATTCAATGCAAGTTTATATATCTATTTACAAACACAGTCAAACTTTCGTCCTACGCTTGGTCTATATATACAAACCAATTTGAGTTCCATTTATCGCTTTAGGAAAGATGACATATATGAAGAATGCTCTTTTTGTGTCTCGTGATTTTAAATTTAGAAAATACTCTAAAGACGAAACAATAAAATATTCATAAAATCGAAGCCATGTGAACTCAAGGTTGAGCTTTTAATAGATACAAAATTTTTGCCTGTAGGTAAGATTAAGATTCTTCTGGATCATAAAAATTGCGAAGAAGAAATGTTTAAAATTTTCCATACAAACTTGTTTCTTCTTTTAAATTGCTTTTCGATGTTCAGATGTTTATAGAAGGTTAAAATTTCTTTTAGATTTCCCAAAAGAAAATTCTTCCCTGCCTTTGAGCTAAGCTTTTAAGATTTTTTTTATCAAACAAATGTTTTCAACTTTTTAATAAACTCAACCTTTTTCCTAAGGAAAATAACACGAAAAATATATTTTTGTTAATCTTGGTTTTGGAAGGATTCTTTACAAAAATATATTTAAACGCGAACATTAATTATGTTTGGGGTCAAAGAACGTTGTTGAGCATCGTAAGAAAAAACTTAGCCAATAATTTGAAGTTTTTTATTTATTTTTTTTTACCGGCCAATTCTCATAGTCAAGAAAATTAATCGGCGAAGGCTTAACACAAAGTTAAAAACTGTTGCCTTAGTGATTCTCATATTGATTCCTATTAAAAAATTGAAGATCTCTGCCTTTACAAGCAATCAAACAAGTTGCTATGAAGAGCTTTTGTTTACATTTCGTCGACTAATTGGTAGCCAAAATTATTTTCGCAACTAATTTACTCAACAAAAATTTCGCACAGCAACTGTTTGAATGTTAGCTGCAGCAAAGAAAAACAAACTATTTTGTCGACTTTAGTCATTTTATCTCAGGTTATTTTGTCAATAACATTCAGTGCTTGGGGTGATGAGCAAGTTTAATTTTCTTTTTCTTTCGTTTTTAATTAAGGGAATTTTCTTTTCGTTTTAATAAACTAAAATTCATGGTCAGCATAACATTTCTATATTCTTACCCAGTCAAAAGTAAAGTGGTTTTAGTTGCGATCAATCATGACCTTAATCAATTTTTTTTAAATTCTGACAAGTTGTGGTCGTACGATTGGAATGTGATAAAATTTCAAGTGCATGAGCAATACTTAATCGAATTAGATTTCATTTTCTATTTCGAGTTCGTTTATTAAATTTATAACAGAAAATCTTTACAAAGTTGAAGCCTTTCAAGTACATTTTTAAAAATTTCAGATATTTAAACTTGAAATTTTAATCGATAACTTATCACCTGATTTTGTTCTTCCAAGTTAATAAATCTGTCATATCATCCCACAAATATTTATTCACACTTCAACTATAAATAGAAATTGCTTATCTATCATTTACGAGTTAGCAGACAGAGTTAAACAATTAAACTTGTCTGTCGCAAATGCTTTTACCAGGAGGTGGCATGATTTTGTAATTGATTGAAATGTTTGAATATTCCAATTTTAGTTTATTTAAGTTTTCGTTATAATTAGAATTGATAAAGATATTTTTACATTTTTAACAGGGTGAAAATGCTGACGAAAATGAAGCTGTACTCGATGAAGAAATGGCGAAAGTATTCAATGCATCAAACATTGCTAAATTTGATGTTCGAAGACTATCAGAAGTGAAGCCACCGAGTAGTAGCAAACTTGATTCCGAATTTCAACAATCGCCACAAGCTCACGCGGCAAAACAATATAATGAACAAGATTACGATTGTAAGTTGGAAGTACGACATTTTTGTTTTTATTTACTGTTTTTATCTCCAACAATTTCATTATCACAACATAACAGCACATCGTACAAAAGCATATCCGCAACCGTATGTTCCAATTAAAGCTGCTCGAAATATGAATCGACAACCGTCTAAAGACAGTAAAAAAGAATCAACAGAAAGCCCGACATCACCTATTAGTGTCGTTTCTGACTCCGATGGCAATGACGTCGGATCAAGACCATCGAATTTTTCATCTTATGCCGATTACACATCACGTGATGTCAGTGAAAATATTGACGATGAGGAACCACCCCCACTTTCAGAACGTATTGCGACTTATTATGACGATGACGTAAATTAATATTTCATTTTCGGAAGTAATTTCTGTTACTAAAGTCTCTTCACTACTTTTTTATTCTACAGGAAAGTGCAAAGAAGGTACAATTCAATAAGGATAAAGCCAAAAGGAAACAAGAGCGAATCGATGACGATGATGATGATGAAGACAGACGACGAAGAAAAGAGTGAGTTTATAAATACAATTTTGAATTTAAGTTATCAGTTTCTATATTCATCAATAGACGTCAATATCACTACAAGAGCAGAAAATATTCTCTGCAAGAATATAACCTTGACCCCCGTCGTGCAGCTGCCACTGAGAATGGAGGAAGAAAAATTTCCATTCAACCGGAAGATGCAACTTTAGAGGAAGCTGACTTGGATGACTTGAATTCACATCGTTCTGAAGATCCCCGAGGAATGCGTCGTCCAAAGACAGGTGGTGGCAAAGGCGAACAATATTTACAGAACATTATTGCGGCAAATAAACGAAACCAAATTGATCACAGTCCACATGAGGTTTTTGTTCAGCTTGATGAATTGCACGGTGCTGGAGAAGATAGAGAATGGAAAGAAACGGCTCGTTGGATAAAATACGAGGAAGATGTTGAAGAAGGAGCAGATCGTTGGGGACGACCTCATGTTGCTTCATTATCATTTCATTCCTTGTTGAACTTGAGACGTTGCCTTGAAACTGGTGTAGTGTTGATGGACCTTGATGAAAAGGATTTGCCCGGCGTAGCTTATCGAGTCGTAGAACAGGTAACATAATATAGAAACTTCATTAAAAGCCTTCATGCCTAACTAAGTTTTTTTGATTAATATTAACAGATGGTGGTAGAAGATTTGATACATTCCGACGATAAAGCGGCAATTATGAGAGCTCTTCTTCTTCGTCATCGGCATGTGAACGACCATACTCATGGGAGCTTTCATTTTGGTTCGAGAAGAAAATATAGCAGTTATAGTAGCTTACAGGTGAGAAACTTTTTGAAATTTACATTAAAAAATTCTTTTTGAAGTCTCAGTTAATGAACAGAAAATCTCCAAATTTGAAACTTTTTTAAACCTTTGAAATCTTACGTTTGAACGTAACAAAAGCTGCTTAGAAACGTTTAAACTTACGTAACATAACGTAGAGTAAAAAAGATTTAGCATTACGTACGAATGTATCATAACGTTGATACGTTATTATTGCATACCTTTACGTACTACGTACAGAGCTCAATTTTTTTCCACCAACAATATTTACGTAGATAAGAATCAAGGTTGATAAAAAGAATTTCATCCATTAACATTCAATTAATTCGGAAATTATCTTGATTTGAAAGCAATAAGAAGTGAAACTAATTGAACAACCCCGGAATTATAATAAATTAAGATTTATCTTGTGTAATAAGACCGCAAAGTGAATATTAATGAAAATTTGTGGTATCTTTTCTGAGCCAACACATCTTGTAATTATTGAAAGTTTCTATATATCTAATTATGCCTTCGAAATAAGAAACTCTTGACTTCTATGTTGAAGTAAAGCTTTTAATTAAACCACCCACAAGCATCTGTAAAATAAAATAAAAGTAGGATGAAAGCGCTTGAAACATGAGAACAAAATGTTTCTAGAAAGATGTGCTTAATATACAGCAGACATAAAATTAGACGCTTTATCATTAAGTCTTTTTAACTAAGAATAATAAGACGAAAAACAAGAAGGCAAAAAATTACTTAACTTGAATTACTTGTATTTATAAATGTCTCCCTTATTTTTTCTCAATTCTTAATGTGAAATGCAAAATGTATTTCATCAAATAAACTTGCAATTTAAATTCGAAAGAATTTTTACTAAAAATCATCCATTTCTTAGTTTCTAGCTAGTTTCTAGCTCTCGTGCTATACGTTATATTTCTCTTCCAAAGAATAAACAGAAGTGGCGAATATTAATTAATTAATGAGAAAATTATTTAAGCAGATATCTAATTGAAAAGATAGCAAAATCTTTCTCCCATTTGTTTAACTTTTTAATTACATTTTTTAACCAGTTTAATGTTTTATAGAATTTACGGTTTCGACTTCGAAATGATGATCAGCAGCATTTTATTTTTGTTGAAGATTCAATGGTAAAAAGTCAATAAATTATATGCTTTCGCTTAGATGCATAAAAGAAGCAAATAATGAGCTAGAAAAGCTTTTCGTATAAAAATTGAGTACTTATATGTTTGCTAAAATTTTTTCGCCTTATTAATATTTAACCATAGAAGCTTTAACAAATATTTACTGAAAGACATAAAGTTAATACCCGGTCGATATCATTTATTGTTTGTGTTTCGTCCTCTTACAATATATGAAATCATTCGAAATCAACAATAATAATTGAATTGTATTCTTGACAATGAATTTCATGTCGTAGCACTCTAAATCGATCGATAAAAATATGTTTTAGTAGTTCAAAGAACAATCAATAACTTTGTTGTTTAAAAGCAAACATTGAGTGAGATAACAGCTTGATCACAAAATGTAAACGTTGTTGAAAGCAATCGAAACCATATCTTATTATGTAGTCGATACTATCTTTTGTGAACTGACTGCGTAAATATGTAGATATGGATTTTTCACCGATTCACATACATTATGTATGTTCTTGCTTTCGTCACTCAGACAAACTCAGTCAGAATATAAATCTTCTCAATTGTGAAATCATTAAAGAGAAGGAAATATAATTGTAGGTAACATGTACGTTCGTTTGAAGGCATCAAGCCTGAATAAATTGTTCTGATATTTAGTTACATTTCCAACACCAAATTTCATTCTATTTTCGTGCTTTCAATGGAACGGTAATGTAAACACATTCAGTCATTCTGCTGTGAAGATTTGGAATGTAAAAATGCTCAGCATCAAAATTTCCCTGCTGCTTGTCGTCGAAGCTACATCATGTCCAATATTCTTAACAACAATAACAATAGAAGCCGCAATCCGAGTCGAAACGGTTCATTTTGCCATCGGCCTAGTATAGCCATAAATCACGGTATTCATGCTCGAAGAATAGCACAGCTGCTTCTTAGTCCTACAGGAAGTTCACTACCATCTAATGAATGTACATCTTGTCCACCCCGAAGAGAGTCAACAATATCTGAAGTGGTTTGTGTTCATCCTAAAATACTTAACATGATCGTTCAAAAAATGATGTTAAAAAATTTATTTTAGATATATTTCAGTCAATGTTAATTTCTTTTCATTTCTATCTTGGGACATTTCATGCTTGTTAAAGCAGAAACCAAATCTTAACATTAAATACAGATTTCTAAAATTCTTTTATAGTTTTCACACGAACATTATTAACTTAAATGTGGAAAAGATTTTATCATTTCATGAGTAGCTAAAAACAAACTTTAATAAGTTTCGAGGGTGTAGACTTCGGTTTATTTATGAGTTTATTTCTTTGTTGTTTTTTCCCTTTTCTTTTGTTCAAGGCAGCACAATCTTCAGAGGATATTTCAGCAATCCCACATTTCTCGCCACCCGAACAACAAACTGTATTTGCCATTGCTTTTCGAAACGGTCTCGTACGTACCTGTTGAGTTTCTGAAAATTTTGTCACTAATTTCATGAGAGAAAATTTATTCCACAAAGCTTTCGTATACATAATTTCAAAGGTCTTTCCAATCACCTTTTTATTTCATCTACACTTTTACTTCTTTCTTAAGCTTAAATTGATGCTGATACTTATCAACAATGAGAAGACTCTTCATCACAATATCATCAACGAAAACAATCATTTATAATGGTTGCTTTTATCACATCGTTTTATCGTCACGAAAATAAACCAAACTCGAAAGCTTTTTCTATGTCATGCGATATTTTTTTATGCTTATTATGATTTTTGTTTTAGTCTTTAGGTTTCATACTTATACTTTTCGTATAGATAAATTTAATATTGATTTTTGTGTGCTGTGATATCAAATATTTATGTTTTAAATTACATTTCGCAAAATACTTTTGTCAAAAGATGCTTTTTTTTTGCTCTGCTTACATAGAATCTTCATTAAATTTGAACGTTTATTTACCTTCTCAGAATGTCAGCGATGAAAGAAAACGAAGTGGAATTCTGGGTGGAAGTGAATTGAACAACAGCACACATCATAGAAATGGTAGCAGTGGTGATACAAAAATCGATATAAAGGAAGAAACAACCTACACATCGTCTCAAGAAGATTTAAAACGAGCACAACATGATTCAATATTAAAGAGAATCCCAACTAATTCTGAAGCAACAACAGTTCTGGCAAGTCTTAAGAAGAATTTCTCTCATTATTGAAATAATAATTTAAACGAATGTCAACCTTTATCAAGGTCGGTGCTGTGGATTTTCTAGAACAACCAACAATAGCTTTTGTTCGTCTTGCCGAAGGATGTATGATGCCGGCAATAACGGAAGTCCCAATTCCAGTGCGGTTTTTGTTTATTCTTTTGGGACCAAAAACTGCTGACTTGGATTATCATGAAGTCGGTCGTTCGATTGCAACATTAATGAGTAATCGACACTTTCATAACATCGCTTACAAAGCTGACGACCGACGAGAGCTTTTGTCAGCAATAAACGAATTCTTGGATGATTCCATTGTACTTCCACCGGGTAAGAAGAAGCAATAAAATTAATTTCCCTTCAAAGATGAAGTAAAGAAAAAATAATTTAATACGTTTTATTAGGCAAATGGGACCGAGAACAACTTTTACCTTTCGAAGAACTCAAAGCAAAAAGGTAAATTGAAAGTGAAAATGCTTCACTTATAAAATAAAAATAAATTTCTAATAATAAATCAGATTTACTGTGAAACGTTAAAGCTTTTTTTTGCAAATGATGTTTGTTGCTGACATTGAAAAATATTTTATAATTTACAAACATTAATCGTGGGTTTGCTAAGAAGAAATTGAACAAAAGTGACTAAGCTAAGCATGAGAAAAAAGATCTTAGCTAATCTTAAGTCTTTTAAGCTTTTCGCTTACTTATGAAAAAAGCTGTAAGAAAAAGCTGAATCATGTTCCATAATTCTCTTTTCATATCAAAACCTTTTTCTTTCTTCTTTTTTTTGTTTCACAGTGAAATGATTCGGTCAAGAAAGAAGAGAGCATTAGAACAAAAGCTTAGAGAAAAGCAGCCTCTGACAAGTGAAGAGGAGAAAAAACTTCTTGCTGATTCTGATGGCGATGGAAAGAAACCACCAGATGATCCTTTACAACCAACAGGTCGTTGGTTTGGTGGCATGATTAACGACATCAAACGACGAATGCCAATGTACAAAAGTGACATCAAAGATGGTTTGAATACGGAAACTTTAGCAGCAACATTGTTCTTATATTTTGCTGGCTTAGCAACTGCCATCACGTTTGGTGGTTTAGTTGGATCAAAGACAAGAAACTTGATTGGAATTTCAGAGACTCTCGTATCAGCATGTTTTGTCGGAATGGTTTTCCATGCATTTTCATCACAACCTCTCGTATTTGTTGGCTGCACTGGTCCACTCATTCTTTTCGATGAAGCTTTGATAAAGTTCTGTGACACGAATCCAGATTATGATTACTTGGTAGTTCGATTGTACGTTGGTTTATGGTTGACAGTCATTGCATTGACAGTCTCGGCATTCGAAGGAAGTGTCTATGTACGATTATTTACAAGATTCACCCAAGAAATCTTTTCTGCACTCATTACTGTGATTTACCTTGTGGAGACAGCATTGAAGTTGGTTGTCACGTACCAACGTCATCCCTTGCTTTCTGAATATCAATACAAGAACATGTCTCGATTTGAGAAAACTACTCCAATTCCATTGTTGAACAGTTCTTTAAATGAAGTTGATGCATCGTTCAATGATAACACGACAGACTTTATTTCATCAACTCTTCAAACAACAATGTCTACGATAGCAACATCGCTTGGGATTACGTCTGAGGGTTCTAATTTATTACCTCCATTTGATAGTGATAACCGACCAATCAATCAACCTAACACTGCTCTTTTCTGTACACTTTTAACTCTCGGTACATTCACCGCAGCTTATTCCTTGAAGATTTTCCGTAATTCGAAATTCTTGGGTCGAAATGCTCGTCGAGCCCTCGGGGACTTTGGAGTTCCAATATCAATTGCTGTTTTCGTTATTGTTGCAAATATTGTTCCGCAAGTTTTCACCGAGAAATTGAATGTTCCTGATGGTATATCACCAAGTGAACCTTCACAGCGTGGGTGGATAATTCCTTGGACACCGAAAAAACCTTACATACCGTTTATGGCTCTAATACCAGCCCTACTTGTTTACATTTTGATTTTCATGGAGACACAAATATCCGAATTGATTGTAGGAAAGCCAGATAGAGGCTTAAAGAAAGGAAATGGCTTGCATTGGGACATCAATTTGTTGTGTTTCTGTAATACAATTTGTGGTATATTTGGCCTTCCATGGCATTGTGCAGCTACAGTGCGATCAGTGACACATGTTTCAGCTGTTACTATCATGTCAACGTAAGTTTTAAAGTTATCAACTTGAGATGATGAATTAATAAACTTTTTTCACAGTAATCACGCTCCAGGCGATTCCCCAAAAGTTGCTGATATAAAAGAACAAAGATTGTCAGGTTTTTTCGTTTCTCTGATGATTGGCTTGTCAATATTCGCTTCATCTTTGTTAAAGAAAATTCCAATGTCGGTTCTATTTGGAATATTCCTTTATATGGGTGTTTGTTCAATGATTGGAGTTCAGTTCTTTGAAAGGTGAATAATTGTTTTCCACTAACGTTGTTTTACTATTTGCTTAATGAATTTAATTATCATATTTAGAGCGAGACTTTTCTTCATGCCGGTTAAGCATCACGGCACCGCACCTTTCGTAAGACGTGTGCCGACATGGAAGATGCACGTCTTCACGACAGTTCAAGTATTGGCTTTAGCGATGCTTTGGACTGTAAAGTCTTCATCATTCTCCTTGGCTTTTCCTTTCTTCCTTATTATGATGGTGCCAATCAGACAACAGATGGCACATGTTTTCACTCCATTGGAGCTAAGAGCGGTAATTTAATTCTGTTGAAGTTTACTAAAAAAAATTCTAATCTCATTGTTTGTTGAAAACAGCTCGATGGAAGTCAAGCAAAACCAATTGATGATGACGAACCGGATTTCTACGAACAAGCGCCTTTGCCAGCATAAATTATGTTCAGCTCAATTTATTCAAAACATAAATCTTCATTATGTTTTGTAATGAAAACTTTATTTCGATTATTTTAAAACAAGCAATTTTAGGATATAAAACAAATTTTAGATTAGAACTGTAAAAATTATGTAACTCAACTTAGATAGACTATCAGCGTCTTTAAATGATTGATTCACAAAAACGAAACTAAAACGATGGACTTATGAAAAGTGATTAGAATGAGGAATAAAATATATTTTTTCTATATTAAAACCTTCAAAAAGCAGCTTCAGAATTATATTTTCCCTGACAAATGTTGAAAAATAAATTATTTATTAGCGAAAAGACAAAAAATCTATTTTATGAGAACAGTTTTAAAAAGCTTTTATGTACAAGGTGCAAAAAAGCAGCTCAAATAACATGCGACAATGAAAAACTTAAGAAATATATTTTTGACTTCATTAAAATTTCGTGCTGTTATGATCATGACTTGAAGAACTTTTAAGAGAAAAGAATGAAAATTTGAAAAAAAAAGTTCAATTATCTAGAAGAAATTGTTTAGACTGTAGCAACGATTACTTAGTGGCACGTTTCAAGAATGGCCCTTGATAAAGTTATAAACGTTAAAAAAAATTTAATTGTTTGCATTATCGTTACAGAAGATTCATTATAAATATAGAAAATTAAAACTGTTTCAGAATTAATGTAAATCAATTAAAAAATCAATCAATAAAAGAAAACCTAGGAAAGATAATTAATGCGTTCTTATTACAAAGGATTCATAATCATCAACAATGAAGCAAATGGCCCCCCTTACAAAGGATTAATTAAATAATGTTTTAATATACTTAGCTCAACATTTTATTAGAAGTTTATTTTTCAGTGTTCCAACATGCATAAAAGTGTAAATTGAATAAATTTAAGAATATCAAATTGACTTCAATTTTCCTTGTTCCTCATGAAGTTAGCTGAAGATTCAAAAATTAATTTCAAATATTTTTTCCGTTACGGAAATTAAAACGATCGTTCTCTGATCGCAATTCTTCATATCTTCGTATTTATTTATAAACCAAACCATTTGTTCGTATGAAGAGGTAATATGTTTTTGAGATTGCGTGTCTATTTGCAGCGTGTTTGTCGTTTTTTTTTCATTCATCGTTTGTTTTTTTGTGTAAAGTATTTCCTGAGGTGATCCATCGATTTAATATCCATCGATCGAAACACTATTTAATAAAATAATGAATAAGAATTTCCAAATTTATGAATTTCTTCATATTTTTTTCATTGCAAATTATTTAAAAATATTTTTGACACAAAACATTCTTAAAATGTGAAAATAATTTAAATATTTCAAACAATGAAAATCACAAGATTAAATATAAGTAGGTAGGAAGATGACGAAAAATAATTGTAAAACATAACGCGAATCATATGAAAATCAGAAAATTAGCCATGAAAACCGAAATCACGCGAAGCTATTTATATTTTGAAAATATTTTCATCTGATAAACGGCTTCGGTCAGTGATAAAGCATTCGTGAGACGGTCGTGCGATGATCGTGTGATGATCGTGAAAAGTGCGGAAAATCTTAGAAGAAAAAATTTTCACGAGCCAGTTTCGAGCGGACCTTTGAAAAGTGCGGAACCAAAGAAAAAGTTTTAAACTTAATTCAATTGAGAAGAAGAAGAAAATTTTCTATTTTTATCTTTTTTCTCCCCAAGAAAAATCCTTTTTCGCGGCCATTTTCACACTTTTCTCGAACATTTAAAGGATTTCTTGGATGTTGTCCGCAGTTTGAACGAATAGAATTCTTTTCAATTAGAATTAATTTAATTATTTTCGGTTTAATAATATCCCTTTCAAGATACGATGATTTGTTCGCGATTCAAATCGATAGCAACTTTAGCTCTAATTTTCCTTACGCTTTTCATAACTCCTTTATATGTGGAATGTGGAAGTAAAAAAAGTTCATCATCAGCAGCGAGTGCACATGAACCAACGATCGAAGAAGTCAATGCTAAGCAATTAGAAAGGATCTTAAGTGAAAAGGAGTATGTTGCTGTTTATTGGTGTAAGTTGTTACAATTATTCTTCAATCAGTGCATCAAACACCCACCAAAATGGATTACAGTGATAAGAAAATAGTACATTGGAATAAAGTTGAAGATATCATAAAGTTTCAAATGAAATTGAAAATTTTCTCAAACCTTACGTAATGTGAAAAATTTTAAAAGAAAAGTACCGAGTTTGTGTGTATGTGGTGAAGGAAAAGATAGAAAAAAAAGATGAAATAAAAAGAAATTCCTCATTTACAAAAGAAAAGAAAAATATATAAGAGATATCTTGACTTAAAGTTCAAGAATCAAAAAGAAAAGTCAATCAAAGTTTGAAAAAATAAATAAAATAAAAAAGGTTTTTAAAAGTGAAAATATTCCAGCAAAAGTGAACAGTGAATATTAAAGTTGTGTCCTTGATACGGAACCTTGAACTAGATTATTGATTTTTAAGAGTATCTGCACCGAATCGTTTACAACAAAAGGAAATTGAACCTTGAATTTCTATCATTCTCTCCTACCACAAAATGTATCAATGATATGATAAAAAAGCCAAGAAGAAAAGTCAATATAACTCTGTTTGACTTTCCACGACAAAACAATATCACGCTCCATTCTTCATCCACCTTTTGTTATTTCATTTTAATTCTTCGTTTTCTGTTGGCATCTTTATTTAGATAGCCCAGCTCAAAATTGTTTTTTTTTCTTTTTATTTTTCAAACAATGTGTACCGAGTTATTTGAAGATATTTCTCGCCGATTTTCAGAGAACGAATGAATAAAAAACTGAATAAAATCTTGTCGAGGTGAGAGGCGATGACTTTCCTGTTGTCTGCTTATGAAAAGAATTTTCTTCTTTCTCTGTTTAATTAAACGGTGAACTTGTTTTCAGTGACCATGTATTTTTGAATGTACATAAGAATGATTATTTGGATTCTATTTTCATTCACTAAAGTTGTTGTTGAAGTGTTATTAATTATTAAAATATTTTGACACATTCTTCTTCTCACAATTTCGATGCATTACAAATTTGTTAATTTACATGAGAAAATTACTTGAGATTATCAGATGGATTTCATTTAATGAAATATGAAATTATGTTCTAGGACTTCTATCGACATTTCTTTTCGTATTGAATCTTCATCATAATAAATTATATTTTGTGTCTAAATTTTCCAAACCGTTGTCAAATCAACAGAATTTCTTTCTTATGATATATGGAAACATGTTCAACAACACTCAAAATGACAGTATAAATATCAGAATAAATATTTCATTGACAAAAAGCACTTGGCAACACTGTAAGACATCAAATAAAGGAAGCATAAAAGCAATGTCAAACATAATGAAAAATATTCAGCCGCATGTGGCATAAAGTGAAAATTTTGTGGGAAAATTCACGATAAATAATTTTCACAGACAAATTCAATGTTTCTACAACTTATTATTAATAAGCAATTAGTAAATTTTGAGTACATATTTTATTTATGCTCACTTGACGATGAGAAACAGATGCAGATCACTAATTTTTACAAAGTAGTCTCTCGTGTACTTTAATTATACGAAATACGATATAAAACTTTATGACAAATTTTTAATGCTAAGCTTATACGAAGCTTAAAGTCGTTTCTCATCATTATCTCATCCGAATCTTTATTCTCTTGCCAAATGACCAAATTCATTTCTGAGGATTAATTTTACAAAGAAAATAATCTTTTAATCATGTTCCGTCGTTGTGGAATGTAAATTTAAATTTTTTAACTTTATTTGTCCCATGATTTTCAAAGTCTTGTCAAGACTTTTGTTTTACAAAAGAAACAAAGTTTTATTGAGTGAACTTTCATAGACTCAAACGTAATTTAATTAATTATCTATGTAGGTGTTTTCCAAAGTCATCTCAATGATTTTGCTTTGCTATTATGAATACAGAATTAATATTCAAATATTTTCATAATTATAAGAGTATTAAGTAAATTTGCTTAAAACCAATTGTCTTATCAAATATTCAGAAAACTGTTTTACATAATTATGAAATGAATATTTAGTTGGAATAGAAATTAATAAACAATAAGTTTGCAAAGTTTTATTTAAGATCAAGAGTGGAAAATATTTCTAGATCATCAATCTCAAAGTTTGTTCCATGACTGCTTTTTGGATTGATAACATTAATAAGAAAAGTTTCAATAGACTCTGAAATCGAAAATCTGATGTTGTTTGACATTGCAACCTCAACTTTCCTGCCTCGAAATCAAAAAGCGTATGTTGGGATGCTTATTGATTTCAATTTTAATCAGGCGGACTTATAATTTAGATATTTCAAAGCTTAGCAATCATATCACAAAGGTTATTCAACAGTCTTTTTTAATTAAATTCATTCCCTTCAAACTTTTGGGTTTCCCTATTTAAACAATTAAATTCACCTTCAGTTTCACCTTGTTTTCTAATTAAAAAATATTTTTTCTTATTCATTTCTCGAAAATTTCCTCATGGCTTTTTTAATTCACTTTCTTTCCTTAAAATTTTAAATGGTATGCTCAGATGGATAAATGTAAAGGTCGATATATCTTTTACTCTCTGATGCTTGTTTTTGGCAACTATCGTTTGTTCAAAGAGAAGTTTTTCATTCAGGAAGACTCTTTCATATGTTCTGAGGGGATTTTCCTTTGCTGTCAAATTAATCATATAAAAAGTTATTTAAAGCTGAACTGATTTTCCACTCTTGCTTCCGTAATTAATACTGAGTCTGAAACTGGTCTATCAGTAAATATAATTTCGTTTTATATTATTTGAAACTTAGTGATGAGAGAAATGATTAAACCCACACTTTGTTTACATATCAGAATTTTTATTCAGATTTTTAAAGATATTAACTTTATTACATTTCAGTGATTAAACTGTAATGAGTAAGAAATCTCAAGTCGAGGGGAGCTTAATAGACTGAATTATTAATGTTGCAAATCAATAAGGTCAACGCTATTCGAGCAATTTCCTCAACTTGTTCCCTCTCATCTGATTACTGAATTTTCACATGATAATTAGAAATTTCTAAATTCTTACTACACTGAAAACTTTCTCTGCATTAGTCATTAAACATAAACATTTTGACAGTCTTTTCTAGCATTAATTTTACGATCTCATTCATGAAATTTTTCTACTTATCGACCGGTAAATAAACTTTGGCAACACAGCATTGAACGTTTTAAAATTTTCTTTTTTAAGAAAAAGTATAAATAAAATTTTAATGAAACAAAATGTTTGGCAGGGAACATTCCGAAAGTCTACACCCACTATTCTCAATACGTAAGGCATTTTATTGCCATTTGGAAGAAACTAAGAAATTATCAACAAAAGAAATCTAAAAATAATTTATTCCGTATTGACGTTTTCCATCGCGTAATTTTTCTTCGAGGAAAACTCTCTTTAAAAGTGATTAAAATTTATGATACCACATTTTAATAATTTCGATTAGTGAATACTTAGAAGTTCGTTTCCAATGAAATATGAGATGAGCATCGTCAATTTCTTAAAAGACTTGGGTTCAGTTGAAAGCAATTTGAGACATAAAAAAAGCTATAAATATGTTTCATGAATGAATTCTGCTTACAAATAATAATGGGGGTAAAACAGATATGAAATATTCGTAAAATTATATTGTTCTGAAGATTTTACATGAAGATTTTTCAAAGAGATTGAAAACCTTTTATTGATCGTTATTCTAGCTGGTCATTAATCTATTTGTATTGTAAACTTTTTCGAAATCTTGTTTTGGAGTTTTCCACCTGTTCAATAGTTAGTATAAAATTTTCACATAAAAATCTACAGATTTGACCTTGAATAAACGCCCACACTTTGACTATTAAACCATTTTAAGAAATTCTGTTTTAAGAACTTATTGAAGAAAACAAAATTAGAAAATTTTCTCGCACTTAAAAATTGGAGTTTTAATTTAATGTTTTCGTATATTTTTAAAATCACGCCTAATTTTTTATTCAATTTCACTCACTTGTTGCATATCGATTGTTTTCAACTCAAAGGAACATTGCATTTTAAACTTTCTAAGTCTAAGATATTTATAGACACGAAAGAAACAAAACTGTTTTCGAGATCATTACAACACGAGAGTTTACATGTGTACGCCAAGCTATTAATAGAGATTGTACTGAAATTTTAACAGAACGAAACTGTCAGTAAAGGCGAGAAGTAAAGTGATGAAATCTCCAATGCAAACTGTAATGAATGCTAGTTTATAATTAATTGATGTAGTGTTGCGTTGAATCATCAATCAGTATATAAATCTATGGAATTAAGTAATCAATTATGTACTAAATAAATTGTTAACCTATTTTGAAATACTGTGAGGGAAACACATTAACTGAAATTTAAATTTGTTCTTCTTCAACTTTCTCCACATAATTATGAACCGTGCAATGAAATGTAATTTGATTTATTAGACTTATTGAAAAGAAAATTATAAAACAATAAACACTATAGTGAAACACCAGACAGAAAATGCAAGGATCAAAAGTTTTATTCAGTGAAAAGTGTTTTTGTTTTCAATTTAAGAAATTGGAAAAATAATTAAGTTGTGCTCATGCATATGTCGTTTTTGTAGATGCCAGAAGTTGTGTAACGTGTGATACTGTATTAGAAGAACTCGAAAAAATCGACGATGACACCGACGCATTTGGCGTGGATTTTGTGAAAATTAATGATAAGAGATTAGCAAAACAATATGGAATCCATAAATTTCCAGCACTTACTTACTATAGGTGAGATAGAAATTTAAGAATGAATTTAAAATTAAAACTTTTACATTTAGATACAGAAATTTACTCAATCAGTGATATTTATTTCTAACGTAACGTAGTACATACGTTTCTCTCTACGTTTTTCATTATTACGTTACGATTGTTTTCAACTTTACATATTACGTTGCGTTACTTAAACTGAGTATTAAACGGAGAAAAAACTTGTGACATCAAAATGATGTCTATCAATTCCATTACAACTTTCCTTGGAATAATTTTTATTCTTCAAGTAGACGATTTCAATTCATAAATATTTCATATAAGATTTCATCGGAAAAACTTTTTCCCCTTGAACGAAACGACATTGACTTCACATAAGCTACTCAGCTGTACTTAGGAAGTAGAAAATTTCTTATTTTATATTATTTTCTTGACAACAAGCTTTGAAATAAGTTTTATTGAGAAGTTCTAAAATATTAAACTCTTCAAAAAAAAAGATTTGACAATCAATCAATGTCTTTAGGGAGAAGCAACCAATCATTTACGAAGGAGATCTCATGGATGAAGAGGGAGTTTTGGATTTCTTGACATCATTAGAAGCAATGGACTTACCTGACCGAATTGAAGAGGTCAATGGAAAGATTTTAGCAAAAATCATCGAGGATACAGATTATTTAGCTGTCTTATTTTGTGAGTACTATTGCATCAAAATTCTTTAATTTAACTTATCACGGCATTTCCAAAAAAAGAAGAATTCAAATATCCGACCAAATTTTTCTATAAAGCAAAATGAATAAGATAAGAAAATCATTTCATAAATAATTAGGTCCGGATCATGGTAATTGTGGACATGGATTGTTAAGTAAGTCGATGAAAGTATCTCTGTTTAATGCATCGTGCTAAGCCGCAAAAAGATTAATGTGCCGAATGTATCCATAGTCCTATGTAGAAAAATTAATGTTTAACCGAAGTTTTAACAAATCTTGTTTGGGTGAAAATGCCCTCCACGCATATCTAAATCATGATTAAAGAGAAACAAATGTAGAAAATTACCCCATGCATAAACACCTTCCTTTTTCATTTTTGCAAGCTGTCAACATAAGCTGCTTAGGTAGATGTTCATGGAAAAGATTTTTTTTCCTTTTTAAAACTTTGTACGTGACCCTGTTGATTTAAGAGAAGCTGCTTAAATACTTGCAAGTTTCAAACCAAAAAGTTTTCACAATCATCGATGTTCTTTTTATTTGTCATTTTGTATCCTTGATATTCTTTCCAATAGATTTTCATTCGTAGTCAATTAGAATTATTCGAAATAGAACCTTTACGTGTGTCTCAATCAATTTTATTTTGTGTTTATACCCGAAAGATTTCTTGCTGTTCATCAAATTAGTCCCATTGCAAACCCAAATAAGCATGACACAACTAATCATGATTAATTTCAAAGTGAAAGCCATTTCAATCAATTGGAATCATTAATGATTCTTTTAGGATTATTTTGTTCTTAAAAACAACTCAAAGACTGATTCTATTTTTTTAACTTGTAGGTGTTTCAATGAGGTTTGTCCCATTCACTGACTTTCTTTCTCTCTACCACTCTTTCGAAAGTCTGGCTGATGCCCAGAAAATGAGAAAAGAAATCTTCCATTTCAACCACGTTTACAAGAGGAAATAAAATAACTTCTTCTTCCTCCATAAACTATTGCAAAACTTTGATTAAGTTAACTCAACTTTCTTCTATTGATGTTGTCTTCAATTTTCCTTTAATTAAAACTTTTGCTGAATATATAATTAATTTAATTCTACATGGAAATTCTAATTTAATGAATTGATATTTAATTCTGCCTCTCACTTCTTCTCAAGCATGTGTAAAAACTTAATCTTACAGAAAGCTGCCAACTTTTTAATGCAGTGCAATGAACTCAAAAGCTTTTTTAAGCTTCTGCTGTAAATAAAATTCTCTTTAAAGTTTAAACAAAACTTCGTTTCAAATATTTTCCTGAAAGATATGCAAATGTAACAAGCAATGTAATCAAAATATTAAAATTTATATCAAATTGTTATATCCAAGAAATTCGTCAAAAGAAAATATTTTTCAATGTCAAATTTTAAAGCATTTAACGCATTTCCACAGACAAACCCGAATGTCGTAAATGTGCCAAAGCTCTTCAAGAGTTGGAGAACATTGATGATGAAGCAGACCAGCTTGGAATTGGATTTGTGAAGATTCATGACGAAACATTGGCTGACGAATACAATTTGGGAGAGTTGCCGAGATTAGTTTACTATCGTCACAAAACACCAATCATTTATGAAAGTATGTTGAAAATGACGTTTGCCAACGAAGGCTAATTTTTCTTCGTCTTCATTGTATCGATAGCCAAAAAGGCCAAGTTCAGTAGACAAACGAAATTAGCTCACGTGCGATTTCTTTTCCTTTCTTTTCGTAGATGAATTGTCACGAGAAGAAGATGTCCTCGAATGGCTCATTGAGAATAAGTCGACTGGCGATGACGAGGATGTGATCGAAGAAGTGTCAGCAAAGAACTTGGGAACTTTGATTCAAAATATTGACAACTTGGTCGTTGTTTTCTGTATGTCTTTAAAACTTTTTCTCTTACTTTTTAATTAGCAAATCATTAAACTTTTTATATTAACTCACAGACGGTAAAGATGATGACGACTCGCTTCAAGTGATTGAAGAACTGGAAAAGATTGATGATGACTGTGATAAGCATGGCATTCAGTTTGTAAAGATTGATGACAAGGGTGCAGCAAAGGAACACGGCGTTAAAGAAGTAAAAATAATTTTGTAAAAAGGATGAATGTTTTCATCTTAAATTATCTTTCATATTCAACAGCTGCCAACCATCATCTTCTTTGAAAAACAAGAACCAACTCGATATGAAGGAGATTTAATGGACGAAGATGAACTTCTCCATTGGTTGTTAAGTCACTTGGAAAATGATGAGATTGAAGATATTGATGAAGACGAGCTTGATCGGATGGTTAAAGAGGGTCGTACAATGGCTGTTTTGTTCTGTATGTTCTTCTCATATTTATTGAATAAAATATTTTCTCAACATATTTCTTTCCCTGTTTTCACAGATGACAACAATGATAAAAAGTCAGGAAAGGTTTTGGCTGAATTAGAAAACATTGACGATGAATGTGATCAATTGGGAATTGCTTTCGTGAAAATCGATGACGCTGAGGAAGCGAAAGAATATGGAATCGATAAAATGCCAAAGCTTTTGTATTTCGAGAAAGGAATTCCAACAGTTTATGAAGGAAATCTTGAGAAGGAAGAAGAAGTTCTTAAATGGATTGAAATGCAATCAAGTTCAGATGAAATTGAAGATGTTACTGATGAGATGTTAGATATCATCATTTCAAAAATGCATCATGTTGCTGTTCTTTTCTGTAAATTTTATATGAAATGAGTCACAAATATTTATGTCACTAAAATCATTCTTTTCAGACGACAAAGATTCAAAGAAATCACAAAAAGTTCTTGCTGAACTCGAAAACATTGATGATGAATGTGATCAAAATGACATTGCATTTGTTAAGATTGACGATGACAACGAAGCACATGAATGGGGCATTGATGAACTTCCCACAATGGTCCTCTTTGAACGTGGCATTCCTCACATTTACGAAGGTGATTTGATGCAAGAAGACGAATTACTTGGATGGTTGATTTACCAGAAGAAGCATTCAGAGATTCCAGAAGTTACTGACGAAATGAAAGATAAACTCATCGAAACTTTCCCACATGTTGCTGTTATTTTCTGTAAGTTTCCTTATTTTTATTTATATAAATGCTTCACGAAGGCGTTTGTAGAAAGATTAAAAATTATTTAATCGATAAAATTTATAACCTTGAATGAGTTCTCTGTAATCGATTTTCTTCAATTTTTTTATCAGACGACAAAGATGACAAACAAGATATTCGTGTACTTAATGAAATGGAAAATATTGACGATGATTTGGAACGCGAAGGAATCATTATCGTCCGTATTGACAATGCCGATGAAGCCAAGGAATATGGTTTAAATCATTTGCCAGCAATGGTCTACTTTGAAGACAAAATTCCTGCCATTTACGAGGGTGATTTGATGAACGAAGATGAAGTTCTTGAATGGTTAATTATACAGAAGAACACAGCAACTATCGAAGAAGTGACTGATGAAATTTTGGATGATTTGATTGAAGATCACGAATATGTTGTTGTTTACTTTACTGGCGATTGTGAAGAAGGAGAAAAATGCGACAAGATTTTGGATGATTTGGAAAATATTGACGATGAACTTGATGAAGCTGGAATAATTTTCGTCACCACTGAAGAACTTGATATTGCTAAGAAATATGGAATCAAGAGCCTTCCAAAACTTGTGTTCTTCAGAAACAAGGATCCATTGATTTACAGTGGAGATTTGGACGATGAAGATGAAGTCCTTGCATGGTTGACTGACGAAAACACTTTGGAAATTCCCGGAAAGATCGAAGAAGTCAACATGAAGATGTTGGAGAAAATTTTATCTGAAAATGATCACATCGTCGTGTTCTTCTATCCAGAAGGAGACAAGAAATCACAAAAGATCTTAAATGAACTTGAAAATATTGATGACGAATGTGAAGAGAAAGACATTGACTTTGTTAAGACGAGTGATGATGGCATCGCGACTGAATACGATTTACCGACACTTCCAGCTCTCGCATTTTACCGTCACAAATTCCGTACAATTTATACAGGAGATCTTATGAATGAAGATGAAATCCTTAAATGGGTGTTAGAGCTCATTGAAGCAACACCAGATGTCATCGAATCTGTTGACCGTCGCACACTTCAAGTTTTAATCAACGACATTGAACATTTGGCTGTTTTCTTCTGTAAGATTTATTCGATTTATTTTAATTCCCTTGTCATTCTTCAATTTATAATAAATTTCAGATAGCGACAAGTGTGAAACGTGTCCTGCTATTTTGGACCGTTTGGAAACAATCGATGATGACACTGACAAACACGACATTCAATTTGTTAAAACAGACGACGTGAAATTGGCTCATGACATTGGAGTTTTCTCTTTTCCAGCTTTGATCTATTACGAGACTGGCGTTCCAATAATGTTTGATGGTAAGCTTTTATTCACTTTTCTTTTTTCATCTTTTAATTCAACATCTTAATTAACTTTCAGGTAATCTTAAATCCGAAAAGAAAATCTTACAATGGCTTGTCGATCAAAAGAGTAAGTCAATTAAAATTTAAATGCGATCAAACAAATGTGACATACAATTTTTTGAGAAAGAAAAAGCTTTTGAGATAATCAAATGAACTTTACTGTCACATCAGTCTAAAGCTTTGATAAATTTATAACTTTTCAACATTGAACATATTTTCATTATTTTTTCGCTATTTTCATATTTTTTGGAGTAATTTAAGCTTTTGAATTAAACTTCCAAGAAATGAAAAAAGCTTTCGAATGGAGCTTTTTGTATGATAATATTCAAAGTATGAAATGCGAAGCTTTCTAAACTTCTCTGTGTTGATATCTTTGATGAACTTTTAGCTTCTCATAGAGAAAAAGAAGAAGGAAAATTGCGAGAGAATAATGAAATTATTTTGTTAATGTTTTTTAGCTGACACAATGTTTTTGTTAAATGAATTTTGAAAACCATGAGAAATGAAATATTGAACATAAGTATTACACACTTAAACGATTTCTTAATTTACACACATAAATAGTAAGAAGAAACTCTTAAAAGCATGTTGTAGCCATCAGAAAATTTTCTCTTATGATTTCCTCTTTCGACATTTCCATTTTTCGGAAACCATGTCCGGTTGAAATTAAAGAAAAATAGAAAAGAAAAATCTGTATTTATAGGAAGTAAAGATGAAAAACATTTTGTCAGTTAATTAAGTCTTAATTAGCTGCAGTATGGTCGCTCTTCTTTATTGAGCGTGTTAGACAAGCGAACATACAAAACTCAAAAGTCAAACAAATTCAAGATGAAAGAAGTAAGAAGGAAAAAAATCTTTTTCTACTAACAACAAGTGTGAAAAATTTACTTCATTGGTGGGTGATGTGAAAACGAGATCTTGTTAAAACAAAAGAAGAAATATTTGAAAACTTTTAAGAAAAAAACAAACCGAAGCATAACTGACAAAATGTTTTTTATATATACAGATGACGAATGTTTCTACGTTGGAATTGAACGGGGAAATGATAATGCGAAAAAGTCTGAAAAGTCATATGTTGTACCATACCAATGCTGTCCATCTACTAAGGAAAAGGCTCAAGCTCGTCTTGCAGTTTTAAGCGATACAAAGCTTGGCACTTCGAAAGCTATTCGTAATGATATCACATTCACTTTTGAGCATGATGAAGAAGATAAACCAGCTGCGAAGCCTAAGGGAGGAAAGAAATTGAAAGCACCATCAAAACCAGCTCAAGAAGATCGTAAATCAAAGAAGGAAGACAACAAGAAAGACTCAGCACAAGAAAAGAAGAAACGTGAGCGTGATGTAAAGGAAAAAGAATCAAGAGACACTAAAGATAAAGATTTTGATAAAAAAGATAAAAAAGGAAAGGATAAGAAGGACAAAGGTAAACACACAAACGATGATGATGGTGATGGTTTCTTTCAATTAGGCAATTGGTGGTAATTTCACTTTCTTTCATTTCTTCGATTTCTTTTTTGATTTCCGTTTTCCTCCCGAATGTTCTTTCAAAACAAATCTTTTAACTTTCTGAACATGTTTTGACATCGAAGCCCTTTTCTTTTTCTTTAAATTTTCTTCAACACGGAAATTTTTGTTAGAGTGATCTGGTTTGAAGTCCCGAAATGTTAATCCAAATAGAATTATGAAAACAATTAGAGGAATGTCTTCATGAGAATGTAGTCCTATTCTCTAATTAATTAAACCTTCATTTCTAATCTCATTTTCACACGAGGAAATCTCTTAATGTCGTTTTTCATTTATTTATTTATTTAAGTTTGTGAAATCTTTGAATAATTAAACAGAAATTTTCATTATCTTTAAATCTGATTATGACAGATGCTTCATTTCATTTCTATTTTCATTTTCACAATATTTTCTATTCATTTTCTTCTCTTCGGTTATTGAGAAAGAAAACTTCTTTTGCTTCTTGTTTTATAGTTTTCAATTCATTTGATTATCATGTGAAAATAGTAAAGTCACCATTTGTAGAATAGTTTGTTGAAATTATCACCATCATAAAGAAACATCAAATAACGTCTTCATAGAACTAAATAGTTAAAGAAAGAATATTTTCTCCTTAGACAATTATAAAGATTTTCATAATTAAAGCATAAAAGAGAAAGAGAGAGACAGAGAAAGAAAGAAATTTTTAGATAGCTTATTTGTTTTTTAACTCGTTTTTTTATTTACTTTTTCAAATTCATGCTGTGCAACTTTGTAGTTTAATCTGATAACTGAAAGCTTGTTCTTTCATTTTCATCGAGGGGACAAGCCTGATATCTCTTTAATGTAAGACCACCGTCCTTTTTTAAAAAAATATTATTTAAACGAGATATAGAAAAAGTTCTTTTGAGAACTTAATACCATCCATAATCAAACTTAGACCATCAGAACCACCACCGACTCCACCACTCAACGTAGTGCATGAATTTATGCTTGTAGAGTTATCGCCTAAACCTTGTTCTTAGCATTAAGCAGGCTCGTGAAACTCGCATCATGAATTTTGTTGAATTTTAAACTGTTCTGTGATGGTAAATAAAACTCGCACCAAAAACTTGGCTGCCATGAAGCACAAAAAAAATGTTAAATGCACTTATGTAAAAATAATTTGTTGATTTTATAGGATTTGTTGAAAAATAATACGCAAAGAGTTAAAAGTTTTATATTTTTTTTACAATAAATGAAATGTTAATGAAAGTCTTTTGGACTATAAAAAATTCAATAAAACTTTTTTCTCTTTGCGACTTTTTTATTATCTAATTAATTTTTTGTAACATAAAAAGATTTTGAGGTTCACGATATTTATTTATTTTTTGTTATCTAAAGATTGATTAGAACTTTTATCATTTAATTGAAACATTTTTTTATCTTACTCATCAATCCAATCAATTTTATTTTTCCTATAAATAGTTTGGAATTTTTTAGAGAAATATAAATTTGAAGCAGATTTTCATTTCATGTTTTATTAAATATGGCATAATGTTGGCCATTTGAGTTACCGTCATTCATTGAAAATAAGAACTTTAGTATCATTTGATTATTTATTACTCATTCGTAAAGAAATTCAGTTCAATAAATTTTTTTTTCGAAAAATCAAAGCTTTTTCGTTGATCGCATTGTTAACGTATTACAAAAGATTTTCTAGATTATTTTTGATTAGCTCTGATTGAAAAGCCATATAAGAAGGTATGATTTACTTTAATTCAATTTCGATATCTGTTTATGTTGGTCCCAAGTAAACTTCTAATACTGGATTAAATATCTTTTCAAGGTGATTTGTCGGATGAGAGAGAAGTTTTCGATTGGATTATCACACAGAAAAACGATGAAAGTATTGAGGATGTCGACCGAGAAACTTTCCTCGAATACATCGACACAAAAGATTTTTTAGCTGTGGTCTTCTGTAAGATTGTCAATGATTTTATTCCCTTTAAACCTCACATTATTAAAAGCTTTATAAATGATTTCAAGATGACGAAGATGATGAGAAGACAACGACAACCGTCTTGAGACATATCGAATTGATTGACGACGAGGCAAGCGAGTATGGAATAAAAATTGTGAAATCAAATGACGATTTGATGGCTAAGAAGTTTGGATATCGTAATCGACCAGGAATTACATACTTCAGAAAAAGTAAAATGAACATGAAAAAAATAAGAGAATAAATTTAATTTGCGAATCAAATATCTTAGGCAAACCAATCAACTATGATGGTGACATTGACGATGAAGAAGAAATCTTGGATTGGCTAACAAATCCAGATAATATGGAGATGACAGATAGCATCGAAAGGGCAAATCGAAAAATGTTTGAAAAAATACGAAAAGCTTCTGATTACTTAGCAGTTTTCTTCTGTAAGCTGAGTTGGATGATTTGATTGAATAATAAATATTGATAAACGTTGAAATTACTTATCAGATAGTGACGACTGCAAGCAATGTCCACGAGTCTTAGCTGAAATCGAACATATCGACGATGAAGCCGATGGTGCTGGAATTAATTTTGTGAAAATTGATGATAAGCAAATGGCTAAGGAAGTTGGAGTCTTTGCATTACCAGCAATCGTGTTTTATAAGCAACATTCGAAGGAACCCGTCATTTACGCTGGTGATTTATATGATGAAGAAGCAATTCTCAATTGGCTATTGACTCAAAAGAATCCCGGTGGTGATATTATCGAAGACTTAGAAGGTCAAAAGCTTAAACGTCTCATTGAAGAGTCTCCAGCAATTGCAGTTTACTTTTGTAAGTTGACAACAAACTGAGTCTGAACGTTTAAAAGTTTATAACAAAAATGATAGGAAAGATAGAAAGATTTAGCATAGATTACAATAAGTAATAAAACTCGTAATTAAATTTCTATTTGTTGAACATTGATCGACGTTTATAGGGAATAAAACACTTTGCGATTATTGTAATTCAAAAGCAATGAAAAAGGCGCGTCATAAGAAAGAAAAGCAATTGGAAGCTGAAGCTAAAGCTCAAGCAGCGTCTGCTGAACAACATATTGAGACTGGGAGTGGAAGTGGAAGTGGAGATGATCCGCAACCGATTGATATTATAGAACACGCACCACCAGTTGAAATAAAAGAGGGTGAAGCATATTTCCCCACCCTGGAAACGTCATTTTCTCGTTTCATGAGAGTTTTTTTCTGTCCTTGTTCACTTCCAAACATATAAAAATAGATTTTCATTTTGCTAGATTGTTTTATGATTAGAACATTGCACAATCAATTGTCCTTTCAGCTTCTTTGTGCACTCAATTAAAGTTTTATTCGAACTTAGAAAGAAATAACATGAAAAAATTTCATTCACAGATAAACCAGGCGGAGATTGTGAACAATGTGGAGAGTTTCTTGATGAATTAGAAAATATCGACGACGACTGTGACCGACATGGAATAACGTTTGTAAAGACTCAAGATTTCTCGATTGCGGAACTTTATGGGATCAGCGAATATCCCGTGCTTGTTTATTTCGAAGCAAATGTTCCGAATGTTTATGAAGGATCCCTCAAGGAAGAGGAAGAAGTGTTGCAATGGCTTATTCAACAAAAAACTGAAGATCGAATAGAACTCATCACTCGCGTTATGCTTGAAACAATGGTTGAAGAGACGCAATACCTGGCTGTTTACTTTTGTAAGTCAACTTTTTCTTTCTTTTTTTCTCATCTCCAAAGTTTGCTTGCTTTTGAAGTTTTATTTCTTTTTTTTGAAAGTTTTCTTTCATTTAGATAAAACTTTTCATTGAGAACACGAAAAATATGTTCGTGTGTAAATAAAGTTTCATTACATTTTGAATTTCCCCTAAGCAAATGACATTTTTTTAAACATACAAATTTTTTGATATTATTTTGTTTTATTTTTGTTTTTAATTCGAAAACTTGAATGTCACTTTTGCATCTGCACACAATACCAACTTCCCTTCCATTGCTTCAACATAAAAAATTACCATAAAAATCATAAAATTAGTGCGTGAAAATTACGTTAAACAGCCAAGCTACTGTCGCACTATATGCGCAGGTAGATACATGAAAAATAGTTTCAAAGCCCAACGCATGCATGAACGAAAGGATGGCTTTAAGACAAGAAATAAGACTCATAAAATATCAAAATGGAAATTGCTTTTGCTGAGCAACTATAGAAATAAAAACATTCCAAAAGGTACAAAAATTTCTCGATTTGTTTTTATTTGAGTTTTTTACTTCTGTTTTTTTTTTTTGGTGAAGATACGTCAAGTCGTTCCAAGTTTAGCATTTGAATGGACCTTCTTTTCGCTTGATTATTTCACTTTTATTATTGTTACAGATAAGGTACATTGCAACATTTGTGATCAAATACTCGAGGGACTGGAACAGGTCGATGACGAATGCGACGTGTTTGGCATTCACATGGTCAAAATACAAGATCCTCAACTCGCTAAGCGTTATTCCATTAAGACGTTCCCAGCATTAGTTTACTTTAGAAATGGAAATCCTTTGATATTCGAAGGTGACCTTCAAAATGAACAATCAGTTCTTGAATGGTTGATTGACGATGATAATCGTGAACTTGCCGATGAAATTGAAGAAGTTAATGACAGAATGTTAGATCGATTGATGCAAGAGTCACCACTTTTATGTGTTTTCTTCTGTATGCTCATATTTTAGTTCTAAATCATGTCAGCTTTTATAATATTTTTCATTACAGATGATGAAGATTGCAGTGAATGTGAAGAAATTTTAGAAGAACTTGAAAATATTGATGGAGAAGCAGACATGTTTGGAATTGATTTTGTGAAAATTGCAAGTCTTGAAGCTGCTCATAAATACGAAGTTACAACAATTCCTTCACTTGTTTACTTCCGGTATTTTATTTAGAAAAGCATTTTAATTTCCATTTTCTAATAATTTTTATATTTTCAGCAAACAAATGCCAATGCTTTACGATGGTGATTTACATCAATATGACAAAGTTCTTAGCTGGTTGACATCACAAGATGTCTTCGAATTAAAGAATGAAATCGAAGAAGTTAATAGAAAAATGTTGGATAAACTTTTAGAAGAAAATGAGTTTTTGACAGTTTACTTCTGTGAGTTACCTGCTAGCGCCATCTTTATGTGAAATAATTTATTTTCTATTTTTTCTTTTTATATCCAGTCGAGTATGATCATGACGAAAGCGCAACAGCTTTAGAGAAACTAGAAAATATAGATAGCGAAACTGATAACTTAGATATAACATTTGTGAAAATGGCAGATTCAAGATACGCACGAAAATGGGGTGTCACTAAGTTGCCAGCTTTAGTTTATTTCAGAAAGCGCTTCCCCAGTATTTATAGAGGTAATTTAGGAAATTGAATAAAAGTTATGAGATAATTATATTTATTTTTCCCCAAGGTGACATAATGTCCGAAGAAGAAGTTCTTGATTGGCTGCGGAAAAATCGTTTTAGACAACCAGAACTAAATCTCTTTATGTATGCTTTGATTGCCATTGCAATCGGCTTTGTACTGTACACAGCGTTTCTACTTCAGTGTTTCAAGCCCGCACCACCTCCACCAAAAGTTCAGAAAGATCCAAAAGATAAATAACGACCAAATGCTGTTTCTAAATGATAGTTTAGTTTATTTTAATTTCCTTTTCCTGATTTTATCGTGAGTTTAACCAATATTAAATAATTAAAGGTTTAAAGCGACGAAAATTTGATAAATTTTTGAGTTCTTTAAAAATTGACATCAAATTTTCTTTCTAAATCATGTGAATGCTAAATGTTATTATTTTGTGCAATTACGAGCATTTTTATTTTGATCGAAAATCTTTTCATTTCTTTTTTCTTTCTTTTTTTTTGTGAGAAAATTGCGAGATATAAAATATGAAAAAAAAAACATAAGATGAAAAAATTATCAGAAAAAGATTTTCCATGTGTATTGGAAAATGATCTCGATAGGAAAATCGAAAAAGTTCAACTAACACAAAAATGTTCTTTAAATTTAGAAAATTAAAAGGAAGCGAGATTATGATGAAGGTTTCTTTATGAATTTGGGTTTTCTTTTTATTAATGTTTCAGAAGAGATTTGAATTAATTATATTAACTTTACCTTTATGTAATCTGAAGGAAGAAGAGGAAAAATATTATTCATACGTGAAATTGAAATCACGTGAAACTGAAGACAAATTTCTTATTTTTAAGTGAGGTAAATTGTACATTTTAAATTGTAAAATCGTTTATATTGATGATGATGTTAGAAGCAATGAAAACATAAAGATAAGAAATAAAAGTTAAGAATTTAAAAATGGAAAAAATGTTTTATTAATTCACTAAAGAATTCATTCCTTTTTTTCCATAATTACGTAAAAAAATCATAAGTAATTATTTACATTTACATGAACTTTCTCAAGCGTATCTGAGGTAAATTTAAAAGCGTTGAATTCAGATTTCGAAATGTAATTTTCAGTCTCCTTGCTTGCATATTACATTGGTTCAGTAAAAAAATACATGTGTTGAAGACACTCATGAGCAGATGGTCGATTTCGAGGCATGAAATCCAACATTTTCTAAGAAGACAAATAAAATTTCAATTATAAATTTATTCTTTTAAAAAAAAATTATTCACTCACTTTAAGAAGATCATTTGAATAATCACACAATTGAGGGACAAGTTGCCGTGGTTCACTTGGCATTGTCATTAAAAATTGATCAAGATCTAAAGAACAATCAGGCCAATCAGCAGTTCGTGGTCTTCCAGTCAACCTTTAAATTACAACGAAGAATTGAAAATGAAGAAAGTTAAAAAATTTTATTCATAAAACTCACTCAAATATTTTCCCCAATTGATTCCCTTCACTTGTGCCTGGAAACAATGCACGTTTAGCGTACATTTCAGCGATAATGCAACCAGCTGACCAAACATCAACTTTGCTATTGTATGACTGTGATAACAATACTTCAGGTGCGCGATACCAGAGTGTCACAACTACTGATGTTAAGCGCATTTCAAAGTCATACGTTTTTGCTAAGCCGAAGTCTGCTATTTTCAATTGGCCCTGACTCGACAATAACAAATTTGAAGGTTTCAGATCACGATGAATAATTCGATGCGAATGCAGAAAGTCAATACCGCTCAAAAGTTCTTTTGAAAGTCTCTAAGTATTGAGAGAAAAACAAGAAAAAATATGTCGTTTAATTGTGATGTTTTGGATAATGCTCCGACTTACAATTTAATATCCAGAATTGAAAGCAAATTAAATAAGATGAAATATTTTAACAAAATGGAAATGGAAATTGAAAAAATCTTATAAGAAATTTTTATATTTCTTACCTGAATTTGATGTGACGGAATTAAACTTGTTGTTGGCAGATGTGAAATGTAGTCGGCTAAATCTCTTTCTAAATATTCAAAAACTAAATACAATTCGAGTTGATTTTCACGATCAGCTCGTCTGTGGATCACATCTAAAAGTCTGATAATTTTAAAACAGTAATAAAAATAATTCATGAATTTTTCTGGTCATTTAATATTTCTTACTTTACAATGTGTGGATGATTGTAGGAATCTAAATTTTTCAGTAAGGATATTTCTCTTAATGTAGTCATTGGAATGCCATCGGATGTAAGTGATATGCGGATTTTCTTTAATGCAACATAGCGACCACTTGTATCTCTAGCTCTATAAACAACACCGTAGGCCCCTTAAAGTATGTTTTAAATTAAACAAAAGGATAAATATTATAAGATTATGAAACACTTATTAAAAGTGCAATGTTTTTTGCCACATACAAGTCACGAGGTAATTTTTGCACTGAATTTTCATCGAAAATTTTAATCGGCAAGTGTGAATAAAAATGATGTGGAGAGTTTAAAGATTGAAAATCATTAAATATTAAGGATATTTATTTCAACACTGAACTCTTCGTGCACATTTTGCATCTCTTTTTCTTTTTAAAAACAAGCACACAAAACATTCACTAAATTTTTCATATTTATCACTCTACTCACCATTTCCAATCATATCTAAATCACTGAAATCACCAAAGTCCTCCATCGATTACGGTTGAATATTTTCTGTCTTTAGAAATGCTCTATAAATTATCTAAAACTTGATGAAAAAAATTAAAATTAAAATTTGTCTTTCCAGCTGCTTGAGTAGATTCAACATAAATGCCAGATTCTCCACCACAGCCAGAAATTGAGATATTTGAATTTTACTAGCAACGAACTTTAACAAAATTTCATTTCCTAAGGTCTATCTCAATAAATATGATAGAAAATGACTTGTTCATTGTACTAAACTATTAGAAACAATTTTTATATGACTAAATTTCTGAAAATCTTTTAAAATAATTAATTAAATTTTCAAAGGAACATGAATGAAAATGAAAATTTCGTTACCGAATTTGTTGAAATTTTTAAATGTTCGTCTAAGAACGTTACTGAATATGAAACATTTACCACCTTGACGTTATGCAATTGTGCACAATTTTATATTCGATTCTCGATCAACAAATGTTTTCATTCAAACGATAGATAATCAAATATTTATAGAAATATCTTGAAAAAGAGATATAAATTTAAAAATCGTGTATTTTTACTGTGATGTAAAAACAATAGTCAAATGTGCTACTTGTCTAATATAATTGAAAAAAATCCACAATAATCACAACATTATTGTGGTGAGAATGCTTAAGAACAGGAAGAAACTCTTTCCTTCATTATCTAATTGAATAATAACTGACCCAAAAAAGTGACGCAACGTTACTTATTAAATTTTAAAAATTCTTTCAGTGAGAGTTGGTGAATACAATTTCTTGTCATTAAATTTATTTCGTATCTTTTCTTAACAATAAAAAAACTGCGGTGGTTCATAAAACAATAAGAAACAATTGAAATGTTTAAGGTAAGATTTCGTTTCTCACAAAAAAAAACTGTCCAAAAATACGAAGTAGATATGTAAGCAAGCACAATGAAATCTCATTAAAACAGATAGAAAAGTTTTGGACGAGAAAAGCAAAACAATCAACTTTCTCAGCCGAAACAATCGTCTGTTATCAAATGCTTTGCAAAATGTAGATCGACCTGCTGCTACTGCAGAAACAAATAAAGGCATCTGACTGTGAATCATTTAAGACGTCTTAAGACTTGTCTTTCCCTTTTTCGGCAATACTTCTCTCAAATCTTGATTTTAAAATGTTTGTTCGACTGTACCAGCAAAAAATCAAATTAGCATAAAAGTTTAAAGTTCTTGAAAAAATTTTGGTGTTGATTTAACTGTTAATTTGCTTATGACTCGAGCCTCAAAATTTGTTTCGTCTGTGATTTTGCGAGTAGAAATATTTTTAAAGATCATATTAACACATAAGCGATAAAATAACCAAGGAAAATTTAATTTATGGCGAAATCGATATTTCTTTAAAAAAATTTATCGGGAGTTTTGGTTTTTTTCGTGTGCAAGCATTGAAATCAACTTTTTTACATCGCTACATGTTTTTTTCCTGTTTCACTTTAGTCGAACTCGTTCCATTTTGCGTTTTTTTTGGTAATTCTTTTTCAATTTGAGCTCAAATTAAGCATTTTATATTCGCATTATTGAATTATAAATGAGCTTTAGTGAGTAAATAAGGAGAGATGATTATTTAAAGTTTGAGTCATTTCCTTGATTTACGACTATTTGGGGTGGGAAGACATGTTATGAAGGTTATTGCAGTCCAAAAATTACTTTTCAGTGAATTTAATGTTTTCAAGGAAAAGATTTAAGAATCTAATTAACAATTAAAACGTCTTTACATTAAATTTTCAATTTTATAATGAATTCTCCTATTAAAAATTTTAGCAACTTGCACAGCACAATTTAAGAAGAAAACAAAACTTGTTTGAAGTTTGACTAAAAATGAGAAGCTCAAATAAAACTTTAAATTATTATCTCTCAAATATCAAAACATATAATTGAGCTTGAATATTATTTTGCACAAACTCAGGTCTTGTATTCAGGAAACGAAAAAAAAGAGAAACATCTGAAGAGCGAAGCACTCATAAATAAATGAATATCACTAACTTTTCTCCTTCGCTTACAGCCATTCTCGTCTGTTATTCTTTCTCGCGATCACGCGCATTCATTTGCCGCTCGCTCAGTTTCTTTCAAGACGTTGAATCAACAGCACGTTCAACAGGTTTAAACATTTTAATTTAAAATAAAAGAAAAAGGGAAAAATTTGACTTTTTCAAAATATTAGAAAGTTCATAATTCATAAAGTGCTGTTGGTCGTTGTTCAAAATCGTCCATTTTTCAATATTGTGAAGTGTTCGATAAATAATGATCAGCTAGAAAATCGAATTGATACGGGAATAAAAAATTTAAATTAATAAAAAGCAATCTGCTGATTTTTTCGCTGTGTTAAGCTTGTCGATGATTTAGAGTGAAGAAAACCATGTGAATTGGTATCTTGATCTTTAAAGAAAAGAATTCAAGAATATAAAAAAGAACGATTTGTTCAATCGATAGTAATAAGATTCAAACTTCTTAATTAAACTAATCTTAAACATCAATTTGTTTATTCTGCGATCATGTTGGGTAAATTGAGTCTTTTTCCAATTCTATTTTGTGGATTTCTCGTTGGATGTTGTCATGCTAAAGGTGAGCAAGTTTTTGCAGCTGAAAAGCTTTTTTTCTCTACACTTTTATCGCTTAACGCCAACGTCGCTTAAAGAAGAATTTCAACGTTTAAGGTTGTTGGCTGAATTCGATGATGCAATTTAAAAACCATTGAAAGCAGAAATGAATGTGCAATGCAATAACCAATTCCTTTTAAGTTATCAAGCGTCGACCTTAAAGAAATCTGGTTGATGACGTGAAAACTTGTGCGTGTATGTAAAAGAAAATTTATTAAAATAATAAAAAGTAAAATGAGAGAAGGAAGAGTAACGAGCAGCAAAAGAATAAGAAATCACTTTATTTGCACAAATTATTAGCTTGTTCAAGAGCGAAGCGTTTTAATGACCTTAGGATTTATTTTTTTGTCTCCGTGTTGTTGCTTCGTTGTCATCGTTTTCTTCTTGATCATTTCCATTACGTTTACCCCATCATGTCATGACTGCGAATCAACTTTAGTTTTAAACGGGAAAAAATAAAAGAATTGAGCCAAAGTAGCACTGAGCGTAAAGCACCCACACACGGAATCATATTCAACATTGTCGATATTAATATTCAAGCTTGGGTTCTGCTTACGAAAAAGGCAAAACATTCATTTCAAGTCTTTTAAAATCAAAGTTGAATGTTAATGGCAAAAATAGCAACGACTGAAGCGAATAAAAAATGACAGACGGGTTTGTAAGGCAAAAACAAATCTTTATGACTTATTCACTCTCCTTAATTATTCGATGCGAAACATGATGAAGAATTGAAATGAGATTCTTGTAAAAGTCATGCAAAATACGGCACAACTAATTTAAATGATTAACAGCCAGACGTAAGCGCTCATTAAGTCATTAAGAGAAGAACAGTGCGATAGGGTGAGAATATCATATTCATCTCTAATGGAATTCTCGTTGCTTTGGTGAGATAATCGTGATAACCAAGAGAACAATGGAAAGGAACAGAAGTTTATTTCGAACGAAAACGAAAATATCTCTTTTTTTTTCTTAATTCAAGCATATCATCATCATCTCTATTTCCTTCCATTTCCATTTCCATTCTTCTTTAATATTTTGTGTTTTTGTTGTTTTGCCGCTCTTTTTTCTGTGTCGCGATTAAATCCTTCTTGACAGTTGATTACCTACATCTATCTCCCGCTGTTGATCTCGACGGCTTCACGTCAAGTTAATAAACTAATCAACTCAAATGTCTAAGGTAGTTTCTAAAACGAGTCGCATTCTCATCTTCAAAATCTAAAGAATCAACAATAATTCGAAATTAATTGAATGGTTGAAGGTTGAATTTTGATGATTACAAAAATTACAGATCTAAGCATAAGAATGATATCTGTCTCGTGATATTCGACATATGTGTATCTATCTAGTCATTCAATGACTTTATTTTTAGTTCTTATTTCCATCTTTCGTTACACCCTGTCATTATGAACACTTAATCAAATAACACTTCAAAATTATATTCAAATAAGAATAAAGTTCATTTGATGTCGATTACTTACTTATACTCGAACAATTTTAAACGTCATTATTATTACTTTTATTACTCAACAAATACTTTCAAATTAATTTATGCAAGATCCTTGAATGTAATTGACAAATCTAAAGCATAAAATCGACAAATTTTTTATGTGATAATTTGTACTTGAACCCAATTTGCTCATTGAATGTGTAGGAAAAAGTGTTCAATGTGACTTTCGATGTTGAATCTTAAAGCTCATGAAATAAATATCAAACATTGTAAGATTTAATTTACGCAATTTAGCGAGTTGAGAACGAATGTTGGTAAAATTAATTCATGCCTCAGAGTTTCTATTATTTTTTCTCAACTTCTTTTTATCTCTCGCCATTCTTGCATGTTAACTTTTCTTTTGATTATCTCGTTGAACGAAACGGAATGAAGTTGAAGTTGTTTCAAAGTAGAGCTGAGATCATGTTTTGTTTTGGAAGGAAAGAAGAAATATTTTTAAATCGATAAATGTAATAAAAATGTTTTTATGTTGCGTTCTAAGTTGCTACTAGATATTTAAAACGCTATAATTAATTACAAGAATCTTTTCTAATTAGATTGTTGTTTATCACACGCAATTTCTAACTTTTCCCTTCACTAATTTAGCTTCAAGTTCTTCCATGTAGGTTTAAGAAAAAAAATTTAATGTTTTACATTTGAATAAGAATTACTTTTGAATCTACTTAGTCAATCAATGAATCTGAGTTATACTTAAACTCTCTTAAAACATTTTAATTTCTTTATTATTGTCTGTTAATGAGATATTTAAATGTTATTGCTGTAAGTAAGGCTTAACTAAATATTAAATTTTTTGAACAATTACAACCCATGCTCAAAATTCTTTAAAACATTTCAATCTGAAAGATTCAAAGTCATAATGTAATGATTACTGTTAGCTAACAAACAGTTTTAATGTTTTGAAAAGGGCAATAAATCGTTTGGCATGACAGAAGGTGTGTAAATTGGTACGTGATCGCTAATATTGAAGCCCTTTACAGTTTGCCAACTTGAAAAACTTGATACATGTCTAGTCGTAAATGAATGTTTGAAGCGATGCTGTACATAATCATCAAAAAGCTTTTTGAATGAGAAAATTAAATGCTTAACATTGCGTTAATCTTCTATGTATCTGACATAAGTAGGTGCGTTAAGTTCAAACTATTTCAATCATATCGCCTGCAGCTGCACTCAACTAAATCATTATTTAATGCTTTACATACTTTGAAATTTATCATTTGCTTGCTAATTGTACAACTAAATATGGAATGAAACATACTTTCAAGGAAAATAGAGAAAAGGTCAAAAAATGTTACATAACCCGTGCTTTTTTACCGTACTAAGATCAAATGACTTTCGTCGTCATACCGATGATGTACAACAAGAAAAGTAAATTTTAAAGATAAAATTCCTCCATCACCAACTACCGTCTTCATCTCTCCAGAATTTTAATTGGTTTCAACCTCAATAATTCTTAGAAATTTTTTGTCTTTTAATGGAGAGAAAAATAAATTGAAAATACGCGGTAGTAGCCGCTGCTGACCTTCCTAGTGTAGGTTTTTAGGTTGCACAAAACAATCATGCAAATATTTTTTGTTAACTTTAATTTTTCTCCAGCCAAAGCTTCAGTCAATGAAGCTTTTCAATTTTCTCAGTGCTTGTCATCTCTAAAATGAATATAAGGAAGAAAAATGACTAAAGATTTGTTTTTTTATGAAAAACTATTCAAAAAGACATTAGAGAGAAATATGAATAGAAAAGTTAACGACATGAAGGCGGCATGAATCACAGCAAAGACTTAGAAACTTTGTGCAATAAAAGTTTTATCGTGAGATGTTTTTTCTTCTCTTTTCTCTTCTTGACATGTTATCTAGAAATGGCTCGAGACAAGCTTCCATATATTGAACAATTAAAGCATCCCGCACAACGAGAAATACGAATTAGAAACAAATCGTTTTGTAAAATAATAATCGCATTGTAAAAGATCTGCGAAGTGTGCGAGTTCGCCACTCGCAATTTTGTAATTGTAAATTTCAAGAGACAATTGACCAATACCGGAAACGTTTGACCATAAAATAATATTGCAACAAAGAAGACTCAACAAATTTTGCAGTTGACGTCTCTCAATGATTTTTATTTCTTTAGCGATACTTATGTAAGTATCAATGACATCATCGACGATTTATTTTTCTGGCGTCAAGAAACTTTTTTGTTCATTAACAAACTGTAAAAAAGTCCATTGAAATAAGAATTATTAATTATCATACACGTTTGGTATCTTCCAATAATTCTTCTCTTTATCTTCTTTTTCTCCGAGTAATTGCAAATAAAGAATTCGAACTGAAAAGCTACTTCCAAGTATCGCTCATTCGCAAATACTTATTTACTTACTTACTTACTTACATATCTTCTTACTTTGTTCATATTTTTATAATTGAAACGTGCGATAAAAAGAAATCAAAAGAGAAAGACTCTCACCAATTGTCAGTTGATTTAACTGGTACAATATAATATGATATCATTGGCTTCCTTTGTCTTTTCGCGTACTCCATCATTTTATTTTCATCACGATCGCAATCATTCATCAAATCATCGAGACTATATTTAAGCGAAAGAAATTATTTATGACGACAAGGAAAAAAGATTTTTATGATGAAACTTTCAGTTAGTTCCATAGCCACAAGAAGTAAGAACTTCATCTATCAGTAATGAAATAAACTTGTTCCATTGTCTTTGTCTGTTTCTTTTATTGCTTTTTGAGGGAGTTTTTTGTAACGAAAGTGCTAAGGCAATGTGGTTTAATGAATTTTTATCGCAATTTTCTCTAGACAATCGTCATCAGAGTGCAATCACAATGTGGTTGCTGCAGTGTTGCCTCTGAATAATGAAAATTCATTTGATTACACTCATCGATTGTTCAACATTTTCTTTCATTTCTGTTCAATATTGTTCATTGAATTTGTGTGTCGAGTGGAGTCGACTTCCCTGATCGAAAGCTTGATATATCCCACAAAGGCATTGAATGCCGTCGCCAGTCACCATCGATCAATTGGGTTATTTAAGATTCACACAAAAGTCGCGTTGATTAATTTAAGAATTTAACACAAATGAAAATTAAACATGAAATGATTCCGTCGTATTAAAAAGTTTATTGGCATTCAATCAAGATTGAAGTTGATGTGTCATGAAGTTGAAATTTTCCTTTGTTTCTCTCGTCACTTTTTTATTCAAAAATCTTTTCTCTTTTTTATGGGTTGCACCCACAACTATTTCAACACGATGTCTTTTAAGTTAACTTTCAGATAAATCTTTTTTTAGGTCGAGTGACTAATAAAAATTCGTGTTTTGGGATTCATGAACTGAAAACTCTTTCTCTTGCGAAAGGTCAATAGCTTGGGCGAAAATGAATAAATAAAACTCTCGTCATGAGATCATTTGCATATTTTACTGATATATCTTAGTAACAAATGAACTGCTTGAAAAACTGTTAAATGAAAGATGTGCACTAATGGTTTATGTAGCAAACTCAACAGCACAACTTTGCAGGCTTTTCATATTTTTGAGTAAATACAAGAAGCTTGTTATCACTAAAAACAATACTTTATCGTTGCTTTCAGCATTAAAACATTTTTCTGCAGCTTTTGTGATTAACAGTTTGAAAAATGTTTGCTTAGCGTTATGTAAATTACCGCAGTAGCCAAACCCGTGGAATGCAAAGACTTGAATACTCATTCTTGTAATCTTCAGTAGCTTTTGCAGCAACTTTCACCAATTAAGCTTTAAATTAACAATTACGAATTTTTAGGACAAAGTCTTTGCTTTGCGTGTGTTCGACATTCGCTTTCTAACAAGAAATTTCTTTTTCTGTAACGTCCATGAAAAAGGAAGTCAAAGTTCAATAAAGCACACAACTATGAACTGAAAGATGAATCATTCAACCCTCACGTTTCATAAGATTCAAGAAATGAAGCACAATATCTATCAATATTGAACTTTCACTTCACATAAACACAACACAAGCGAAGAATTGCGATTAAACGGAAATAATTTGTAATTTTCTGCGAAACAAAATCCAGTACAAATGACATGATGTGGGAATGAAATAAGAGCTGTATGAGTCTTTTTCACATCTGCTAATGTTTAACCTAAATACCTTCATCACCAACTTAACTTGTTGTTCTTTTCTCTTTTGTGAAATCTATCATTATCAATGAAATCAATTATCTACTTACTTAAAAGCTTTTCAAGTCATTGTTTCACTCTTCTTTTTCCCTTTGCTTATTTATATTTTTCTTCGTTGATTTTCAATGTCTGACGGTGATTGGGACAGACAAAACATAAAATGATAAAGACAGCGAGAGAGAGACGAATGGGAAATGATGCCTGGGAAAAGTTGTATGGACGAGGAAATTATGCTAAGAAGCTTCTTATAGCTTAATGTCAGTTTCCGACACAATTAAAAATAATCAGAAACCTCACATCGAGACGTCGAACTTTGATTGATTATTGACAGATTCAACAAATTAACAGAAGTTAAATAACGTACTCGGCATTTCAAGACTAACGATAGATTTAACTTTTTAATTGTGTTTGATTAACGGAGATTTCTTTTCATTTCGGATGTTCGTTGATGAGTGAAAACCAGATCAACGCGTTCAATCATTTTAATTTTCATTCTCTTAATACTTAAATTGATGATTTTTCGTTTCTTAAAACCTTCAAATCATTCTTCTCGCAGCAAGACATTTAAAAACAACTCGCAATGAATTTTAAAAATTGTGCTTTGTGCCATTAACTATTTCAGCATCATCGCTTCTTAGCTCAACAAATAATACTTAAGCATAAATGAATGGCGAAATATTTCATCACAAGCACAACAAGCCTACCAACTTTAAAGTCATGAAAGTGCATAAATTATTAAAAGATCTTTTATTATAATAGTGAGAAAGAAGTATCCACTGGTTAAGCAAGAAGCTGCTCATGTTCATTTCACTGTTCTCTTCTTTGAATAATCATGTTGCAAGACCCTTCATTATGTTTATCTAACAGCAATATAATTGTACTTATGCTTAAGTCGATCAGATTCATAACTCATAATAATCAACAACAAGACGATGAGCAAGTAATAACTGTCACAGAATATAAACAATTTCTTCTCATAGTCATCATCAAGCATCATCACTCAGTAACCGGTGCTAACAATGCTATCAGATTCGCGACATAAATTCATCTTTACACATTGGCATCAACATTAATCTGTTTATCTCGATTCTCTTCATCTTTTTATTCATCAAACATGATGAATTGTGTGAGATTCAAAGTTAATTCAAGTGGCAAAGATTTTTTTTTTTCAATTAAAATCAAGATTTGTATTCATAGCGATGAAATCTTTAATAAGTTATTATCTATTTAGGAAATTTCTTAAATTATATACAAAGCGACAAATCCTATTAAGCGGATCAAGGTTTAAATCGACAGAGGAAGTGTTAAAGATCTTTTGTTAGATATCTCGTCGTCTCCATCTCATTATAGTCAATAACGCTTTTCTACCGTTGCTTACTGATCCAAAACATCATAATCCAATAAATCATTGAAGTGTAGATGGTAAATTGAAGTGTCAAGTACGACAATTTGATTTGTAACGAACCGTTCAATTCAATTGTAGCGTTGATTTCATGGCAATTCAAATTTTAAAACTCCCATGGAACAGAAATCATCTGTAACGAAAAATTAATCTACGTAATTAAGTTACATCAAAGAATAGAAATTTGTCATGCGTATCAAGATTGATTTGTGGTTATCATCAGAGTCTTTACCGTTCTCTATTAAATAATCATAAATAAATATTTCTTTTTAGTTCACCACAAGAAAGTTTTAAATTAAATTCATCAAAATTTTATGAAGTGATGCGATATTGACCGCGAAAACAAACTGAATTTGAACTTAAAAGTTAAAGATGATACCTTGAATCATCAGTTAATGTTTGTTCCACTCGTAACCTCTATGCTTTCGGACCGTTAAGCGCACATTACTTATGTAACAATCATTAACACATGAAACGTATGCATTATTATGTGAGCTTGTAACATTTTATTATATTTCTTATTACAGTGGAACTTCGATAAACTGATATCTCAAGGGGGGTTTGTCAAGGTATCGAGGTATCAGTTTGTCAAAGTTCCACTGTACACTGTACAACGATTGCTTATAAACACATCGACTTCAATTCATTATTTAATTTGTATCGTTCAAGGTTGCTCTTCAACTAAAGCAAAAAAAATTCATAATAAATCATTATTGACGATGTAAATCTTTAAATGCTCTCGTCAGAATATAAAATGTGTTTCTTAGAACATTTAATTCACTTATTTCGAACCTTTTAGCGGAGGTTAAAAGATTCACAAAAGCGTGGAATTCTATTTCTATTTGTACTTCACTCATTGTCTTCGTTCTCACATTTCTGATTTTATGGAAATGACGATTCCTGTTGAAAGAATGAAATAAATAAACAATTCTCGACACATTTCAAAGTCGAGCGACGGCGCATATTTAATGTTGTTTTGTGTTTGCGCATTGAGTGAAAATAATGTTAATTAATCCTTTTAACTGAAAGTTTTCAGATCAATGATGATAACGAAGACGAACAAAAGTCATTTGAGTACAATTTTTATTAAAAAAAGTATAAAATTTCAAGAAAAACAAGGAGAAGAAGATGAAGCATGTTTAAGGTGCAACCAACATAACTTCAATTTCAATGACCACACATTGCAAGTCTGCAGCGAACAAAAACTTTTAAAAAATTGTTTCCAGACATGAACGTTGCAAACGAAGAAAAAGAAAATTTAATTCTTTATGCGTTTTCGTGGTTGAAACGAAACAAAAAGAAGCAAAACTTCCTTTCCAGAAACTCGCAAAAAGCAAAATCTCGACCATTATAAAATAATTTCGCCTTTTATAACTTCATGTTGTGCAAAATAAAAACCGAATTGACTTTGAAAGTATGCGATCCATTTTGAAAAATCTTCGTAATATTCTTTTATTAAAAATTCCTTTACTCAGTTATGTTGCCGCGGTTTCACTCGCCAAACACGTTTCAATCAATTCCAAGAGATAAATTTCGGCAAAATCATTTTGCTTCTGGCTGTGTGCAGCACAGTTTCATCATCAATCTTCAAAGATTGAAAAAAAATGCCATTCTCAGTGATTAATGACATCACTCGTTGAGAGACCTACAAAGATATCTTTTTCATTCTTGCTTACTGATTTACCTTTTACTGACTTTGGAATCTTAAGAGAAATCTCAGCTCTTTAAAATTTTACATGCAATCTCAATTCATTCAGAGATCATTTATCTAACTACAATTAAATTAAATGAACACTGAAGTATTTTATGTAAATCCTTATTGAATATTTATAGAATCGGCTTACGGGGTAATTATTGTAGATTTGTTAAAAAATTTAGACTTGCACTTCTTTGGAAATACGAGAAATGAACAACGCCAAGTTAGTTTCATAATAGCTTTGAGGGAGTCACGATGCATTTGTGCAATATAAAATATACAGTGAAACGAATTGATTGTATAATCTCTTCTTGAATATAAAATAGCTTCCCTAGTTCAACAACAAACTGCTAAGCTCAATAAATTGATATCTCAAATTGCGCGGTCCGAAAGAGCGGCTTAATCAATAGAAAAGAAAAGAAAAGGAAGAGAAAATGGGCATCTTAGAATTCAATTTACTGCAATCAAGACAATGTTCTGTAGGCTTCTAAACAATCTAATCAGTAATCTGCTCTCCTCCGGTTCTGATGCAAAATTACCAGGTTGAAAGTGAATTAATGTTTCTCAGGAAGATTCTTCGAATATTGAAAGCAAGAACATGCTAAAAAAAGAAAAGAAAAAGAAAATGATGCGATTTTGAAGAGAAAATTATAACAATCGACTTTATAAAGATGGGAAGAATGAAAAGTTGCAACATTTGATCGTAAATATCCCATCAGCTCTGAAGATATTTGAAATGTGAAATGGAAATTTGCTTTTTCTTGCTAATATTCGTCTAGAGTCTAGACAATAGATAATTCAAATGTGCATTTGCTTTTAGGTGTATCCATGCAGGAAGCCATCAGGGAAATTTAAATACTGCCAATGAGTAACATTAAACAATAATTAATCTTGAGATTAGAAACTCGCGTCGGGTTCACGTTATTCCACTCATTCAAGTCTTTCTCCTTCCGCTTATTAATCAGTTTTGTAATTCAATCTTCAATTCATGTAAATATGACTCGTTCTCTTAACAATTTAAATTAATCGAATTAATAAATCTGAGAGGCAATGAGTATCGAGAGCAATAAATGAGTTTTAAAGCAAGCAAGACTTTCATTTCCATAAATTTCCCATTACTTATTTAGATACTAAGAAAGCATCTTGAAAAATAAGATGAGAATGAAAATGTAACGTTAATAAGTATCATCGAAGCAAAACAAAAACTAGAAAAGAAATAAAGAACCAGGTAGAAGTGCACGATTGATGTGGTATTGAACAACATGCGGTTTGACCATTTCTCCTTCGATCGCAACACATCGCTTATCATAATGAGAAACGCGTTTAAAAGCTTATGCAAGACAATGTTTATGTAATAAAACGCGTTGTACAATCTACAAATGTTCATCTATTCGTAGAATGTTTATGAATCGTTTATTTAATATGAGAAGAAAAACTGGAAAAAATGATTCGCAATTATTATGAAATTCTTAACGAGATGTGACAATTTCGGTGATTTATTTCTTCATTCATTGCTTTATGTGGTTAAACGCCATTCTGGAAATTACTAAAAGCATTAAATAAAATAAGAAATGCCAAAGAAAAAGTTAATTTATGCACTTCGATGATGAAAACTGATCAAGACTTTGCCATTTTCGTCATTTCATGTCGTGAAATGTTTCCAAATGAAGTGGAAAAGGGCTCGAAGCATATTTAATTCATTTCGATGCCTTTTCTGATGTTGAATGAAATTAAATTCAAGTTGAATTTCTCATGAAACACAGCAAACATCAAGTACAGAGAAAAGTTGATTGAATGAATGGCAAAATTTAAACTCGATCAACTACACTGACAGATAAAATTTACGTAAGACATTTGGAAATTGTTAACACAAATTTATCAAATTTAAAAATGAATCATTTAAAGTCTGACAATGCATGGAATTTTGAATAATTGAGATTATGTTGCTTCATACTTGGAGTAACTCATAAACTTCACCGGAAGATGAATAATTCAACTTACGCAACAACAACACTTGTCAATCTTAATTGAATTCTTTTCTCACCTAGTGATTGATTGAAACTTTTTAATTGGAGCGAACAGTTCGGCAAGTGTCGATTGTGATTTCATTTATTTCCTTCGATACTTTTTCAATCATTCACTTGGTGTTGTAGATATCAAGTTACGGAATAGAACATGTGTAAAGTGTTGGATTGTAACGGTTCAGTTGGGAGATAAATAATCGAGTGAAGGTAAAATGGAAGATCGTCATATCATAATTTTACCATCTACAATTAAAAACTCTTTAACATCAGTACTTAGATACGAGTTTTGTTCTTTCCCCCAAAAATTGCCGTTCTTAGTTTGCTTTCTATTTAACTGACCATATCACTGTAATGAACGCCGCTCTCTTCGCGCTTGTTGTTCTTGCTTTTAATTGAAGTGAAATGGAATTAATTCCTCATGTATAAAGATTTTTATGGTTTGTGAAGATATTGAGGAAGGTGAAGTAGACCACATAAGATCTGATTACAAAGAACATTTCCCTCAAGAAATAATGAAATGAATCGCTTGATGAATTTCAACAGTGCTAACAAATAAAGAAAAGCTTCTTGACTAAATTACCGATTAATTGTCATAAATTTGCCATCATTCTGTCCATCATGGCAGAAAACTGAAAAGAATTTTATTCACGCTGCGATGACTGCGTGTTTCTATCATACAAACGTATTTATAATTCCTCCCTGTAGGCAAAGTCGACAAAAGAACTTGAAACTGTTTATGTCAAGATATCTCGCACCGACCATTAGTATTAATTTTAGTTTTGGTTAAATTCTTCACAAGAAAAGAAACGACGCCGAGTCGAGTGAAACATCGCTTTGTATTCTTTATTAGAAAATCTTAATGCATCGACAGAAAAAGAAATAAAAAAAAAGTAATATGTACATAGTTGTGTAGGTGTTTAGAGTGCATTAAATCATTTAATTTCAATTATTTTATGATCAAAAATTACCGGAAATTAATGTCTAGAAGATCTGCAATTTACAGCCAATTCCAAGCCCTTCATAGGCTGTAAATGTTCATTCGATCTTAATCTTTATGCTTCTTTCGTTTTCTTCTCTGAAAATTTGAAATTCTTAATAGATTAGAACGTTTGCTATTCAAGCAGAAAGAAATGAAAAAAGAATAATCAACAAACGGTGCTTTAACCAAACGCACTCTTTCTCCTTAGGCGCTATCAAATTACATAATTGAATTTCTTAATGAATATTTCAATGATTGTTATGAAATGAAGTGAACAGAAAAATCTTTTAATTTTCTACCTTCATTGAAACGTTAGCTGGTGACACAAATAAAGCATAAGCCACAATGCCATTGCGGCATTGGAATCGGAAGAAGAAAAGAAATCAAATGAAATTCAATTTCTCTTTCTGGTTTTGTGATCTTTTTGGTGTTTTCAAAGTTTCAACTGTTTAAAGCTGTTGATCTCAATGAAGTCAATTGTGAAATTGTCAACAACATTTCACGTTGAGATGCTTCAAAAACAAAAATCATAAACGAAACATCACAAACGTTCGTCGTAATGACGTTGTTTAACAAACACTTATCGGAGCTTCTTCATTCTAATGCTTTCTACTTTTTTTTCTTTCTTTTGTCTTTCACACGTTTTTTTTTTTGCTACAGTCGCTTATTTTTCATTTTTCTAATACCACACCAATACAAACTTCTTCAAAAAACTTATTTAAGTCCATGACTAGGCTTGTTTTATTTGATATTAATGGAACGATGATTCCTTGAAACATTTTTATGACAATTATCTCACATTATTTGTTTTAAAGCGTCGATAACATGAACGTTTATGGTGTTAATTTGACTTTACTTTAACAATTTTCACTCTTTATAGGCCAACAACATAAAGTCCAATGTTCTGAAGACACCATGAAAGTTCTTGTTGCTATGACCGAGCCTACAACACGCGTATATCTTGAAGGTCTTAACGGTTACAAGAATGAAAAATGTGAACCGAAAATTGAAGATAATCTTGCCGTGTTTGAATTGAGTCTCATCAATTTTTATGACTGTGGAATCATACGAGTGGTCAATAAATTAACAGTAAGTTGAAGAGTTTGCTTTGGCTAATGATTGATTTCCATCAGCATTTTTCTCTTTTACTTTTTTGTTTTTTAAATTGAAATTGGAACTTTTCTAGGACAAGAAAACCTTCTACCATAAAATAGTTACTGAAAGCGGAAATCAGAAGCAAATAATAAGCGTGAAGTGTATAACTCAACCGATTAATACCAACGCCACACTCTATCATTCGATCACCCGTAGAGATGTCTTGCCAGTTGGTTTTGCAGAACCTGAGTAAGATATCAAAATGAAGTGTTTGCTTATCTTACGTAGTTTAAATAATTTATTATTCAATAATTGCCCAGGGATCTCGACATATCAACCGATGTAATTGGAAAAGCTCCTGAACCAGTTCTCGGCGTAGGTGTAAGACAAGGCGGTGATCTTGTATCAGAAAACTTGAATGTCTCTCCAGGAACTCCGTTGCAAATGGAAATTTTCTTAGATAGCGCTTCAGCACCAGTTTATGGGCTTGGTGTTAATTTCATGCAAGTTTCTGATACACGTAGTCAAGAAGAAACGATTATTTTTAATGGGTAAGATTGTGACTGATATTATGGTCTGATTACTTTAATTAAAATTTTACATTAGATGCTCTGTCGATCCTTATCTCTTCGAGAACTTTGTTACTCAAAATGGAGACTTCTTGATGGCTAAATTCCGTGCATTTAAATTCCCCGACTCTTCTTATGTTCAATTCCGTGGGACTGTGAATGTCTGTTTAGATAGATGTAAGGGCATTGAATGCAGTAATGGACAGATTGGATTTGGTCGTCGAAAGCGTGAAGTTTCCAACTCCGATTCTAACAAACTTTATGAAATTGACATGTCGACTTTTATTCGGGTGGATTACGAAGGCAGTCCAGACACAAAGGTTTTATCTGAAACCGAAGAAAATCTTAAACAGTTGAAACTGGCGAATCAGAAATTAAACCGAAATAGTCGAGAGAATGTCTTTGAAAGTATTCACGATTCGAAGCCTGAAAATTTGAACACTGACACAGCGAAGGTTGAAGAGACAAGCATCTTCACTAAAGTCGTTGAAAACTTTGAAACTTCTGGCGTTTCAGTTGTAGTAGGAAGTTTATTTGCCACCCTCGCATCTGCAATGATCTGTCGATTCATCTAAGATTAAATGTCATGGACATTACTAAAATGTTTTCCAGCTCGCGCCTCATCAAAACTTACCAAAAAAAAATAAATCCGAACTAAAACGTCATGCTTTTTGCGAAAAAGAATGTGAAGGAGTTTAACGAAGCTTAAGAGCGGAAAGAAAATAATACTAACGTTAACGTTTTTTTGGCATGAAAGAAATTTGCGACTTTTTATAGAATGATTAAACTAACGATCAGATAATTTGTGATTCTTTATTCCATGATGAAGTGACTTTAATTTAATTAATTTTATGAGGTAAAGAATCGTGAAGAGAATGAACAAAAACAGCGATGAACAATTAAAAATCCCCAAACTAACGATAATCTAAACAATTAAGATTGTACTAGTCTATGATAAGATTAATTTTAAACGATTATAATTCTGTGTAAATTAATTTTCTCATCATGTGTTATTTGTTAAGTCCGATTAATAAAGATGATTTTTTTGGAATTCAATTGAACGACTGTTTATTATATTTAATTTTTCTTTCAGATGATGTTGGTAATTATGATTAGTCATTAATGTATGGCGCATGTATGGCGAATGTTTCATCGAAAGGTAAAAATCTCTCATTTCCACATAAATGTTAATCGTTAGTGATATTGATTTTATTAAATAAACATAAAAAAATGTCATGTTTGTGGCATAATTTATCACATAAAAAAGCGAGAATTCCTCACTCATCAATGCAATGATCTTATCATGTTTTTGTAACGTATTTATAAGATTCAAATCTGTTGTGCCAGAAGAACAAAAATGAAAATGAAAAATAAATTTTTCAACTTCGAACAATCTTTCATATAAAATCCCTCAGTTGTAGTGGTTTTCAAAAAATCATCAAAAATCATAATAAATATGTAATTTAATTTTATCAAAATAGTCAGTATTGCGCACTTGAACGTGATACTTTAAGTCATGAGGGCGAACAAACGTTTTCTTTTTACATTAGCAATTATTGGAACGTGGACGATATTAACATATTTAATTGTAATTAGAAATCATACAGATTATCAAAATAATAAGTCAAAACTACGAGAAAAAATTGAAAGCCTCGTTAAAGACATAGATAAAGAAGCACATAACCGTGAAGACATCATCAAACAGTACAACAAGTTGATCCAATCAATCAAAACCAGACCAGCATCGTCATCTGTGTCGGCAGATAAACAGGAAAATCTTGCCCCGTTGGAAGATGACAATAACAAGCCAAAAAATAAAATAGAATTCAACGGGAAGTATGTAAACAATGATATAAACTCTCCGGTGATACCTGTAATTGTGTTTGCCTGTAATCGTGTGTCGGTAAGTCGAAATCTTGATGCTCTTATTAAACATCGACCATCCCGCGAGCAGTTCCCTATCGTTGTGTCTCAGGTAACTAATTGCACTTTATAATTTATTCATTAAACATAAATTTGCATTATAATTGTTTAGGACTGTGGTGACGAAGCAACACGTGAGGTCATCATGTCCTATAATGACGAAGTGCAATTAATTCAACAACCGGATTTGTCAGAACCAGTTGTACCTCCAAAAGATAAAAAATTCAGAGGATATTATAAAATTTCCCGACATTACAATTGGGCGCTTGACACTGTATTTAAGTATGGCTACGATTTTGTTATCATCGTTGAAGGTAAAAATTATTTTCGATGTTATCAATTAAATCATAAAATTTTCGATATTTCCCAACATTTCCAGATGATCTCGATATCGCTCCAGACTTTTATGAATACTTTCTGGGAACTTTTCCCTTACTTAGAGCTGATAAGACTCTTTGGTGTATATCAGCTTGGAATGATAATGGGAAAGAAGGCTTGATTGATGACTCAGCACCTGATCTCCTTTATCGTTCTGATTTCTTCCCAGGCTTAGGATGGTGAGACGATATTTAATTTAATTAACAAAGTTTACAATTTCTTCCTTCATTTTAGGATGATGAGCAAAGAGTTGTGGAATGAATTGGGCCCAAAATGGCCTAAATCGTTCTGGGATGATTGGATTCGTAATCCAGAACAAAGAAAAGATCGAGCTTGCATTCGACCAGAACTTCCTAGAACGAGAACGTTTGGAAAAGTTGGAGTTTCCAAGTAAGATTTTCTTTTCGATTAATTTTAATATCAAATTTATGTCTTTGCTTTTTCTTAGCGGATTATTTTTTGAAAAACATCTCAAATACATCAAACTTAGTGACACTTCAGTTAATTTCTCAAAGAGAGATTTGAGTTATCTTTTGAAAGACAATTACGACCGAAACTATCTTAATGAAGTTTTTAAAACTCCAGTTGTGACATTTGAAGAGTTACGACGTGGCTTAGTGAATTCAAAAGGTCCAGTACGGATACAATATAACAATCGAAATCAATTCAAAAGTGCTGCAAAAGCTTTAGGAATTATGGATGACTTTAAGGTTTGTTTTTATTGTTTTTGTCACTTAATTTATTCATTTTAAAAACAAATTTTCAGAGCGGAGTTCCTCGAACAGCATACAATGGAATTGTATCTTCGTTCTATAATGGTCAACGTGTTTATCTTGCACCAAGCACTAACTGGAAAGGCTACGATCCATCATGGAGCTAACAGGATATCATGATGTTTAAAGTGATCAAATTAATGTAAATTAAACATTCATTTCACAATGAAAGACTTCAAATAATTTAACAACAACTTCATTGGTGAGTATGTAAGATCGATGTTTTTATTATTATTAATCATGTGTTAGTTATAAGAAGAAATGCATTTAAATAGATAAAAGGAAAGTTTTCTGAGACATCACTGAAAATTTAACTAAAATTAGTTATGCCAAATAAATATATCAAAACAAGTTCTACAAATGCTAAAACTTTTCATTTCTTGGTGTTTTTATAAGAAAAGAAGAAGGAAAACTTTTAAGAATAGAGAAGAACTAGTTTTGGAAGCGTGTTTTTAAATAAGTTATGATCAATAATTCCAATGCGTGAATTAACTGATAACCCAACATGAGCAAACCTTTTGTTATCAGCTTAAAACTTTCTGTTTCAATTTCATTCAATACGCCACGTTTAACTCATATTGAAAATTATGAGGGCGACAACTTTATCTGTAGCTATGTAATCGGAAGAGTGAATTTTTTTTAAATTGCGAAAAAAGCTTAATTGAAGGTTGTTGAAAGAATGAAAGAGCACAGAAAATATCTATGTAGCTTAAAATAATAACAATAAATGTTAATGTTTGGGTTCTTACTGATGCGTGATGCAGAACATTTTTATTAAAAAAAGAAAACAAACAAAATACAAAAAAAAGTTTGAACAAATGACTGACCGATGCAAGTGGCACTTGCCAAGTGTAAAAATGAAAATAAAAATCAAGTTAATCATAGTCATCCAAAAAATCAGAGCTAAACTTCTTTGTATACATCGAAATCATTGATTTATGGAATTAAACCAAAAATATTTTCCTGCCATGTAAATTTCTCCATAGAAAAAAAATTAAAAACGTGTCAAAATGGATTTTTCAGTAAATTCCCATTTTTATTTTGATAAATCAAGTTTTTGATTATTTTTTTAATGGCACATGAGCTGAACTTTATATTTCTGATACAAAAAAAGAATCAAATAAATATTTTTATGTACATTTCGAGCAATTAATATTAAAATTAATTTCCTTAGAAAAGTCTTCGATCGGAACTCTAATTTAACATCATAAATTTCCTAGTTTAATTAAGTTATTTATAAGCATACATTCAGTTTCTGATTGAAGCGAGCCCAGTGAAACTTTTCCTCGAAACGAAGCAATTTTTTCTTACATTATTAAGCAATTTTATGATTTAAGTCAGTTATGATTGTTGATTTCCTGTGTTACTTTAAAGAGCCTATATTGAAACTTTCTTTTTGTTATAGGCTGTGATATACAAATAAAAACTTTGTTAACAAACTAATAAAAGAATTGATAAAAATTTGATTTTTTCATTATTTTCAATCTTCAACTTCACAATCGATGTCGCTACTTGAAGTGCTTGCAATGTCATCTTTTATGTTGAGTGCATCATTAAACTTGTGATTATTGGAAAGAATGCTTGAGTTGTTCCCAAATCGACTTTCAAGATTCGCCAGGTCATTGCTGTTGTTATGATCTGAATCAGCTTTAACTTCCGGAGATGTTAGGAACGAAGTTTTATTTCCGAAACGAAAGTCGATTGTTTCTTGTGTTCGATTGTATGGCGAAAATTGTAATTTGTTGAAATATTCATGTCTGATAGTTTTATTCATGAAATTTGGCGGTGAAGGGTAAGTTTGACTTGATCTAGGCGATATTATTGGTGCGTTTGTTGGTGGTGCATAAGTTCGACTTAAAACCGAAGGATGCAACGACGAAATATGCTGCGGTGTTGGTGGAACATTGTTGAGCAGAAGTGATTGAATCGGTGCTGGTGGTCCATGTGGAGGTTGACTGAACAACCACAAACGATCTCCAACAACCATTGGACGCGCAATTCCACCAATGCCAAGAGACGAATAATAATGCGACGCTAAAGTTTCAACGTCTGACGTGTACTTTCTCTTGAACTTTGTTCGACGATTTTGAAACCAAATTTTAATCTAAATTTTAGTTAAAGAATACAATTTTAATATTTTCTCGTTTAATTTCTTGTTTTTCAATTTCCAAACCTGAGTTTCTGTTAAGTTTAAGGATTTTGCAAGACTTGTTCGCTTCGCAACTGACAAATATTTTCCCCTTTCGAATTCTGATTCAAGTGATTTGATTTGAGCGGCGGAAAAAGCTGTTCGCGGTCGCTTCTTTCTGTCGTCGGAATTACTAGCTAGAAAGACATTAGCTGGTTAATTAATTACTCATTAGCAAGATGAACATTGCTCCAAATATTTCTTTTTCATGCATCTCTGACAACTTCGACATTTTACACCTCACGGGAAAAATTTTCTTTTAAACTTAAATGAACAAGACGGAAAATAAACATCTTTGTCAGTAATTAGCGGCATTTGAAAACAATCGTAATGTGTATCCAATAAGCGCAATTAGAAACTCATTACGATCATGTCAAGAGACTTTATTTTCACACTTGGAAAAAGAAAATTTCAGTTGGGAAAACTAAACAGCAAACTTATTTATTTTTCGGTCAACAGAAAATGTTTTTCTTGTAAAAGAGTTGACGACTGATAGAACTAATTAATGTTCAAAGAAGTCAGGTTTAAATCACATATCAAGACGAGAACTAATTGATTAATTAATTGAGAAGATTTGTTTTGTTTCATTGCAATTATTCGTCTTGCAGAGTTAGAAATAATTAAACGAAAGTTTTTCTGAATGTTTTCTATTTAAAAGTTGAATTCGAATCCATTTTTATTCTTTCTTCAATTTTTTCGCACTCGATAATTAATTTAAACTCCGCCTTTTTTTATTTGATCTTTTTTCTGTTTTTGTCACCCACACATCTTTCATCAAAGCACTAAATTTAATTTAATATTTTAACGAAATGACCACAACACTCACTATGAAGACTTAGAGTTCCATCATCGGAAGTTGCTTCACTGTTTGTTTCATGATCTTCGTTATCATTCTCATCCAAACTTAATTCATGATCGTCATGCAATTTTGAAGATTCTCCACTCGTCGTTAATTTGTCTGAATTTAATTCACTTGCACAATTCACATGATTGGCATAAAATAGAACATGATTATTTTGAAATGGATTTTGTCGTGCAAATCTCTTTTGATCTTCATTGTTATCCGGTCGCGATAAAATATTTTCTATCGAAAAACTGTTCTTAGAACGAATTTCCGTTGGCTTTTCAGACTTTTCCATCTTTTTCCACTTTAAACTTATTACAATAATTTACTTTAACAAGTGTAGACCGATCGCGAGGGTGTCTGAATTGTTAATGAGCGAGAGTCCCGAATGAAAGTGAAACTTAAACAAATTTCCTTGAAGATTTCATGATGATCATTAAGCGAAATGTCGCGATGTTTAAGTAAAATTGTCTCTAATTGTGAACACATGTGGATGAACATTTTCTTTTTAAAATATTTTTTGGCTTTTGTGTCTTCTTACTTTTCGTGAGAGAGGATGGAAAACAGAGACACATCTCAAACGGCAAGCAATTAAAACGTGAAGAAAATGGGCGGATCCACAAACGATCTTCGTTCTCTTCTCATTGCTTGTTTGATTACTTTTTAATATTTGACTTATTGACTGAAAGGCGAAGGAAAATAAAAATTTAAACATTTTTTTCAGAAGCTAGGTGAGTAATTAATCATGTTAAAATATTCGTTGGCTTGAGGATGAACATGCGTTGGTAAGCAAAGAACAATTATTTGCGAAAAGTAGTACATCGATGACAGCAATGAAAATAATTTCGCATAAACATCAACAACATAAAAGACATGAAGACAAACACATGTTTTTCACTTGTGGTTTGTTTGTCATCTTATTTATCTACTTGCTTAAATGCAGAGAAATCCTATTTAAAGACTTTAAAGATCATTTTACAAAACCAATAAATCAATTAGCCTTGTTTTCATGTTCCGTCTCATTTTACTCTTTCGGATATTTCGACTCATCTTTCCTATTTATTAACTTTGCAGCCTTTTCTTCTATGCTCTTACTTTTGAATCTTTCATGTACGGTAAGATAAAAATTCTTATGATTTTTTAACGAGTAATTAAGTGATTTATGAAGTTAAATTTTTATTTGTCATGTAGACATTTGTTGATGTGCTAATTAGGAGAATATTAAAACAACTTAATTAGCGAGCTTCTCATGATTATTGTCGTCATAATTTTTTGGTCTCAGAATATTTTCCTGGTAATTCTGATGAAACGATCTGTTTGTTGCAGCTCTTAAAACATTTCACGTCCAATTAATTTTTATCACATTCAGACCTTCGAATTTTAAGGATCGTTTGGAAACTTTTCTCGTTTCTCTTAATGATTTGGGTAATATTTTGACATGAATATGAAAGACAAGAGAACTCTGTGATCAAAGATTTAATGCCAGAAGCGTGTCTCTTGTTGGAGTTTGCCTAGCAGATATTTGATCCAGATTATTGTGATTATTAAGTAATTAATGATCATTAAGATATGAATAGACCATAATGTATTAAGAACAGAATTTTTATTGAATTTATAAGCAGTTGCGTATCAAATTTAACAAATTCAATTAAAGGTAATAAAATGCAATTAAATAACTTTGATATCAAAGTTCATTTAATTGATTTGACTTTAATAATCATACGACAATAGAAGTGCAAACATAAATTGCCACATTATTTGGTTGTGCAATTCCAGAGGGTATTTTCTCGCACCATTCATGAAAATTGCAGCTGAAAAACTTTGGGGGTTGTTTGTGAATGAAGTCAAGAAATTATCCTTCATCTAATATCAAGAAGAAATTTTAAATTTCCTCACTGAATTTTTCCCACTTGAAGTTCATTGAAGAAAAATAATTCTGGAAACATGTTGTCTGTAAATTGTTTAATTTATGTTCACATTTTTTCTTGATCACATTTAAACGTTAAACACATAACAACATAAAACATGAAACTCAATCTTAATTAGTCTCGTGTTTCATATGGAAAATTATAAACGTTCTGTTGTGGTGGGAATGTGCTGATAAATTGTGACGCTTTCGGATGCAGACATTGTGCAAAAAAAAACCGGAAAATTGAAAATAAACGAGAAAATGTTGTGAAAATTTTTAGACATTTTAACTGACAAACGAGGAGTGCTTGAGGTTGACTAATTACTTAAGATTAATGACTATTAGAAGTGAATAATCGTTCAGTCACTAACCCAACTTCTTCTAAATAAATAATTAACAGATCTGTTCCATTGTGAATTTTCTAATACAGAAATATTTTCATTTTCCTCAACATTGTAGAAATATTTCTCATTGGTGGAAGACAGAAAATTTTAATTTACATTTTCATTTTAATTAATTCATTGAAATCTTAAAGAGTTTCCTTCAAAAGAATTCTTCAAATTTCTCAAGTTTTTGCTTAATTTAATTTTCTTTGAAGCCAATCAAGTCAACTATTGGTGACAGGTGCAGTCTAGCAGCAAGTTTCAGTTAACATTCTGCCTTCTCTTAAATTTTTATTAAGCTTGAAAATTGATCCAATTAAGTTGCAAATTTTTCGTTAATTATCAAATCTATTCGCTCATAATTATAATGAAATAATTAAATGATTTAATTGCCACAATAAACAATTTTTCCTTTATAAATGCCATCGTCAATTTTTCATTCGCTAATTAAGCTTTAAAAGAAATATTTTGCAATGTAGTTGACAAAAATAAATCTCAATTAAATTATTTTAATTAATAGTAAATACATCAAATGAAGTAGAAGTAGTTTTGAAGGCGTCAAAGCAGATCAAGATGGAAGTGTGCGATTAAATATGAAATCTTATTAAATATGATGTTGAGGAAACTTCTTCATAATGAATCATTTACAAACTAATCCCACGCTTAATATCTAAAAAGAAAATCTTTTCTAATTAAATTTGAATTGATGAAAAATTGAGTTGAAACCTTGCCAGTTAAGAACTTGAAACTATCTCACTCCTAATTGTCATTTATGTGCCGTAATATTTTATTCTGACATTTAACTCCTCCTCTTTCGTTTCTTTTTTACTACGTTGTGGGATTTTTATTTTCATTCATTTCACTAAAAGATTATTGATGGTGATTTGGTTGGGAAAATCTTCGGGAAATTTATCATAAAAGTCGTTTTGTAAATGCGACACCTCAGACAATTTAACGTTAAGCATCGTTTAACCCGCGAGTGGAATCTTTTGATGCTTACAAAAATATAAACGGAAGATTTTTGTATTCATCAGCTTACGGAAATAATCAATTTTCGTCTTGTGACGTTTTGGAATTCAGAAGCAAATCAGAAAAGAAAAGTCTTTTGCCTTAGGCGCCAGAGATCATCCTGGAATGTCCATAAGGAAATGACTTGTTAGGTGAATCTTTAATTTTAACATCATTCAATATTTACAGCATAAAAAAGGAGACATCAACGTACGGTTAACTACTGAAAGATAAAATTCTTAATTACAAACTTATCCTTCCAGTTAGTCACAATGAAAGAACGTAAATAAGCTGATTGTCAAATGACGAGTGTCAGAAGCTATAGACTGAATTTCGTGACTCTCTTACAGTCAAATGACAATTTTTATGAAACAATTCAAGCTCGTTTTCACTCTGTCAGTTGCTTAAGTCAAGCGACTTGTCATTTCAGTGAAATTAATTTTCCAGTTGTAGCTGATAGAGTGATAAGATTCTCATCTTAATAGAACTCATCCGGTCTGTAATGCATTAAAGCTATAAAAACTATCATGAAAGTCTATCAGAATATTTTTATTTGAATCTTATAAAGAAAAAGCTGTAAAATATTTTTTATTCTGAAATTGTGAATTATAAACTAAGTGAAGAGAGAATTAAAAGTTTTTGTAGTGCAAGCAATCTATGTCAAGAAGTAACTAAATTAGATTATAATGATCAGATTACTTAAACAATAACTCATTGTTTCTATTGAAGAAAATTCAATCACAAAATGACAACAAAATAATTTTTTTGTTAATTTATTTAAACAACAAGTAGAAGTTGTGCACAAATATTTAGTTCGGTGTAAGGTTTGAAGTCGTTCTGTTTGCTGAAAATAATAAAAACAAATAAATAAAACAAAACAATAAAGCTTCTATTCCTGGAATATTTTTATGATACTTAAGATAACCAGAAAAGCTTTTGTTTATGAAGTGCACATTTAAAATGAGTGAGAGTTCTACACAAAGTGAGAGTGATCCAAACTCCCACAACAAATCATCAAACGAAGTCGATGAAAATCGATCAACTTTGAGTTTCTTCTTAAAGATCGGCTATGGGTTTGGTCACGTTTATAATGACTTGTCTGCAACTATTTGGTTCTCGTATATTCTTCTGTATCTGAAAGATGTGTTGGAGATGCCTAATGAAGCTGGTTATCTCATGATGTTAGGTCAGATTGCAGACGCAGTTTTTTCTGCAATTGTTGGTTTAATGACAGATCGTTATTACACAAAACGCAATTGGCATATGATGGGAACATTGATTGTTATTTTATCATTTCCATTTCTTTTTATGCTGGAACAAAACGTGCTTCCTTATTTGGCTAAAATATTTTACTTCATATTATTCATAACTTTATTTCAATGCGGTTGGGCGACAGTTCAGATTTCTCATCTTGCTATTCTACCGGAATTGTCTATAACACACAAAGATCGTTCAGACTTGAACTCGGTTCGCTATTGCATGTCAATATTTTCAAACATCACCGTCTTCACGATTGCTTGGACAGTGCTACATATTCGTAATCGAAATAGTGAGAGCATCGGTCCAAACGACTTTGACAAATTTCGGGTGAGAACTTAAAACTTCCAATAGAAGTAATTAAAAATCAATCAGTTTATAATTTAATACAGAACATTACAATATTCCTGACTGCTATTGGAATTTTAACAACGATAATCTTCGAAGGTTCTTTATCGCTTAGTAAATACAACAAAAGACGAGAGGATAAGTTTGCGACATCAGAACTTGACGACTCAACAAGCAAATCTTCATCTGTTGAGATTATCAACGTTCTGAAAGATTTACAGCTCTATAAGATTGCTTTTCTCTACACATTTTCACGTTTATTTCTCGTCATTTGCATTATCTACATTCCCATCTGGTTAAATGATTTCATGAAAACGCGAACAGATCAGACGATAGAAAATATTGCGATTATTCCACTTATCTTCTTTGTCGCATCATTCGTTGCTGCTTTTCTTCTTAAATACTTAAATCAAAAGCTTTCGCATAAGGTGAGATGCTGTGCTTCCATAATCGTCGATGATTTATAACCATTGTTGATTCCCTAGATTGTTTATTGTGCAGGTTCTTTGATTTCCATTTCGGGCTGTGTTTGGATATTTTTTTCCATTTCGCTCGGAGCCAATGAACTGATTGGAATTGCAATTCTTCTTGGTGCAGGCAGTTCAACCACACAAATTAGCAGTTTGTGTATCACTGCTGATTTGATCGGTGATAAAGCGGAGCATGGTGGATTGATTTATTCCATCATTACAGTATGCGATAAACTCTTCTCGGGAATCATCATTTTTGTGATAGAAAATTTGTAAGCACATTTTAGTTGATAATGATGTTTTAATGATTTTAATCAAATGCATTGCAATTATTTTTTAGGGAAGCTCATCAAAATTATTACAGCAACGTTCTTATCTTTAACGCAATCACAGCATTTGTAGGAATTTTAATTCTAGGAACCTTCATAGGAAAGCATTAAGTTATTAATTAAATAGATAAGTTTTACATTGATTATTCATTCCGTTATCGGTTGCATGCGACGATTGCACGTGTGCTTAATACAGATGATTTTTTTTAAGGAAATATTCTCGTAAATTCTAATGTTTCTCTATTCCTTGCGAAATACATTGACGCCTGTTGGATTTTTAGAAAGCTTTTCCACCTTTAATTATAATTAAAGCAAATGAAAGCAAACATTTTGCTTTCAGAGAGACTCTTCTGTAATAAAGACGAAAGCGCAGCTAACTTCACTTTGAACTTTGAAAAAACCGTTAAAATTTTGAACACTGTAATTTATTTCACAAGGAAATGGCTTGGAAAAGTGAACATTTTCATGAAAATAAAAAATTTCTTACATAACAACTGAAGCCTTCTTCAGTACTTATAATTTCTTATGGTAAATCCTATTGATTTGAACTTTCAAAGAGTCACTGCACACATAAAACTAATCGAATAAAATTGATTTTTTATTAAGAAAACAAAAAGCACTACATCATCATTCATTTCTCTTAATTCAATTATCTCGGAAGTTTCTAGTTGAATGTATTGAGTGAAGCGGAAGAAAGAAAAAGTAACTGAAGGACTTTGCAAATATGGTCATTTCTGGACATTCGAAGGATGGTGACATTTAGGTATAATCTTTGTTGACTGCTAAACCATTCATAGAACAATAAACTTAACAGTTTTTATCTGAATATCTGAAAAAAGATTAAAGAAATGTCAAGGTCAAATTTTAAAATGCTAAACTTTTTTATAATTTTCTCTTTTATTGTCACAAATTTATTTCTGTTGTCAAAATACAACTTAGACAATTAAAAATAGATCCTAACTAAATAATTGTTAGTTTCATAGCAATTCATGCCAAACTTCTTTTAAAATTTTCATTGATTTACTGTATCTTCCTTGATAATTAATATAATTAATAAAATCGATAAAACCATTAATGTCAAATTATCTTTTCTTTCTTATCTTCCTATCCTTGCTTGATTGATTCATAATTTTTTTAATTTTTACTTTTCTTTCATTCATTTTTAAATATTTAAATAGAATATTGATTGATAATAAATTATTTCAATGCATATTAAAATTGCACTTTATCGATTATGGACTATCAGAAATATAACTTAGAATGCAGGCAACATAGGCTTATGCATATTTTGATTAATCATTACATAGTTGCATTGCTCCCAGCATAAATAATTTGTTTGCATTCTGCTAATAAATAATTTACAGCCCAATAACCTCAACTTGACTCACTTTAATTCTAAGATTATGTATGTCATTGCATAATAAATATCTGCATGTATGTCATTCTCCACTAAAAACTTGGGAATTTTCACTTGACTTCTTTTCCAAATATTTTCTTTTTTCATTCTAATTCGGCACAGAGTTTACACAGTTTAAGTTTTTGTTGCTAAAAACTTAAAGAAAAAAGCTTAAATTAAAAGAAACATTTTATTTAATGCATTAACTAACTGATTATTTAACTTGAATGCCTTAATCTTATGTTACAATGTATTTCAATCTCATTTAGCTCCTGATGAACTCTTTCAATTAGCCTCCACTGAGCAAAATTTTCTATTTAAAACTAATTAATGATGAAACAATTAAATTTCACGTTTAACATTCTCTTTTCATCTCGCTTCAATAATTTTCTTCATCACTTTTCCTTTCTTTCTTCTTCTACTTTAACTTAATTTCTCAAAAAATTATTTTTTTGTGATTGACTGAACTGCATTTCGACTTCCAACTTCAATTTCAAACGCATTTTCATGTCGGGAAAAATTTATGATTTATGCGATGTTATGGTTCACTTAATAAATTTACAAAATATTTCTATGAACTAAAGACTTAATTATTTATTAATGGCTCAAGAAAAACATTATTAGATTCGTTAAAAAATGGATTATGAAGAATTGCAGAACATAAACGTTCAAAATTCCACTTTCTCTGATGAAAAAATTTCATTCCAATTAATTAACAATCACATTTATGCTCGACATGAAATTTCTTTCGAAAAGTCTTAAAATGAATCTTAAATGGGGAGTATTTTCATGTTACGTAACCTTTTTAATGTAAAAATATTTAAAATTGTTTGAAATGTCAAGAAATAAAGAAAAAGATTTTTCAATTTTTCTCCCAAATTCTTAAAAAGTTACGTAAGGTGAAAATAAATCCCCAAAGTTACTGCCTACAAATAAGTTTATGATGTATAAAATTAACTTAAAAAATCTTAAATTTAATTACGTAGTAGAAACGATATTCGTTTGTGGAACGAACCCAATTTTTCTTGCTCTCATACCAAAACCTTTGCCACCCTCAGGATCGGGACCGAGTGGCTTTCTAATGAACGGTTCGTTATTCCCATGATTTGGACAATTCAAGCTGTTTGTTCGTGATCGTGTTATTGGATTCTCATTATCATAAGTTATTGAATTAATTGATGTTCGTCTGTCATAACCAGAATCGGTTGAGACTTTTCTTCCGTTGATGTAATAATCGTTCGATTGCGAAAGTTTTCTTAACGGATCGAAGCCATTCGACGAATATTTACGTTCGTAATTCATTGAACCAGATGAAATCTTTCGTTCAAAACCAGTATCGAATGAAATTCGTCGACTATCAGGTGCAGTTGAAGTGGAAGCACTCGAATATTTACGATCGCCAAAGCTTGAAGATCCGCTTGAAAACCTACGTGAAAAGTCGCTAATCGAACCATTTGAGAGTCGTCTGTAGGAATCTGTTGAGAAACCAGAACCTCGTCTTGAACCACATGAACAATGTTCAGCACAAGTCATGGAACCACGTCGTGGCAATGGCAATGGGGGAGCTTGAAGTTCAGAGAAATTTGACAGACGACGTTGGACATCAGAACCTCGTCTTGATAAAGCTTCAGAACAAGTTGAGTAACCATCAGAACAGTTGGAATAACGACGTTCATTGCTTAAAATTTGTCCACAAACTGCACTCAATCGTCTTGGTGGAATTTCGTAATATTGCTGTTGATGGAACTGATTGAAAGGAGGCGAGTAAACTGCTTGTTCGTTACCAAGCGACATCTTTCTAGGTGTAGGTGGAAATTGGAAGTTACTTGGTGAAGGTGGATAATAAGTGCCGGAGTTGTTTCGTTTCAAAAGGTAACGATTGTTAACATTTTCACCTCCACGACTTCGCTCGTTTTCACTTTCAGATGTAAATTTATTTCCTTCAATCATTTTCGTGACTGTTTTCTTGCCGGTTTTCTTTTTCGGCAAGACAAGTTCAAACACAATTATGTCATCCATTTTCTGGGCTCGTCTCGCTGATGATGACTCGGTGAATTCAACAAGTGCACATTCATTTTGTTGCAATTCTGGATGTTTATTTACAAATTGACGAACATCAGCTGGGATGGGGCAATTTGGACGAAGAATTCGAACCAAAGCAATTTCTCCGCACTTCGAGAAAATGTCAGAAATCTTCTCAATCGTAAGTTTATCAAATGGAAGATTTGTTGCGACTACAGTACGCGATGGTGTTGTTTCATCATACAATGGCAACGGTTCCAATCGACGAATTTTTGTCTCGACATCATTCAACTCAATTTTTTTACTCTTGCGTTTGATGGCGATGCCAACAACTCGCCAATCTTTGACGAGGGCACGGACTCGTTTGAAACTTGACACCAACTTTAAACTTACAAAGCCTTCTTTGTTTCGCCGAACGTGTTTCAATAAGAAGGCATCCTTGAGTAGACTTTCGTCAGAGAAATAAAATTCAACTTGTTCAACAATCTGTTCGCAAAAATCGTCATCGGGAATTTCAATCGGTTGTTCATCTTCACTGCTGCTTTTGTTTACTGCTTCGCCACTTGAATCTTTGTTGTTATCATCATTCGATGACATGTTACGATAATCATATTGATCGATTTGCTGTAAGCTCTCAGTGTTGTTTTCGTTAGAACTGATGGAATCGCATGTGTTAGAATGTTTCATATGTTTCATCGTTGAAACGCTGCTGCTGTCTTGATCACTGCTTTCCACGGCTTCGTCTTCACCTTCAGATTCCATGGAATTTTTAACAACTTCCTTGCTTTTCTTCAACGACTCAACATGCTTAATTAAAACATGATTATCCAACATTAATGGAGTCAGCGTGTCAGCGCTATTTTCTTCGTCAAATTCCGCTTTTGTATCTTCTGGAAAGGAAAATTCATCAACGACTGCGACCTTGATTTTGGGAGCTGAATCATGTTGATCAAGTTGCTCTAATGGTCGAGAAATTGAAGGTCTTGGAGGTGGAACTGGAGCTGAACATTCTGGATCATCCATGATGTCACCAATGCCCTCATCACCGGAATTGTCAAATGAGTCAATTGACACCTCGCCTGAATCAGAATCACCAGACGATGAAGGATGGAGATTCTGCACTGAACCGAATTCGTCATTTAAATTTACGTGACTTTCACTTTCATTTACTTCTAAAACACTTTGCGTTTCAATGCCAACCACAGTCGTCGACTTATTATTTAAATCGTCACTGCTTATTGCCTCCGAAGTCGTTGCGTTCATTTCTCTATTTTCTTCAGACATTTTTTTCTCTCTCTCTGTTTCGTTCCTTTCGTTTATGTTCACTTTTAATTTTTTATATTTCGTCTCTCAACTATAAAGCTTCTTTAGTCTTTTTTTTAATATTATTTATGAGTTGGACGATGTTTCTTTCTTCTACAATTTATGGCAAACTTTTGCTGCTGAAATGCTCTTTGTTTTACTTGTGTATGACTTGAGTGTGTGATGATCAGATATCTTGCAAAAATTATGCGCAATCTTCTTACTTGTAGTTCTAAGTTCTCTTTGACTTATTTCGAAGCACAAAAAATTAATTATATTATTGCACAGCCAATTATCACGATCAAATTCTTTGTTTTTTATGCAGTTTATTTTTTTCTCTTAAAGCAGTTCAACTTATTTTACTTTTTTTTTATGCTTTACTACTCACACACTACAGGCTGATATTTTTATTCGAGAGAATCGAAATATTTCTTTACGGAAAGCAGGCGAAGTTTTTTTTTTATTATTCAAAGTACTTTCACAAAACACCGAACCCAAATTGAACGCTTTACAAGAGCTGTTAGCAAAATTAAACCAAGTTCCAAGCGATGCTTTTATGCCAAAAGCCGTTTTATTGTTGCAAAAATTGAAGCTTTACGAAAAGTTTTTTTTTCTTCTTTATGTTTAGCCAACACAGGTCGATGAACGAGATTTTTGATTTATGCTTCAGATATCCAAACACTTCGTTTTCACAAATTTTTTGATTTAAAAAATCTTCAAATATGATTTGAGATCAGCTACTGCCACTTTTATGTTGATGCCTAGCTGTGATTCTTAATATTTGATCGTGCTTCAAGATGTTGTTGATATTTCCAATCGAAAATCTTCACAAACTTCATCAACATAATTTTTGGGAAAAGTTTTTTTATTTTTAAAAAATTTCTGTAGTTACTTTTGATTGTACAAACAACTTTAGATTGAACTTCAGCAGTTTATAAAAAAAAGGAATCTTGAAATTTTTATTATTTGTTGTTTTCTTCTTTTTCTAGTTCACTGTAAGTTGGTCATTTGTGAGAAGTAAGTACACTTAAAGTTGCTGATAGACTGAAATTATATTTAATTTACACGCCGGTTTTATACTTCAAGCTCCCACCACCTAATAAGCTCTATGAATATTTGTCGTCGGCTTACTCACAAGCTCAATATTTTTGCGATCATTTGCGTTTGTGTTGCAGGTTCGATTGAATGTAAACTTTATTGTTTCTAGGGAATTACTTAACACTACTTGCAAAAACATAGTCAAACGACGCTTGTATTGGACTAGCATAAGTGCAACGAACAGGCTTCGTTTAAGCCGAATAAGTAAATAGTCTCTGAAACTATCATGAAACTTAAGCTGTGTAAGTAATGTGCAAGTATTTAATATTTTTCTTTTTCTTAAGTCGAAATAACTTTTCTTCTTAGCTTTAAAATTCAAAGTGAACAAGGAAAAATGTGCAACAAAATTGAAATTTTTTTATGAGTAAAGAAACTTGAAATGAAAAGAAAAATAAAATCTTTTCTCTAGTCGAAGAATCTTTTCTGTAATTTCTTCGTCAGGTTTGGTGAGTTTTTATTTTTTCTTTCTTTCTTCTCATCTCGTTTTCAATTTCGAAGCCATAAGAAGTGTTTCAATAGCCTTTTTTATGTTATAAAATCTAGCGTCGTAATAAATAATGAGAAAAGTAAAAGCTGGTTAAGGCTTCTTTAGAATTATTTATTGCGTTTGAAGTTCAAGCTTATGAGGCAATCGATGAGTTTGCGTAATTTTTAAAGTCCTTTATATAAAAGCTTTACGATAGTTTTTATTATTCAATAATTTAGAATATTCATGTTTGCTTTATGAAACAACAGCGAGTATCAGGTGACAATTTTTCTCTTAATTAAATTAACAATAGAAACCACATCACCTTATTGATCAGGTCACAGCTTAATAATACGTAATCTAAAACATGTTTCATGTGATAAAGATTTATGTCGAAATATGTAATCATATAAATTATTATTGATCCGCTGAACAGCATTTTTCATTACATGAATTAAAGAAGAAAAAAAAATTGAGAGTCTCTTGCAGATATTCAAGTTCATGTTCAATGCAACAAAAATTAAATACCAACCACAGAGGCAGTTTTTGCGCACAAAGTGATGCAATGTAAGTTAAAGTTTGCTATTGGCGGGCGTTTGTATAGATATTACCGACATGCAACTACAACGTGAATCTAACTGTAGTTTATAAAAATTGAAATTCACAAACGACAATGCAATTACTTACTAAAACTATCTATTTACTTCATCTCAATGATTTTCCGGAAAGAATATCGTGTTTGCATTGAATGAGAAAAAATATAGAATGCAAACGGAAGCAAACTGCAAGTGAGTGCACAGCTATTGAAATCTAAAAATATTTTTCAAGATCATGCATCACGATTTGTACAAACAAAATGATCTCGTGGGGAGATGATGGGAAAGAAATTATTTAAGTTTTCTACAAAAATGTTTGTCAGTATTAAAAGATTGCTTTTAATTCTATCAAATGTTTTCATACCAATTTAAAATCTTTAGATGACAAAAGATAAATTATTTGTGTTTTGTTCATTTATTACATTTCTTATCATAAAACAATGTCGTTGTTTACAGAAAATAAAATTAATTAATGGAAAGCTTTTTGACCTTCAATTGGTTTTACATTTTATGTATTTACAAGTTTCAAACAATTTTTGTTGAAAAACTTTCGTCTGGAGTCGTCAGAAAGAACTTTTTTTAAAGTTTGTGAGATTATGAAAAAATATTTTACGAGAATTATTTCAATTAGTCACTGAAAAGTAATTTAATTTCCATATCGCAACTGTTTTTCTCTTCATTTCATTTGTCATCAACTTCGCAAGCACATAGTAAGAAAGATATGTAGATAAGTGTGTCAATAATCGAAGTGATCTGATATTTTGAGTAGATAAATTTTTATCGCCTTTTGTTTTAAAACGTAAGGTTAGTAATAAATAAATGAAATTTTAACTTAAAAATTCCACACATGCCTTATTCAGTATCAACAAGGACTGTTTCACTTATTCACTGTTTCTGTTAAGTGCAAAATTAATTACGTTTGTTTGCTTATACCATGTTTGCTTCTATTTCCATGTTTAGATGTGTTAAAGAGAGAACTTCTTGAGTCATAATAAAAAGTGAAGATAAATGAATTAATAAATAAGAGAAGACATTCTTGTTTTCATTTTTTACATTGCATAATCTAAGTTATTAGTCTGTGAAACTGGATGCAAGTAATAGCAAGAGTGAGTGCAAAAAACTACAGGAAAAAACCGGAAAGGGTTCTCAAAGATCGTTAACATTGAACTCTCATCTTAATATCGCTTTTTATTGCAACGACACATGCAAAGCTCAAAGAATATAAGAAAGAATGGTTGAGCTGTCTGTGGTTGTCAGTATTGGATAAAAAGTTGCAATAAATAGAGAAGAAAATGAAATTACAGTTGACGCGCTATAAGCGGAAGCTCTATGAGAGCAAAAGCTTCAAACATGACCACCCCGTTCAACTTCATTTATATTGAAAAGCCATTCTAAAAGCGGAAAAGCTCCTTACACGACCACCCCCTTCAGTTTCCGCTTATAGAGCTTCTACTGTACTTCACTTTTTCTTTAATGTTTGAGTGAACATGAAATCTTTGAAAGGGAAAAGAAAGATAATAAGTAAGAGCTTTATAAAGTCTTAACACATGCACTTTTCAATCGCTTGACGATTCCAATGGCAGCAAGAAAGGGAAAAGAATTCTTTCCATAACAATTCGCTATCATGCAGCATTCGTTTTTGTTCTGGTTCTTGTTTTGTTGTAGTCTTTGAGACAGGCTATTGACATTAAAAATTCTAATAAAATGTTGTAAATATTGTTGAAATGGAAAAGGTTCTTCTTTGCAATTTAAGATTAAATTTATTAAAAAAATTAATGCAGAAATGATTGAGCGATTAGATTTTATTTTTTCCTCGTGAAATAAAATTTTCACTCAATCGTTGGCAACGAAAACGTTTTGGCTTTCACATTTTATTTATAAATATATTGCTAATTAAATATTCTACGTTTTTTAAATATCAAAATACTCAACACTTAGAGGTGATTTTGTTGTCTCATTAATTATTTTTCACAGATGAATTCTGACAACATAATTCAAGTTTAACATGTAAATATGCAAGAGGGAATTTTGAAAGGAAAAACAATCAACGTCACAAGAATTTTTCTCATCTTAACTCATGTTCAACTAATTGGTTTTTGAGCTGCAATAAGATTTCGTGATTTGGTCATGAAAACACAGAACAAGGACAAGTCACGCAAGTGGGGAAATGTTAAATTTTGCATAGAGAATTTGTTTAAATTGCTTTTTCATTTCTAAAAAACTTTGCTTGCAATTATTTTTTATTTCTCCTTGTCTAACAAACCTGACGAGTTTTTTGTTCGCTCTGATTCAGTTACCTATTTAGATATATCGAAGAAACGACTTTGTTGCGTTGTGAGTTAAAGTCCTTTTACTTTACGGAATTCCACGATGTTAAATTGCTACTTCCACTTTACTGTTATTTTTTTTCTCAGTTAATGTGATTTAATGATGCTTTTATTGAGTGAATATCATTGAGAGTTTCCTGATCACATCTTATGCTTAAATTCCTGTAATTCAAATGTAAAGCATATATTATGCTAAAGATCATTACATACAATGGATGCATAAGAAACTGAAATATGTTGGCTTTCGTAAGTAATTGGAGGCTCATTAAATTTATTTGTTTTATAAATTAATCGTAAATAATTATCACACATATTTCTAATTAAAACAAGAATTTAGTTTGTAAGTAGTTTAATATTTGTTAAAAAAGTTGACATGTTCCATTAAAATGTTAATTATCAGTCTTTTTATTAATACAAATAAACATTTTGCACTGTCTCAATGTCATTTTCATTTACTTATTGCTTGTTTTCTTTGATTAAGTCGGAATTGTGATGTGCTTTGTTTACCTAATAAATTTAAAATTACGCATTGTGTTGATTTTCTTTTTCGTATTCTTGACAATGTGAATTTTTAATTTAACATTCGCGAAAAATGTTTAACTGAGAGTTTGATAAGCAAAGTGAGTAATCGAGACTCGAGAGATCAAAATTCAATGCCAGCACATGCATTAACACACGCAATGGAGTAAATATGAGTGAAATGAGAATGAGTTGATGTTGTAAGGTCAAAACAAGCAATGAATAAGCTCTTGTCGCGTCTCTGATTGACAGATGAATCTCATAAATTGTCGAAATTGATAATTAACATAAAGTTATGCACAAGCTCGCTCATGATCAGCGAAATTTAATGAAACGATGTTGAAAATAAATTACAAACAACAACTCAATAAGAGAATATTAATTAAATTGTTCGTTCATTTGGAATGAAAATAAAAATTAAGAAAATGAAAATATAAAAAAATTATGATGGGAAGCTTTCAACCAATCATCGTGAGTCGAAAACTTAAATTGAAATCGAACTTTTAATGTCTTGAAAGCATAATATGAACAAGTAAAAGACTCAGGCTTGCCACGCCTTGGATCTAGTAATCGCCCTTGCTCCTGTGTCATTAACTTGCATGCCATTTCATTATTTTTTCACTCACTTAATACGGATCTGTGAAATTTTTTGATCAACACATTTGATAATGCAGCTTCAGGGTTACAAATCTCTCACTCAAAGATCTAATCACTATTTCCTCTGATCGTTGTCGCTCATAATATGCGACAGTGATCTCGATCAATGAAATGTTTACTTTTTTTTGTCATACTTGCATGACTGATTAGTCGCATAATAAAGTAAAACAAATAAGCATGAAAGTCGATGACGTTTCAATGTCATAAGAATTCCGGGAAAAATCTAAGTGACAACGATGGATTTTGACATTCAAGCCCTTTTTTGTCTGACATGTTGTTCGATGCTGCTAATCTGTGTTAAATATATAATTCATCACTCAATTAATGTTAGTTGTTACATATATTAAGATACTACATTTTGTAAACTTAAATGCCTGTTCAAGTTCACATAATAAAAACGCATTTTGATTAATCTCCACATTGAATCTGTTAGCGTGTGAAAAAGAACGAATGACTTTATTAGATACTTGGTAGAACGATTAATCTATTCAATACTTATATACGTATGTACATTGATTACAATAAATATCTACATTCATTCATTCGTTGTTATATAACAAATGTCACGTGAACGCAACGATAAATTAGGTCAGACGATGATGACGATGCACTTTGCATTGCAAAAGGCAAAACTAAATGTTCGACGTAAGAATAAATAGCAAAAACTTATAAATGTATTAGGTCATCACAATGCTCTTAAATCTTCTTGAAAAACGATTGCTTGTTAATAATAAAGTAACGCTGACCTATCAACAATAACATAAATCTTTCTTCGTTCGTATCGGAAACATTTATTTAACAATCGGAACTTCAACGCGAGAGAATCTTTGAAGACGTTTTAATGTCAAGTTTGCTGTTTATCTTCCCACCTACGAAATTCTTGATCATTGCGAAAATGACGTTTATGAGAGTTCAATCTTCAGAGATCAGAAATGAAACTTAAAAGTTTTCTGCACCAAACGGATACGTTAAGAGAACGAGTAAAATGAGTAATTGCATAAACACGAATGATTATCTGAAAGCAGCAAATGCAGATTCATGATTAAAAAATAATATTAAATTTATATCTGATTCAAAATCCAATTCATTCCTTTCTAACATTTATGTCAATGACATTTGAAAATTCATGATACAAACAACTGAGGGAGCGCAAACGAACGAACGAACGAAAAAAGTAAAATTACAATTAGATACGAATTTTATTTTTTTTTGCACGCATTTGTGCAAATATGTTATACTTTATGTAGGCATAACGCTTTGTTTGACGCTTATAAGTAACAAGACGACGATTGATTTGATTTAATTTGTTAAAATGTTTCAACGATTTATTCACGGCTAAGCTTTGCAAAACGTTTTGTTTCATAAAAGGTGTTAGATAAATTATGTATGCAAGTTATGAATTTCTCTCAATTATCTTTTATTAAATGTAAATTTTAAATCTTGTGGATTGACCTTTGGTCTTATTTTTTAATTTATTTTTCATGTAACTTCCACCCTTGCTTCTGTTGTTAACCAAGTAACAACCTATGAAGTTCTCCTTTTGAAATATTTAATGTCAAAGTGAATTCATGTCGTGCAGAGCTTTGATCTTGTTTCTTTTCTTTTTCGTATGATTTAATTTTTTGCAAAGAAAAAAAGGAGTATTAAGCTTGAAAAACCTTCTGAAAACTTCATTTCACGCCCCGATAATAGTGGATTGTGCAAATTAATAGGCTCAGCAATCACTACATGTCATTATTTAATGAGATTGATGCGTGAAAATCAAAAGTTAAACAGAGATACATTTGTGTATGTGTTGCCATTACCCTCGCTTATTGATTAATTGAACGCCTCAAAAAATTATCTCGGCCGGTTGTTCCAAACATCAACATTTGCAAAAACAAAATGAAAGAACGAACTTGACCTAATTTCATTCGAATTCGTTGCGGAGAAAAATATTTTAAAGCTTTTTTTTTCTTCTCTAAGTATCACAACTTACAAACGTGTGTAAAATATGAAAGCTTACGAATGTAGTTGAAAAACCTATAAAAATTGCACTTGCTTTACTTCTACGTAGGATTTGGCATGCACGGAACTGAAAAACAAACAAAAGACGTGACTAATGAAAAAGCTCGTTGTGAGTTCTGATAACAAAAAATTATTTCATGGGCTTTTGTTTTATGAATTGTAATTTTATTCAAAGCTTGATGCTTGAAATGCATATCCCTTCCGAACTAATTAAAATAAAACAGCTTTCACCTTCAAAATGTGCAAACAAACGCTCTTTTGTGCGATGATAATAAAATGCAAAAATTTTCAATCTTTCTCCTTACCTACGACAATTGCACATCGAATCGTTGTCGAGTTGTTTACTTTTAAGCGGAAGAGCCTCGACCTATCCCAATGCAAAAAAATAAAACAGCAACAAGCGGTGATGAATAAATTGTTTAGTTGTATGCATTGCAAGTCTCTTCTTTGGGAAGAAATATTAAAAATCTTACTGTTTTCAAGTTCATCATATCTCATAATGAATGTTTGTCGCCAGACTTAAAGATCGCTCGTACGTAAGCATGCGATTTCACTCGCGCTTCCATCACTCATAAAAATATAGAAATATGAAATGAAAAAATTTAAATTTTAAACGTGTATCAGGGTTGACGTTTGAACTTGAAACTGGCAAAAATAAAGTCTCGTTTTGCGTGCGTAAAATATAGAACATCGACTCGGATGTAATGCAGAGCTAAAAGCAAACTTAATTAATTTTTGTAAAGGTCAATTGATGTTGTTTGATCGAAATCGGATGTGATTATGAATAATAAAGATCTCGTTTACTTTTCATAATTTGATTGTTTATCAATCCCTTAGATGGCCTGCAACGTGATTTTTTACCACAAAATGATGAATTGTAAAGATCAATGACATTTGTTAGTGCTCCTTCAATGCTTTTATTTCATGACAGTTTTTGAATGCGATACTTTTAAATTTCAAACTCAATCATAAACATTTAACATAGCCAAAAAACCATAAATTAAACGAAAGAAACTGAAACCTTCACGCGTTGATTTATAAGTTTAGTTTTAAGTTGATCGTGCGTAAATATTTTCTTTACATCAAATCGCATAATGTCACTTTGAATTTATTTATTTAGGTATGTACATTGGAATTTCTCATTTGACACTTAATCTACATTTTATTTAGTAATATTTAATTCAGTTAATCCCTTTTTTGTCTGCGTAATTAGCAACATAAAGCGCCATTACATGCAATTTATTTTATTTTTAATCAGATTAATAATCGAATCGTTAAAGAATTCGCAGCGATGTAAATATTTCAATCAGACTACCTGAACTCTTGATTTTGTTTCTTATATATGAGACATACAAACAACATTAACATAGAAAAATTGCAATTTCCAGCTTTAAAATAAATAAAATTAATTCCTTTTAATTCACGATTAATCACATGATGTGAGTCAGACTGTTTTGTTAAGGACATTTCTATATTGATATAAACACGGAAACGGCCCTCAAAAGTCTAGGATTCTGGAACTGCAATTTTAAATCAATGTCGATGAAATCATGAATATTTCTGTTTTACATTCTACAAGTGTTTGCGACGCTACGAGGAAATTTTTAATTCAAGTAGGTATCTATCTTCGTATTTTGTTTTCGTTTAGCGAATTGCATGAAACTTTAATAGTAATAAAAACAAATCTACACACAACAGTGTCTAAAGCAACCTCGATCGCCATAATTTGAACGTTCTTGACTTCTTCTGGGACTTCATCTTATTATTATCATTAATATTATTATTTTTATTAAATGAATAAGGTGAGTTTAGCAGTTGTAGAGTTATTAAGGTTCAAGTTTATTTATATTTTCTTAAAGTTTTTTTTGCATAGCATAAAAGTTCATTAACTTTCGATGGATGTGATTGAAATATTTACAGCAAGCATAGGATATTTCTTACAATAATATTATTTACTTTCAGTTTCAATGCCAAGAGGTAACAGCTTTTTAATTGCTTTAAATTGCGTTTGCATTTTTATCTCGTGTTTACATAGATACTCATGTGCTTACGTATTTGTGCATCTACGCTTTTTTATCTCATGAAAAAATGTTGAATAACTCAAACCACATAATTAAAGCTTGACAATGGTTAGAAGAATTGAGAAATTCAAAAACATAATTAATAAACATAATTATATATAAGCCAATCTTTCATCTCATGCAAAATGTTCGCATTCTCTAATAGACATGTTAAAGACAAAGGAAAATATGTCAAGTTCAGTGTGGCTTTTAAAAATAACATCTAACGAAACAGACTTACGGACTTTTACTGTGATCTTTAAAGCCATATGTTATTTTTTTTGGTTCATACTTACATTAAGTGTTTCATGAGCTTTAATTGATTTCGCTTCATTTTTTTTTCTTTTAAAGTGGTGAAATTAATAAACTTGAAAGATGATTTATTATGCGTCATATTGCAAAGGATGTTTGCTTAATTTTATTTAATTTTCTATTCCTTTCGATTATGTGACTAATCCAGTACTTCGAGTCGACAGGTGTCAGTAAAAATTAAAATAAATGTGCAGCAAAATGATTTGATCCTTGTCCTGATTTTTCATGGACTTAATTTCATACTCTAAGGATGTAACTTTAAAAGGATTTAAAACAAACTGTACTTGAAAGCAAATTAGCTAACTTATTCCCAGCCAAATTAGCGTGAATCCTTAGAAATTCCTTTGGTGACGTAAATTGGAATGAATTATTGCATCATCTAGTTGAAAAGTATAAGCGAATAATCTTGTAACTACACAGGAGTCGACCTTAATCTGACTTCCCTTTGAAAACCACTAAACTAATCAATTTAAACGTCATTCTGTGAAGACAAATTAAGTAAGAAAAACTTTTATTGTTTAGAGAAAATGGATTTTTCACCTTGCACTTGTGACAGATTTTTCTTTGTTATTGATCATGAAACTACAAGTGGGAAATGAATTAAGGTCAAGTGTCGTATGAATAGTTATGGGAGTTTCATTCCACTTTAAAGTTATAAATTTTATTGTATAAAACAATCATGATCAATGTCAAAGAAAACTTTTATGTTTCAAAACAAATCGAGGAGAAAACATTCGTTATTTTTAATTTTAAATGTTCGAATTCAACATCAATGATGTGATGAAATGTAATTTTTCATTGGATTGTTTTGTTTATTTGTGATTCATCCAAGTTTAAGAATTTAAAGAATAAAAACAAATATAGCATTGATTGGCATCAAATATTTTGTTACAACATCAATATTGACATCATAAATACAGTTCTATTTTTAAAGTAATATTAGGATTGTCTTTTATAGTGATTTATAGTTAATTTATAGAATTTTCCAAGTTTTTTTTCTTGAAAGAAGGCAAGTTGAATATTTTTCCATTTAATTGATGATTCAGCTATTATAAACTTTATATAATGCCCATTTTTAATAAACATTGATTACAATAGTTACAATCAGCAAGTTATCAGAATGCAACCAGAACTGTATGAGGAAGTAAAACTTTTCCGTCATGCACGAGAGCGTGAGAAGTACGACAATATGGCAGATCTATTTGCATTAGTTTCAACACTCCAGAATCTTGAAAAAGCATATATTCGCGATTGTGTGACAGCTCAGGAATACACAGCGGCCTGTGCAAAGCTCCTTGTGCAATATAAAGTTGCTTTTAAATTGGTTCAAGGCAATGAATTTCCAACAATCGATGTGTTTGTCAAAAAATATCGTCTCGATTGTCCAGCAGCTTTGGAGAGAATCCGTGAAGATCGTCCAATCACATTTAGAGACTCCAAGGGTAATATCAGCAAATGCGTTGCTGACATCGTTTCATTATTCATCACAATCATGGATAAATTGAGATTAGGCATCAAAGCCATGGACGAACTTCATCCAGAACTTCGAGATTTAGACGACACGATGAATCGTTTGTCTCTCATTCCGGAAAATTTTGATGGAAAAGAAAAAGTTAAAACTTGGTATGAAACTTTGAATGAAATGCAAGCAAGCGACGAACTTAGCGATGATCAAGTCAGACAATTTTTGTTTGACCTCGAATCAGCTTATTCTGCTTTTAATAATCTTTTGCATCAATCATAAATTATTTTATTGATAAGAAAGTTTCTTTTGACATTAAATTTAAGTTTTGAATTTTAATTAAAATCAATTTATAAGAGCAAACATTGATGATTTTAAAATGTATCAAATATATTGTTTCAATTCGATTCAATTTCAATTTGTCTGAGCTTGTTGTGCTTACAGCTCATGTGCAAAAGTCTCGACATCATTCACTCTTACTCTCATGTTTGCACGTACCATTTTATGATGTTAAATGAACAAGAATGAAAAACGAGAATAAAATGATATTTAAAAAAAAACAATTTAATTGAAACGAGACGATGGACATTTGAGTTTCACTTCTGCGTGAGCTAAAAATCTGCAACTTCCATATCAAAACATGACAGTTCTCCTACAGCCCTTTTCATTTTGATTTAATTTATGAAGTCTGAGTGCATCAATCATTCTCATAAAGTGAACGACAGAAAAAAGAATTAAAATAAAGTCTGAAATTATATGTTCGACCTTGTATGATCTCATTGACGTCACAAGTTGTGAGTTGATCCAATGCTAGATACATGCTAAAGAATCCTTTCAAATGTCTCGTTCGTGTTGAATATGAAACGATAAATAAGTTCGTTCTTAATCCTACTTGCCTACATTCATTTTTGCAAATAAAACTCAAATTATGTCAAGCATAAATTAATTTTAATCCTATTTATAATTTACATGAATAAAACTCTCTATCGACGATTTAAAAGCCAACAATTTCCATTTTCAACATGATTAAAAAAGTTAATTAGTCAATAAGAAAAATGTAGAATAAACATTTCAGTTCCGCTCTGTATGATGCAATGACCTCATTATTTGCAACTTAACTTGACCTTTCTATCGAAAATTTTCGGGGCTGGAACAACCACATCTTGTTGTATGATTTCACGGTCACATCTGAAGCATTTTCCGCGAGTCATTAAAATCAAATGACTCCGTGAATATTGCAAAAAAATAAAATGAACAAGATTTTCGTTTTACGGTTTATATGTTTAATGGACTGACTTGACATCGAACCAAAGAACTATGATCCGATCAAAGTGTGTGCAAAAAAGAAAAAAAAAACTCAATCTCATGTAATAAACAAACAGTCGAGCATGCATACTTTAAGCTGGTCCTAAGCATGTAATAAATAGAGATAAATCAAGATTTGGCAAATTAAACAGCAAGAGCTCGGATGTGAGAATTGAGGGAACCTTGTCAGCAGCCACATGTGGGTCAAGATCATTTCCAAAAAAAAAAGCATTTAATTTTTTTGCAGAAGCATTGTTTGATTTTTGCAAGCAGAAGCAAGTTCGAACCCCGTGCAATGTAAGCCCAAGAACGAATCAATTATGTCGATGAATGAATGATTAGAGTGAAAAAGACCTTTTTTGAAATCTTGTACAATTGAGTGCTACAATTGTTACATTTTAGTCCAACTTTGTTAAAAGGATCGATACCATTACGTGGTTTAATTGACATCGCAATTAAATTCACATTGCAATTAATTTTTGCACAGTCAGAATATTTATTTAAGATTTTTTTTCTTTCCACGCTTAATGATAATTGACGAGTCTTCAGAAACCATAATGAATGCGAATCCTTTTATGGCATGACATCGCTCGTTGCGAACTGATTGAGAATCATCAGAGAAACAACCAACAATCAGCCTTGAAACAACACACAATTTTGCATGATGTTTTGATGCTGATGACTCGTGAACAACTTGAACTTGAATTATGCTTCTTTTCTTTCATTTCTTTGTAACGAAATCCATTTGAAAAGCAAAGTAAAAAGAGAAATATTATTTTTTAATAAGAAAAGAGACTTTAAAAACTGTGGACAAGGTTGGTGAAGTCAATTCGGATTTTGTTTAAAAAGCTCATGTTACTTACTAACTTACTTCCAACCGCATTCATGGAAATGAACTTTCATTGTCGATATCCATCAACGTGGATCATAAAAGCTGACAAAATGACAAGTACGACCTTAAGACGCTAAACTCTGAGCTTGAACCTCTAACAACACAATGTTCAATTACCGGAACTTACTTAAATATTCCCCACATGAACTCAGTCATTCAAATTTATCTACTTTTAAGTTATACATTCACTGCTCGATTTGATAATGCTAAGAGTTTTTATATTCAATCGCGAACTTACTTTTCATTGCCAATGTTGCGAACATTTGAATAAATATATTTAACCGAGGTCAATCACACACTTTTATAACAAAAACAACAACAACAGCATCTTGTACGTAAGCAAACAACAAACAGTTGAAAGTGCGAAAATTATTCATTTTGTCGTGTCCTTTAGAAGAATATTTTAATGAGAAATTAAATGCATTCACATACCCCGTGGAGGGACAATTATGCATTAATTAAATCATTCATCTTCTCGCAACATTATAGCGATAGGGGGTTTTATTATTACGAAATAATGACATCATTTGTCTTTGACTGATCGCAGACTGTTTTCATGTTTGAAGACAATTAAGAAAGAAGTCGTGTGATGTTTAACAAAAAGCATCGTTGTGGTGTTATTCTGAATCACTCACTCATTTTGAAGACAATAAACTCTTTAATTAAAAAAAAGACAAACCATTGCCATCCATTGATTCAAGTTTTTTTGCATAAATACGCGAGATTATTAACGTTGTAAGATATGAAGTTTGTTTGATTGGATCACATGGGGGAGAAAGATAGAATGAAAGCAAAGATCTCATCAGATGATCCATTTATGGACATGTCTGCGAGAGTAGGTGAGATTTACGGTCACTAGAACATGACTTTGTTGGTTGATTTCAAATAAACTTCTTTAAGATTTTATTTTATGCTAAGCTAAAGACTAGACAACTGTGATTCAACCAAACTTGATCGTCTGAGATATCTCGTGCAACCAGATAAGTAACAACAACTTTGATAATCAAACTCGCTTCTTTTCATTTTTTATATTGTGATCAACAAAACACTTGGTTGTGCTAACACAAACACGATTTTGATATTTATGCAAATTGTAGAATCAGAATAATAAAATGAATGAGCTTGACCATGATCTACGCCAACCAAAATTAAGTTGAATGATTTTTTGCCTTCGCGACAGTTCAAGAGACTTTTGTTTGAAATATTATATGAATTTATCATTAACATTCATTCCAACAATTACTCGTAAGCGTATGTGCTTACTGCAGGACTTTTATGAACGTCTAAATCATGCTTACACAGCGTGATCATGAAAGGAAGGCAATTTTTAGTTGATTTATCATCAGGTGAGCTGATCTAGGAGTTCATTTAGTTTTATTTTACTTACATTGCCCTCCAATTGACCAGATTAAGATTAAATTATACTTTAATTTGTTGGATGTTCTTAACGTTTTGATATATCGGAAGAAAATATTCAAAACAGTCGAATTAAACCCACAATTAAAACAACTCTTCAGATATATCACAGAACACTGCGTAGGACGACCGAAATCAGACAAACATGTCGACCTTATGCGTCTCTATCAAAAAATAAAACCTTCAATGACTTTTCCCTATCAACTTAACTGACTGTAAAGAGCGTTTCTCTTCCTGGTCATTGTCAGCTTTACTTTATTGGTTTAAGCATAAAAAGCTTGCATTGGATCAACACTGAAAGCATCAAGTTCAACATCATGTCAATAATACAAACAAAATTATTTTTCTTTAATCTTTTATTTCTTTTTTTCCTTAGTTCATCGATTCATTTCTTCTTTTTTCCTCTTGTCATCTTCAAAAAATTTTATTTTCATTTGCTACATCGCTTAGTTAATCCATTTTCATTCATCTTAAACTTGTAATAATGTGTAATTAATTAATTAATTGAAAAAAAAATTGTTATCAGTATTAATGTTTTTTTTTTCTTCATTTTCTTTTAACTTGTTTACAGTTTTCCTTTTCTTATTCTTCTTCATTTTCTTTTTCTTTTAAAATTACAGACACAAAAAAATGTAGAAAAAGTTTTTCTTCTCTTTTCTTTTCTGGCTCGACGCTTCTTATCGCGATATTTAAAGATTTTTCTTTGTTTTTCTTCTTATAAAAGATCATTTTCCTCAAACATTTTTTTCTTTTTCAATTCTTTTAGAAATTGTTGTGTAATTAAATTTATATTTTATACGTGTATGTGTATTTTTTTGTGTTTAGCCTTAAAAACGACAAAGAATTACTATTTAATTTTAATGAAAAAGTTCTTCTCACGTCTCTTGTAATTATTTATGTATTTATGTATTTTCCCTTCCTTGTTGGTGCCGTGTGTTAAGTTCTTAAATATTTATTTACCCCCCAAAAGAAAGAAATCTTAAAGATTGTTAAATCGCGCTTGTGTATTTTCAGCGCAAATTAAAAAATATGTTTTAGTAAAGAAAAGTTGTGTTTTTTTGATTTCTTTCGCGACATGACAATAAAAAGATTGAAAAATGATTTTAGAAGAAGATTTTTCCATTTTTTTTCTTCCTTAAAAGATGGAAAGATTTGGAACTGCAAGTCGCTTAGTTTTGAGTGTTCCAATACGATGGCGACTGGTATGTTGACTTGGAGCCTTTCGATTGATTACTCGACTGTTGACGCTGTCCAGAGCTATTCGTATCCTGTTGAGAACAATTAAAAGTTAAATTTAAAAACATTAAATGAATCAGATCCTTAAGATCTTCTTTTTTTCGCTTGTTATTTGATGAAATTTTCAGAGGAGGCTCAAAGCTCTTAAAACTTTTGTCGCATGGGATTTGCAAATTTTATTCTAAGGATTTCAAATTAATTAATTAATTAAAAAAAGGAAATAATTCAAGCAGAATGAGAGAAAAATTCATGCACTGCAATTATAATTTTCTACCTAAATAAATCTTCATAAATGTCAATCAATCATCATCTAAAGAAAAGTAAGAAAAATGAGAATGAAACTGCAGTCGTTGTAATGTGACTAACGACGTGATTTTTTCTCTTTTCTTTCTTTGTCATAGACTCATAGGTTGACTCAAGAAAAGATTCACTTTTAAACATGCGTCTCTTTTCTTTTAATAAATAATATAAAAGCACGTGACATTGAACTTCGAATCTTAATGACCAGCGGATTTCTAAATTACTTTGGCCGTGACGAAACCTATTCAAACTATCTACGATAAAAGATTTTAATTGTTTTGTCGTTTCTTTGATGATGAGAGTTAAACTTGCTTACAAATTCAATTCACGTTTCACAAAGAAAAGAGAAAAACTTTATGTAAAATATTCAAAACATTCTGCTAGAATTAAAAATTAAAAAAATTACCAGTGAATTGTTAAATTTTAAATAAAAATCAAAGCGTCAAAATCTCAGAGCGAGTGGCTCCTTCAAAATCATTCAAAATTTAAAGGGGAATGAAAGGAGAAGTGATAGAAAATTTAATTCATTTTGAAAAGATATTTAAAGAACTTAAAAGCAACTAATAATTAACGACTCAATTTACTTACCCGTCGAGAGCCTGCCAGTCGAGTTCCATCCATCTGACAATTTATATTTTAATTTTTTGTTTTCATTTTGTTTGTTTTTTTTTCATTTATCATATTTCGGGTTTCGCATATTTCAAATGTGTCGTCATTAATATGCATCGACATCAGTTAATATATCATGAGATATTTTTGTTTGTGATCGTAGTTTAGTTTATCAGAACGGAGGGGGGGCAAATTCAAATGTGAAAACAAAAAAGTTTTTGTGTCAGAAAAATAAGAAAAAAAATACAGGAATTTAAAAATAATAATAATTTTAATAATAAAAGGATGAAGAAAAATTAAAATATAATAATAATAATAATAATAAAGGTAATAAATGTTTATTAATAAGGAGAAAGCGAAGAGAAAACAAAGAAAATTTTCCTTTTTCACTTTTCCTTCTTCTACGCATCCTCAATTTCCTCAAAAATTTCGTTATTTATTTATGTTTAAAGTTCATGCAAAAATCTTTTTCTTCTTCTTTTTATATCAAGTATCAAGAATCAAGAATCAATTTTTATTAGTTTTTGGTGGTTGGCTTAATGTTTAATCGTAATCGTATCCACCAGTTAAAAGCGATAAGAAAAGAAAGAGAGAACAAGAGAAGAGAAAAAAAGCTTCTTAAGCTTTCGTGTTTGTTTGTGTCTGTTATGAACAACATTAATTAAGATAATATTTACTACTTAGTAAATAGGTAATCATGCTTTTTGTATTAATTTTTGCTTTCTAGTCTTTTCTCTTCACAGTAAAGGAAATAAAAATAAAATCAATAAAAAAATCTTTCGAGTTTGCTTGTTTTAGCCTCAACAAAGAGTCAAAAGTTATTGAAAATCTTTTGGTTAATGATAAACAAAGTTCCATTTGGATAAAGAAAAACTTCACTAAGAATTTATTTGCGATTAAAACGAAAGTTAGTGAACAGGGAAAAAGCATTTTTAAAATATTTAAGAACTCGTTCGGGTTTCTTTTTCATTTTAATTTATAAACTTTCGCTTGTATTTCAGTAATTATAGTTAAAAAAGTCCTAAAATCGGGAGAAAATAAACAAAAAATAACAAAAAAAAAGTTGAATATCAGTCCACAATTAAGAGATCGACAAAAAAAAAGTTAAATGAAAATTGTCTGTTAGACAAGGATATTGATTGCCACGTCTTCTTTTTTAAGTAATTGAATAAAAATAAGAAATCTCAGACTTTCTTTTATTTCAAATGAATTAAAACATTAATAAAAAAGAAGCTTAAGTTGTTGTTGTTGAAGGAATTGTGAGAACAAAGCGAGTAAAAATGAAAATGACCATAAACAAAATGAGATGAAATAATAAGAAAAACTTTTTTAAACATTTTTTTGTGAGAAAAGACAGAAGCGAAAATTTCATTTCTTTAAGAGTCATTCACAAATTCCGTCAACTCTTTTTGTTTCTTTATCATAGCTTTTGACTCAAATTCTCTAAATTATTAACTGTGAATGTCTCTCAAATATGAAAAAGAAATAGAAAGAAGCAAATGAAATTGTAACTAACTACTCTACATTAACTACGCAAAGGAGTCAAATTTTCTATCTTTTTAATCGATAAACAACAAAATAAAATAATTAACTTGCTTAATGACCAAACGATGCTGCATTAGATTGAAGATTTGTTGCTTTAAATTAACTTTCTCAAGGGAAATTTCTTCAATCTGATTCAACATCGACCAAACATCAACTCGATACAATTAAGGAATGGAATTGAATGGAAATATAAGGAAAGGAAGTCAATGAGTGTGAGAAGAAAGAAAGGCGAGCGACACAACAAATTATTGATTGCAATTAAATCAACTCACCTGATGAATTTGATGATGGATGTTCATGTTATGTTGTGGTGCCATTGGCTGAAGGTACAAATGCTGTTGATAAGCTTGCGTCTGCGAACCAGCTTGTGATCCAGCCAAGTTAAATGGTGGTGGTGTGCCAGAATGGAACGATTGTTTGTCATATGACTGAAAACATGAAGAAACTTTTGATTAGACATCCAAAAAGAACTAAACAAGCTCAACTTACATTAACTTTATTCAATGTAACATGACTCTTGTTATACATCGACGATGCAATATCGGAATTCGTGCCCGTTTGATTCGATGCTGAATGGCCTTTCGCTTGTTGACCAGCACTTTGATAAGCAGTCTTATTATAATCTGGTGCTGTTTGATTCAAAGTATCGTAACCCGTTGAACCATAACCACTACTATAAGCCGATTGTTTGGCGAATTGTCCAGCATTTGGATTTGTTGCGGGCATTTGCTAAAGAAAACAAAAAAGGAAAAAAATCGTTCAAGACGTTGTTAAAAGACGAATAAAAAGTTTTAAATTTCTCACAGAATAGATTTGAGGGAATTGTTGAAATCCACTTGGCATTACATTTGTTCCATAAAAGTACGCATAAGGAGGAAGATTCATCAACTGTTGACTCGAGCCAGTCTGTTGCGATTGCACGGGACTTGAATTGTTGTCAGTTCGTGCAAAGCGACCATCAGCAGCCATCGTTGGATAAGCAACTGAAGCCAAATTTGAAGCAGCAGTTCCATCACTCCGAACACCAGCACCAAGACTTGTCGGCGTTTGATATTCATAATATCCCGTCATTGGTGTCATTCGTGGCTGAACAAGTTGCATATCTTCGAAATGAAGATACGGCTGTTGTTGGTAATAAGCTGGCTGAATGAACGAGCTGACGAGTGGAATATTTTGGACGACATTGCTTGCACCATTACCGCTGGTTGAACCCGTTGGATTTGTTGTTGCTACGCCACCACTTGTTGTCTGACTTGATCCAGTTTTAATTGTTGTCGGTGCCGTAGACTTCGTGCTATTGAGGCCTAATGATGGCGTGTTAATACTACTCGTAGTGGCGGTGGCATTCGAACTTACAGATGAAGTGCTGCTTGCAGCATTATTGGAACTGTGAAAAAGATTAAAAATATTTCAATTTACTAAACGTTTCTGTTGACGATCGTCAAATATTTTCGATGATGATGCAAAGAAAATAGAAAAAGATGAAATCAAACGAAATAAAAAAGCATCACAAGGATTAGAAACACTCGCTTACCTTTCAAACGCTCCTGGCGTTCCCTTAAGTTTTGATGTTAAGGAATTAATACTACCAGAGTACCTGCTGATATCACAATCAATGTAAGGGGATGCAGGGAAGAAATTGCATAAAAAAGAAGAGATTTTTGGTATTGGCGGTTAATTCAGATGATAAATTATTGCAAATCAAATGTTAATCAGAAGAAAAATATTTACAATCAATGTTCAGATTTAACAAAACGAAAATTTCTGTCGCTCAGACTCGGTAGGGTTGCTGGCCAATCATGCACTACCTCGAGACTTCGAAGAAGTCACGAACTTAATTTTCTCCGCAATTTTTTCTTATTTATAGCTTAAAACTTCAAAGAGAAGTTCTTTGGACTAAACTCTACATTCTCTATAAAGTTTTGGTGCTTCATGATTGACCAACTACCCTAAATCGAAAGTTAATTTCACTTGTTAATATTCTGAATCAAACCATCACTCATTTCGTAAAGTAATAACAAATTAGTTTGCAGTTATCTTGCGATAAAGAAATGTCCTTTCGATCACTTCTTTCGTCGCACGAAAACTGAATGAAAAAAACAAAATTAATTAGTTAATTGTCATTCAAGTCATGTGATGATAAAGTAAAGTTTTAGGGGGAAATAAAGAAAAGAAGTGTGTGAATGAGAAACAAATGAATAATTATTAATAATACTAACTCTGTGTTGTTAAGACCGGCAGTGTTGCCATAAACACCTTGATTCTGGTAAGCATTCTGTTGCGATGGGAAACCTGATTGATTAACTGGATATTGATTTGAAATGTAACTAAAAGAGATGAGAAAGTGAAGGAAAATAAGATTTGACATTCCAAGAAGACGAGAAATTCTCGATTAAACCCACCCAGACGAACTATTATTAACTGGTTGATTTGCAGTCGACACATTCGAGCCAGTCGTTTGCGTTTGTTGTCCAGTACTTTGCGTACCTTGACCTTGCTGATAAGAGTTTTGATTGTACCCGTAAGAGTTGTTTCCTTGCGGATAATTGTTCGACGGTGTGTTGTTGTAAGCGTTTGTTCCATATGCATTCTGATATCCGCTGCCCTTCTGTGCAGCTGAATACGAAAGATTCTGATAAGCATTACCACCAGCGGTTGTGCCTGTTGCATGATTGTAAATATCAGCAGGCTTTGTCAATTGATCAAGCGTTGATTGTGCGCCAGCTGTGCCAGCAGTCCGTTGAGAATAACTCGAAGAGAGATCACCTTGTGTTGATGACGAAATGGAATCACCGTGCGATTGTTGCAAACCACTTAACCCAGTTGATTGCGACCCTTTCGGCACTCCACTGCCTTTTCCTGCATAGTCTTCACTGCCATCTCCTTGCACATATTTCTCAGCCTCATACGACTCATCCGTGCCAGTTCCAAAGTCCAACTCACCAAATTGTACGCCACCCAAATACGCGTTGAGTCCATCGCCAGGCATTTCAACTGCTGTCGATGGTATTTTCGAAGGAGGCGGCACACGAGCTCTAGCACGTTGCTGTTGCTGCTGTTGTTGACGTGGAGCTTGCTGTCCACCGCCAACTTGATCATTGTAAGGATATTGCACCGTTGATGAGTACGCCGTGCTGTTTTGCGAACCTAACGTATTGAAATACTGAGATTGCTCGGCTGAGAGTGATGCCGACTGTCCCAAAGGCATTTCGAGCGCTTGACGTAGTTGTGCAGCTGCTGTTTGCATTTCACCATACTGTCCACCATTATTAAGTGCACCAACTGTTGATGTACTCGATACAACTGTTGCACTGTATTGCGGTACATCGTTTTGTGAAGGAGGATTGAGAATCGCTGATTCGAGACCAGGCGGTGCTGCGAGATCTTGTCCACCACCGGTCGATGGTGTAGCACCTGATGGTGTGAATACTTTTGTGTCCGATAATGAACCCGTGTACTCTTCATTATCCCAATCACCTAAATCACCCCAAGTCTCATCATTCTTGTTGTCATTCGTCACTTGTGTTGAGGCTGGATCCCAATTATCAATCTCTTGCTGATCTTGATTGTTATTACGATAATTATTTCGATGATTTTGATCACGATAAGATGTCTGACCAACTCGTGGGCCCATTCGACCACCACGTCCTCCTCGAGATCCTAAATAAGAAAATTTTCTTAATTTTTGATTTCTTTTGATTGAAATTAACTCACCGGCAAAACCACCACGTCTTGTACCACCCCCGCGAGGTGGACGATCCATTGTACGATCATCACGTGAATCTCCTGAAGGACGTGAACGTCCTCGATTAAATCCACCTTCTGACCGTCCTCGATTGGATCCACGTGAATTACGAGAACGATCATTGTTCCCATCACGTCCACCTTCACGATGATTATTCGACTCGAACTCATCACCTTCGTTTGCTCCATCACCCGATGCTGCTTTACTTTTCTTCTTTTTCGTAGTGGTAATCAAAGCACCAACTTCGAGATTATCGAACAAATAGATAACGGCACGCTCAACATCATTATCACATTCGTAAAGGGCCAAACAGGCGTCTTCTTCAGAACGCTCTGTCAGTTCCATCAATTGTGACACCTTTTCACGTGTTGGGTCTTGAGTTCCACTTTTGATTTCTGTAATCTGAGCAATGCGAATCTGTTCGGCCGTTGGCTGTATTAAATGAATAAAAAAATATTTTAATTAGATCGTTTTACCGTTTAGTGCTCATCTTAACTGTTCCTTCAATGTCTTACCTTAGCATGTGGTTTTTCTTTCTCTGTCTTCGACTGTTGATCATTCACAGTGTTGTTGTTATTGTTGACAGCATCTTTTGCATTGGCATTGTTGTGTTTTTTGCTGTTCGTATGAATTGGCTGATTGTTGTTCTGTTCTGACACAGCAACACCGTCTTTCTGCTGTCCAGTGCTGGACGATTTGTTTTTACGGCCTACGCCGCTTGCCTTCTGTTGTGTACTCATACTTCTTATCGTAAAAGTCTTCTTTACGTGAGGCTTGCTTTTACTCTCTGCTATGCTTTTCCTTAGTATTTAAAGGGGTATATTTATGTTATATACACAACACACGGCAAAAAAAACTGTATATTTACAAGAAATTCTGTTTTCAATAAGAAGAAGAAAGAAGAGAGAAGAAAGAAAAATTATTATTTCAAGAAATTACGCGTTCACTTTTAAGAAAAAAATTAAATACAATGAAAGGTTCCTAGGAATTATTCTTAATAAACTAAATTAAATTTAAGGTACTTAATTTCGACTAACGGAACTAGGAGGAAGTATATTTAAATTAATTGAAAAGCTTTAGATTCGGTCGTTGTACTGAGATATTCTCTTTTTTTCCTTTTTATTCGACCCTGAACTTATTTTATCACGAAACTTTTCTTGATTATTCGTTGATTCGAGGAAAATTAACTTAGTTATAACTGAATGTAAATAGAAACTGTGTCAGGATTTGTAGATCCAGTTATAATATTCACTTATGAAGTAAAGAATTTTATTCGAAAAGATTTATTTTGGGGCGCTGAGCATGTGGGAATAAAAAATGGACGAACGCGGAAAACCGAATAAGCAAAAAGAGATTTTCTTGAAAAAACTCGAGATATTCTGCCACAGCTAAACACACTTTATTACGTTGATGTAATTTGAACTGTTAGCTTTACTTTTCTAATGAGTTTAGGAAATTTAATGCACTAAACTAATGGAAAAACTAAATTTAATAAACTTCAAACCTTCGAAGAAAATCGGCGACAAATTAAGGTGCCTGTTCAGGAAAATAACAACTTCAGTTAAAAAATTCTTGAACGTACCAATTTGTAGCCGACTGCCCCTTGTCAACGTATTTTAAAAACTTCGTACCCCTTTGGAGTAATTTCTCGCGAAGNGGTGCCTGTTCAGGAAAATAACAACTTCAGTTAAAAAATTCTTGAACGTACCAATTTGTAGCCGACTGCCCCTTGTCAACGTATTTTAGTGTACGGGTTTTTGTTTATGATGTACGAGATAATTGCCTCGTGCCCCGACGGTTCGCGCGGATATGACCTTCCATACAAAAAACCCATAAGAAATGATTCCGTGTGGACAATTTTTCCGTGTGAACATTTCGATGACAGCGCCACCACTGAAACTAGAGAGAGTGAAATCTCTTCAGAAAATTAAGATTAAATGAGGGAAAATCTATTAGGTTCAAGACCAAGAAAAAAGTTATCAGGCCAAATTAGAAAGTTATCGATAAGTTAGTTAAGCATTAAAACTAAAGACAAGAAGAATGTTTGTGAATTAAGATTTATGGCGAAGAAAAGCTTGTAAAATTACAAGAAAAAAAATTATTTACATCAATTTCAATCTTATTTCTTTTCACAGAAATTTGAACTTGAAAGAGATTCTGGAATTCAATTAGATAAAAGTACGATTAATCTTAAGATTACAAATCAACAACGAGTTGATTACAAATCAACAACAATGTAACGACACAATGAAGGTGAGTTTGAATAATTAAGTTCTCTTAAGATTGCCAATGAAAACCTTCAAACTCGAAAAGAAACTTGGGATTGAGAGAGTCTTAATTAACACCAAATTTGATTCTCAAATTAAATTGATTGTTAATTGAAATTGTCTTCGTCTCAGTCCCTCACAAAAATCGAAGAAATTTCTGATCCTTTCTTTTATTGGGAAATTTTCAGGAACTTTCTGAGCAAGGATTGATCTAAAAACAATATGAAATTGGAAAACTCAAAGATGAACTTAATGATATGAAACGTCGCCTGTTTGTGATGACAAACAACTGAGTTGCACGAAAAGAATGAAGAAATCACAAAATTGACAAACGTCATTAACAATATGAAAGAGGAAAATAGTCATTCACAACTATCTCGACTGTCCCTTGAACAACTCACCGATTCATTTCAATTGATTTAAAAAGAACAACAATCAATTGAACAGAAAAATAATGCACATAAAATTGATGAACTTCTCAATCAAATTGCCTGATGCGACTAATAACAAGCACAAAGAAAATGTCATGAAACTTAAGGAACAAATGGCGATTGTTGTGGAAAAGCAAGAAGTTTCAGATTCAGCTTTGGAAAAAAAGTGTCGAAATTTGTTCGTTTTCTTTGGATCATCTCAATGGTCTCGCACAATTTATGGGCAATTTATTGCAACAAAAAGAATTTTGTGAGTCGCTTAGTGAAGCCACAATGAACAACATGCAATGTGTCATCAACAAAACCTTTGAACTTTCCAATCATGCAGCTCGTTTCTCAATTAGCATTGATGGATGTCGAATGTCATCATTGCCGAACATTTCGTCGCTTGATTTATTAATGGCAACAGCTAGAAATTCACTCGGAAGTATTCGAGATCTTTGCGGACATAATAAATCATTTCATGATGCCAAGAATGAACAAATTGAAACGATGGAAGTTGAAATGGGGAAAATTAAGGAAGATTTGTTGACAGCAAGAAGTGAAATTGATAAACTCAATCAGCACAATGTCATTTTACAAGAACAAGTCAAAGAGGGTAAAGTTCAATACGAAAGATTAAATTCGGGACGCAATCAACTAATTGAAGACATAAGAAATGAGTTGAAGAAAGTTGAAACTGAAAACGAATTGCTAACGACACAAATGAATGAAGCAAAAGATATTATCGACGACCTAGTTGACGANTAGTGCTCAACAGAAGTGGAATGAACAGTATTTTAAATTTGCTATAATTAATTTGCAATTTTCTATTAGTTTAAAGTATAAATTGAATTGCATAACGAATATAGTTTGATATATAAAAATTTACATAAAATTAAGTGTAATGTGAGAAATTAAAAATGGATATTTATGAATTCTTATGAATGATAAATAACTATCAAATACGATTGCTAAATGATAATTAAATGCTACCTAATCATAACTATAAATATTTATATGGACCAGCAGACACAAACACAATTAACACAACATACCTATTTCAGGATCATTAAGAACTTCAGTTTTGTGACTTCCTGTTGAATTAAAGTATTAAAATTTAATATCAAACTTTTTTCTAGATATATTGCGCTTTTATAAGGGAAACAATTTAAACATAGCCAATTCACCGTGTACTTTAATAAATCGCTTAATGCCTGTTTGCGATCAAAATATCAAAAAAGAAAATGAAAACAGAGAAATGAAATTTCAAAACCTTTTTTTTTAAATTCGAGTGACAGAAAATTGTATCAGGAGTTTCAGTAAAAAATAAAACAAACTTACAACAAACAACGGATTAAATTGTAAATTTCACTTCCATACAAAACATACATGCACTTTGATTCCGTGTAAACATTTTGTCCGTGTAAACATTTCGATGACAGCGCCACCAATGATTAAAACTTTTAACTAAAAGAAACGCTTGTCAAGCACCGGCAACGAAGCATCAATTATTGGATTAAATTTATTTTCTATTCGAATCTGTAACACTACAAACGTCAAAAAATGGACAAATTTGATACTTATAAACAACAGCTTGATAAAGAATTGGCTGATGATTCAAAGCCATGGACAAAATACCTTAAATTAGCTGAAGAAAAATCTGGAGTTAATCGCTCTTACTTATTTTTCGGTAAGTTAATTCTCTGTTTTCTGATTTAAAACGGTTACTGTGTTAGCGGCAAAGATAAAATAGATAATATTTTGCATTTGTTATCATCATTGCAAAATGATGATTAGTAAATGAAGAGAAAATCATTCAAGGCTATCAAAAAACATTCTTCTTTTTCTTCCTGTTGTGTAATAGCAGGCTAAAGTACCTTTGGAATAGAATATTCTTTTCTTTTTCAACTTTGGATAGCATCACAATAGTTCCCAACTCGACATACATACATTGTAATTTTAGATTATTTTTAGTGGCTCTCGACAATGATGAAACAATTTTTTAGTTTTTTTCTAAAATTTTTTCTCCGATTGTTTATTTTTAAATATGTTGCAAATACATCTTTGTCTGAGTGTTTGTTTCTATTTCATGTCACTAATGATGACAATGCCGGTTAGGTTGATTAATAGCTATTGAAATGATCTTCACTCGGAGTTTTTAACACCAAACATAACTGTTTGGCAGTAGTCAACTTGTTTGAAACATAAATTGCGGTCAATCATAAAGTTTGCAGTATTTTTCCATTGAAATATTTCACCTAAATAGCTGTCCGCATACTTATCTAAAGTAAACTTTGTGCATTTTTCAAAGTTGTATTTTGTTTTAATATACAAAATATGCAATAAGTTATCTCTTCCCATTCTTTGTTATTGTGATTGATGGAAAACCGTAATAAACATCACTTGAAAAATTTAACAAAATTAACGCCTGCATCATCATAAAACATTTCGTTAAAAGAAAACTTCATTGTTGGTCGCAATGAAAATAATTTGACAATGAGAATCGTTGCATGACCTTGTGATGATGTGTCGATTTCGATTTCATAAGGGGTGAATAAAATGCGTAATTCCTTTGTTTAATAAATAGAAAACGCTGAGTCAAGTATTTTATCGAAAATATTCTCTTTATTTAAAAGTATTTATGATGACCCATCGAAACTTTTTATTGATGCAATTAATTTTTTTTGGGATCGTCACGTTTAATTTAAGTTTTTCGTTTCTTTTGAAATTCTTATCTTAAAAAGTTTCATAATGAAACACCGCATGGATTTCCAGTTATTATGCAGATGTGTCATGTATTTGGCTTATCAATAAGATAAAGTTTTGAAGTTTTTCTAGAAAACTTAATTCCCTGAACAGATTTAATTCTTTTAACTCGAATATTCGCATAACATTGAATGTATCTAAAACGATGACGTATGTTATGCGAGCTATCGAATTAACATTTCATGACATTGAAGGTCAAAAGCACTTTTCGACACATTTCATAAGGTGAATTATTAAGTAAGAATTCTATTTTTAAAGTTTATCGATAAACGCATTTTGTTTACGTGAATTTCAGAAAGATCGTGAAATGTTTTTATCTAAATAAAAAGAAATGATTGTTGTCGGTTGAAGAGGTAGAAGAAATCACTAAATATCGGGATTAAGGATTTTTGGAATATCCTGTTTGTTTCTTTTTGTCAAATTTTGCACATGTTTGAGTTGGTAATTTTCTTACCTGAACAATTTTCGGTCTCCTTTTCACTTCTTCGTTAAGGATTCTCAAAATGCCTGTGCTTCCAATCATTAACACAAAAAATTGATATTTACTATCTTGTTAAATTCTTTATCGAAAGAATTTTTCATGTTCACCTGAATTTCATTTGAACAATGTTTTAGTGTGCTCGAGTTTGCTCAATTCGCGACAATTCAATTAAACATCACGAGCCAACAAAGCAACTATTGAAACGAAATTTCATTTTTCTTTCTTTTATTTTTATGACGGAAAGTGAGAATTAATCTCAAACTCATAAAAATCATTTAGCATAGTCGCAGAGCTCAAAGAGAAATAAGAAACAATTAAAGAGCATTAGGAATTTTTCGTGATGAAAACATTTTCTATTTGTTAAATTTAGATCCTCGAAGTACTAAAGCACGACCAGTCTTGAGTTTCATTTGAACATTCTTAAAATTCGCAGTTCAAAAAATATCTAATTAAAAATCAGTTTTTTCGTGTTTAACTTAAAAGTTCAAAAGGGGAAAAATGGCAAATTTGAGGCAATTCGTTTATGACACTGTTGACAAAGTCGAGCGTACATTCAAACCAGGACCTTCAGATAATATTGAGGAAATTAACAAAAGAAAAACTGTTATTTATGGTAGATTAATTTTCATCTACTTTTGGCAACTTTCTCGATCGTTTTACGCGACAATGATTTTCTATTGCACATTCAGAAACTTTTATTCTGTCACGAGAAAACATTTATAAATAAATTAATTTTTCTTTGTTCTAGGAATCGTTGGATTTATTGCTTTGTACCTTGCTTTTGGATATGCCGCTGAAATTCTCTGCAATGTTATTGGAGTCGCTTATCCAGCTTACATTTCAATGAAAGCTGTAGAGACACAAGACAAAACTGATGACACTAAATGGTTGACTTATTGGGTCATTTTCGCTGTTTTCTCAGTCATTGAATTCTTCTCGCTGTACATTACGAAATTTATTCCATTCTACTGGTTATTGAAATGTGTCTTCTTCATCTGGTGCATGGCCCCAATTGAAAACAACGGAAGCGTCTTCATGTACATGAAAGTCATCCGTCCATACTTCTTGAAACATGAGTCAAGTAAATTGAACATTTTTTTAATTTATTTATGAAACAAATCTCATTTACACTTTCTTTCATTGTAGCTGTAGATAATCTTCTTAGCAATGCTTCAGACAAGCTGAAGAAAGGAGCTGCAGACATTTTAAAGAAGGGAAACTAAAAAATTCAACATAAACAAAAATCAAAAAAAGTTAAAATTTTCACGTTTTGTCGTGCATTTTTGTTTCTTTTGTCCTTCTGCCTTTTCACCATCCATTAAGACAAGCTAATTATACTTGCACAAAATTAATGTCGTCAATGTTGCATGTTAACAATCATCACTAAATTTTTTTAAATCCATTTTCATTTTGAAAAGTGCTTTTGTATGTTCGCGAAGGATCTGCTTGACTCCAAGACATTTTTTTTTTCATCTTGTTCGAATAAATTGAATTCAATTTGAATTATATTTGACATTTTTTTATTGCTAAGTATAGTAAAAACTAAATGACATTGTCAATTTTATTGAGTTTCAGAGACTGATACAGCCTCTTCCTTCTTTTCAGCTTCTGCCTTCTTTTCAGCTTCTTCTTTTGCTTTATGATATCTTCTTTTCGACCAAGCATCTTTATAAGTTTTAGGATAAATAGGAAGAAGTCCTGATAGTCCTAAAAGCTCAGCAACGCCTCTTGTCACATGTGCACCAGATCCAAGCCAATATCTAATTCGTTCGTAGTTCAATGAAACCATTCTTTGGTTGAATTGGTTTGGCAAGGGATCATAAGTTCCAACCTGTTCAATAACCGGCTCCTGCACATGTTTGCGACGCTAAAACAAATGAATACTTAATAAATGTTTTTCACATTCAGAATTATCAATAAACAAACCTCCATCACTACAATTTGATAGAAAGGCCGATTTGTGCAACCTTTTTTACAGAATCTGATAGATTTTACTGAATGTCTCCAGTAGCGACCTGTTCCTGACGCTGGCCAAAGTTTGTTAATATGTAATCGCGACAATGCATCCAAACCGGTCTTAACAGACATTATTATTTATTATGTTTTAATAATTATCTTTAAAACTGCTACAAATATTTATTTTTATTATTTGTAGGTGTACAAAAATGTTTCTGAAAAGCATACCCAGAGAACCTTACAATTTTTGAAATTTTATAATCAGTTAATAATTATTGTAGAGAATTATACTTATTAAGCTAATGGTGAGCCAGATGAGCTTCCTTCGTGAATGTTTTTACAATGAATCACAGATGTCTATATAAGACTGTGTAGAATTTCAAAATATGTTTTTGTTATTTGTAGGGGAGGGTGTTCAATAAAAGTTTGAATTTTTTACATATATCCCAAAACAAAAACCTTACAATTTTTAAAATAATATTTTCCGTTAATAATTAATGTAGACATTTTATGAAGAAAGTTTGAATCAAAACAAATCGAGCTGCGGAGCGAGAAGATCGTAGAAAAATTCAAGTGATGGAAAAATTAAAATTTCTCATCATATTTATAACATTATACTGTGTTGTGAGTGAAGATAACAATGAAAACACCCCAGTAGTATTTTGGCATGGAATGGGTTAGATAAATTAAGCAATTATTAGTGATTTTTATAAAAACAAATAGAAAAAATTGCAAATTGTGTCAAAAACTTTCTTTGTTTACATTTCTCTTCGCGATCTTACTGATTTCAGGTGACTCTTGTTGCTTTCCATTCAGCCTTGGAAAGTTGAAGAAGCTCATTGAAAGTGAATTAAACCACACAGTGTACGTAAAATCGCTTGAAATTGGCGGTTCACTTGTTCGCGATTACGAGTCATCGTACTTCATTCATCCACAAAAACAGGTCCACAATGTTATTTTTTAATTGATGAATTATTGATGCTCCATACACGAAAGCTCTCAAGGCTATTTAATGTCTATTATGTTGTGAGACTGTTACATGAATAATGAAGCACGATTTCTAACTTTCAGATACAAGATGCATGTGATCAGATCAAACGCGACCCAATTTTATCGAATCGTACTTTTAATGCTATTGGATTTTCGCAAGGTTCGCAGTTTTTGTAAGTTGATTGTATTGTTTTAAAACATTAAAGAAAACATTGAATAATTGAATTTAAATTCATATTAGACGCGCATTAATACAAAAATGTCCCGCTGTGAAAGTTAAAAACCTTATCACTGTCGGAGGTCAACATCAGGGTGTCTATGGTTTACCAAACTGTCCATCACTCACTGAAAAATCCTGCGAATATCTCAGACAAATTCTTAATTTCGCTGCTTATGCTGGATGGGTTCAAAATTTTCTAGTGCAAGCAACTTATTGGCACGATCCAATGAACGAAGACGCTTACAAAGCTAAAAGCACTTTTTTAGCGGAAATCAACAATGAGAAAACTGTCAATAATGATTACATTAATCGTTTACAGACGCTTGAAAAATTCGTCATGATCAAGTTTGCAAATGACACGATTGTTCAACCGGTTGAGACGAGTTGGTTTGGCTTTTATAAACCAGGCTCAAGTAGTGAACTTCAAACATTAGAAGAAAGTGAAATTTTCCTCAAAGATCGTCTGGGATTAAAGAAAATGAAAGAAGATGGAAAAATAGTTTTCTTATCAACAGAAGGAAATCACATGCAGATCAATTTGAAATGGTTTACTGAAAACGTGATTAACAACTATTTGAGAGATTAATTTTACAATAAAATATTATCTCACGTAATAATGGAAATAAAAATCTTGAGATTACTTTGAAAGTTATAATTTTAACTTCATAAAAACAACAAAAAAAAATATCTTGCAAAAATATATTCTTTATGTTGTGTATAGGAAACAAGTCTTTGTTAGTTATATTTGAACAGCGTTTACATGGCCAAAGTCGTTACGATTAAAATTCTTTGCTGAATAAAATGCCAAGTGTCCGATGAGAATTCTTCCTCGTTTAAGTTTCTTGATTCCGATGTCGGTAATTAAAGCTTTTGTAGAAGAATTGAACGTCAGTAAAAAGTAGCGCGTTTCCCATCCATTGATTAGACTTGGAATGAATACTTGTCGACTATTTGCTAGAAAGATTGCAATTGTTCTCACATCTTCCTCGGACACACAAGACATGACAAATGGATTTGTGGAATTTTTTCCACCACAAACCAGTTGAATGTCAACATTCCGTTCGATATCTGAAATGTTCAAGTTCACATGGACGTCATTCATTCCCGAAGATCGTTTGAATGTGTAAGCGAAAATGACGTCATCATCACATGGGAACTCGCAGACAAACATTCTTATCAAGTCCGTCGTATCCAATGACAATGAACTTCCTCCATCAAAGGCATCGTCGTAGTAATGTGTAAAAACTCCTTCAAGTGATGGAGTTGAAGGTTGAAACCCTTGATGCTTTAAATTGAACCAATTTTTCTTCACTTCACGTCCCATCCGATAAAATCGCTTCCCAGATCCAATGCAAAAGTTTGTAACAAATGGAAGAGTCTTTGGACCAAAAATATAAAAGAACTCGTACATTGACTTCCAAAAGCGATCATTTCTTTCAAGAAATCTTTCATTGAATCTATCGCGATAGCTATCAGAACCATGATGAAGACCTTCAAAACCAATGACAGCGTCGATTGTCTCGCAAGTCCATCCTGGAGCGAAAATTGCACTACTGAACTTGAAGGCACAAAGTTTTGAAATTGTCTAAGAAGAATAATAAATAATCAAACAATTTTGAATGAGGCAGATGAAACTTTACCTCAGGACTTCGAAAGCCTGCAATTTGTCCACGACCAAAGACGTCAATTCCAAAGAAAACGTCGTTCCTTCTATTTGGATATTTGTCATCAATCAACTTTGATGTTCTCTCTAAATGTTGAACTGACCAATTGTAATTGGTGAATATTCCATCACATCTATTAAAGAATGATCTGAAATTAAATTGAAAAATTAGAATTAAATGTAAAAAATATTTGAGCTTAGCTTACTCGTTTTCTTCGTTAAGTTCGTTCTGCCAATTCAATTTTCCTTCACATGTTACGCTGTCATACCAAATAACTTTTCCATGTTTTATCTCTTTGTGTGTTTTATGAGTCAAATATTCGACCAGATAATACAACATGGGAATTTTATCTTCATCGACAGTGACTTCAACATTAAGAAGCCAACCTTCTATTTTTAATCGCTTAGTAATCTCAACGAGACAATTTACGACACGCTCAACTTGTGTTTTGCTTGATAAAATTTCATCACAGAGCGCCTTTCGTCCATCAACATTCTCAACGATAAATGTTCCTAAAACTTTCACACCATTTTTATGGGCAGCGTTGATAAATTGTAATGTTGGAATCGTCACAAGTTTGTGACTAAAGTAACAGAAAATGTCGATGCAGTTCCAATGATAAAAACGATATTCTTCCCACTTTGGCGTCCCATTGATGAATTTGTCATCTAAATAATTTCCTTTATAATCATGACACACGAGCACTTCTGGTCGATCCTTTTCAGCATAATTAGTGTAAACTCCATAATCCATTGAATAAAACTTTTTATGCAAAAATCGTGGAGTTGATCGCTCAACTAAAGGTTCCACTAAGTCACACCATCGAAATGCATCGCCGTTGTCATTTAACAATTGATCGATACTTGATATTGGATTGCAAACATCTGAAAACAACATGACGTGTTAACACCACAAGATTTAAATGCACACTGAACAACTCATGAATGAAAATGCAATTGAGCATGATTTTTTTTAATTTTTTATCTTAAAAGCGGAAGTTTACGATAAAACGGCAATGTTCCCCTAGACAAAACTATGTCACATAAAAGCATACAAACATAAGTTTACTGACCTTCACAATCGCATTCGTCTTTAGACTTCATTTCTCTAACAGAAAATGTTTTGATATCAAATTGAGATCGAAACCACAACAATCAAAGAGTTTTGTGTGAATTTAATTAAATTTTATTTTTATATTGAAAAGATTCACTTGTCAACAACATTTAGATGACATTGCAAATATCTAACTTAAATAAATATTTCCTTGTCTTCTTATCACTTCGTTTATTTCAGGGTTTAATTTTATGCAATGAAAAAAACATTTTTTTGACTGCCGGTAACAGCTGAGAGAGAACCTCGCAGTTTTAAACGTTTTCAAATGTCCATGCCTTGATTGTTTGAAAAGTGTTTTGTCGTTTAGGTTTTATATCATAATAAAAGCTTTCAGCATATCCCGGTTTTCTTTCATTCCAAGCTGTAATTGAAAATTAATTGATCTCAATTTATTATTAAAATGGAAATTTTATTCTAAAGTTTTCTTTTCTAATTTCTATTTTCTATTCTATAACTTAAATAAGAAAATATCACAAGCCTTGTTTAAGGTTTAACATGCTGAAAATTGTATTTATCGGAAGTTCAATGAAGAGAGTTAAGATTAATCCAATTATGTTGCTTAAAATGAAAGATGCGAGAGCGTAAATCATCTGAAAAAGTAATTTAATATCTAATTAAAATCGAATGTTACATCAAACATTACAACATAAAAGAAATTTTTAAGTTTTGCAAATGAAATTATGATCAATTGATTAATCAATTACGGCTTTTAATTCCCCCTAAATGTCTTATTGTATGTGATGCGAATGAGATTTGTTCATGATTTATGACTTATGAGTATTTCTGTAACATTTATGCTATAAAAGAGATAATTAAAGTGAAAGCGTAACTAAAGAAATATTTTTTAATTTTGTCTACTTTTCTTTCTTATCCACAGTTAGTCGTTGATCTTCTTTTAATATCATAGAAGTAATTGTTGAAGCAGGTAAATCTATGGATAATGTCAAAACTACTCCAATTAGGTTGCTTAGGACAAAAGAAGCTATAGCATAAGTCATCTGGTGAAAAATATAAAAATTAATAATGATTTTACTTCAATGATTTGATATTTGTTAAAATGTGTTAATAAATGAAAAAAACAAGTCGGAATACTCACAATACTCCAATCACTTAAGTAAATAGGTTGATGATTACTTGACATAAGAAGTTTAACAACAAATAAATGACACATGAAAGTGCCGTACGAAATTCTTCCAAGAATTCTGTATGCTGGATAATTTAACATCGTAGAAGCAAACCATCCATAACGATAAATAATTCCAAGCATAATACAAGACATGACTAAACCCCAAACATGTTTGAAAATTGCTGCCTCTAATGCAATCCACAACGATGGCTCGTAAGTATTCGTGTAAAACATGTATGTAGATGAAATGATCACAAAAGCTCCAACGAGACAAAAATACCAAAGAATTCTAAAAATCTGAAAGAAAATTCTTCAATCAATTTAAGTTGATTCAACATTATTTAGTTTCTCAATCTCACCCAACTTCTTTCATGAAATTCGCTTTGTTTCTTATGACGTTGATAGAAAAGACCAGCTCCAGCTCCAATAAAATAATTGGCAATATTCAAATGTGTTGGACTATAAAGAATTTTAAAATAGTTTGGTTTGTCATCACTTGTCGGCATTAATTGATTGCGGATGTCTCTGTTAATGAACGAGATTAATAGATTTGAAAGTAAATAGTTAAATGGATTATCATTACTCAGGTGGAAAGATTGAAGTTGCTTCGAGTTTATTTACATATACTGTATAGCCGATTGCGATTGCTGAATATCCCAAAACAGCACTAAAAATCTTAATTGTCAATGATCGATTCTTGTGGATTCGAATCAAACACCAAGTTGTGAGAATACGAAGCCAAAAATCAGCAGCAAGATACCAAGTATGAATCAAGCATTTCTCTTCAACGTTAATGTAGTTGTCAAGAAAAAGAAGATTCACCCACCAATTCTTCCTACAAAACTGCTTCTCAGGATAATTTACTCGATCCCAGAATGGTCCGTCACCCAATCGATACAACCACGTTGCATGAATTAAAATTGTGAAAATCAGCAAAGGTGCAAAACGTAAATATCGTGAAATAATTCCCCGGAAGAATTCGTAGTAACTTGAATCAGCATTTTTCTCCAATTTATCCATTAAAAGGTAAGCTGTAAGGAAGCCACCAATGACCAGAAATGTCTGAACTCCTGGATTGCCGCTCATATATGACACAGCTTTGCTTGTACTAAAAGTCTGATGAAAAAAGTTATAAATATTTAATTATATTAAAACTTTATCAACTCACATCATCAATAAAGATTGGATTTGAAGATGGAATTGTTATACTGAACATTGAACAATGATTATGAATCACGCCAAACATTATAAGCGATCTCAGACCTTCAATGAAGCGCAAATCTTTAACATCATCTTTGGTCGGCGCTGACAATTTTTTCCAATTTCTTCTTATTGAAAAGATTGTCAAAATCCGTTCAAGTTTGTTCTTTAACTTCTTCTCATAATGATGATGACTGTCAAAGCTGTAATTTCTCAAGTGTCGATCATATAAACTTGAAAACAAAACGATCGAAATTATCGCATAAATTAAGATTCTTGTGAAAACTTCGAGTTCATCTGGAAATGTGTTAAAAATTAATTAAATTTTAATGATAAAGAAATATTTACACTAATTTACCTAAAGGTTTTTCCCTGTTTCCCCTCACACAATACTCAACAGAACTGTAAGCACTCAAGTTGAAAGCACTCACAAGCTCGACATTGACGCATTTGTTGATCAACTCGCGATATTTTTCTCTGTCTACATCAGCATTGGGATATTTAATATTTTCAAAAATTATCTTGAAATAAAAAGAGTTTGCTTCAGACGAGATATACGCAATTAATAAATTATAAATTAAGTTACTTTTGAGTCCATTGGAAACTCATCAACATAATATTTTGCTGTATCGTTTGTCAGTTTTCGGACGGTTGCCTCACACGACTGAATACACAAACCGCGTTGCAACTTGTCATGCCTCAAATGTTGCTTAAAATTACTTGAAAATTCTTCAATAATCTGATAAAGGTCAGAGCTCTTAGCAGGTTTTATGTATGAGTTGACAACACAATAAGTAGATTCCTCATAATCAGCTCCTAAACATTGCTCATAGTCGTCAAAGCGATACAAATCAGGCATCTTATAATAAGATTTCACTGGATATATTTTTAAATAAAAAAGTTATAAATAAACTTTTCATTAATTACGCTAAATTTTTCAATTATCACGTCTCCATCTGTGCGGAGTTCAACTCACCATCTAATTGGTAACTAAGTGTGCTTCCGATAGAAAATAAAATGCATGCTGATATTAAAAATATATTTCTCATATCTTCACTAAGAATTGATTGACTTAACATGACGAACGCTAACACACGACTGAATGTGCGAGCTTAAAATTTTGTTTCTCTCTGGTCTTCAGTAGTAAAAATTGAGAATTTTTAGGAAGAATTAAAGGTGTGAATACACTTTTCATTGTTTCTCTGTTGTTATGATATTTATCATTATGATCATCTTAATATTGAAAAATTTGCAACTTTTTCAGACTTAGAAGATCAATAAAACTAAAATTATTAGAACAATTAACATTCATTTAATTTGGCAAAAAAATTCATAATTCTTGAGCACTGAAGGTGACTTATGAATAAGAGTTGAAACTAGTCGGACAGAAGCTAAATAGGTAATAATTTTAGTTTTATTCATCTTAAAAATCTTCTATCTCTCTCCTTATTTTATATATTTATCTATTTAAAAACTCTAAGAAAGCAAGGCTCGCGATATTGGTAGTGAATAATTATTGAAGAAATTTGGCAAGTTTGAACGACATAAACTTGTCCAAATCAAAAAATTTCAAGTCATGGGACGTCATAAATAAAATCATTTAAAATTACATGAATGATTGAAAAAAGGTGGACTAAGTAAAACACTCGTAAGTCACTAAAAATTCTCATAACCACAGTTCAGTCTATAAGTGGTAAAAAATTATTTACACAAGAGATATTCAAATTTCATCTTTTTTAAATCAAATTTGTTTTGTAAATAAAATTATGTGTACATATCTCTTAATTTTGGAAGATCATTTTGTGAATTGAAATGCAAAGATAAATATAACAAATACAAACTGAAAGTATCAAATATTTATGCTTCTTAATGGTTCAATTTTATTGAAAGGAAGGTAGAAATGAAAAAATTACCTACCTAGTTTGTATTTCACGAGAGCTTTCCATGATTTTGTTATGAAAACACCATTTTCGACTATTTTTAATATCATAATATCACTTAATACTCATTTACTTTACACATTAAAAGAGAATAGAACAAAGTTATGAGTGAAAGGATCAAACTTTTAACTTTTTCAATTTTTATTTTGTTAACCTCAATTTGACTTCGTTACTTCACTGGAATAGATCTGCTAAATACTGGAAGATGTGCTAAAATAATGATAAAAAGATTTGCCAAAATATTATTAGATGATTTTATTTTTAATATCAAAGGGACAACCACAACATTATTAGAAACACAATAAAAAGTGATTGTAAACATCGTCAATACGTTGAATGAATAAATAAACAAACCGCAAATCACACATTTCTGAGTCAGAACAGAAGTTCTGACTTTGTTGCTACTGATATGTGAAATGTACCAATTTTTGTGTGAATTAAAATCTTGTTACAAAAGAAATGTACATTACTTAAAGCACAATCAGAAGTTTTATTTTATTTAAAGAAAATTCATATTTCAATTTTAGTCAGTTAATTTGATTTATTCAAAAAATTTTTCATTCAATATCATTTTAGTGTTTTTATATGAAAAACGTTACAAGATGAAATCAAGAATGCTTCTAACATTTAGTAACAATATTTAATTTAGACGGTCCGATGCCTTCAAAAGCGTCATTACTTTGACCTTGTTTCTGTTGGCTTTGGAGCTTTTTATTATCTAAATCTAAAAAATTAAAAATTAATTAGCAAAGGATTAAGAAATGAAAAATTTCAACTACTCACAATCGGTTATTGATTTATATATGACATAAGCAGGAAGTTCAATGCACAAAGCGAGAGAAATTGCATATCCATGACTATAAATCAAAAATATTTTTAAATATACAAACAACAAAAACATCACTTCAACTTTATGATTTTTACCTTAAAACATAAACACCTGCTGTATACACATTGAGTGTTGCATTATTAATTTCTAATGGATATTGTTGACCAGTCACAAGCACTAATCCCACAGTGTAATGTATCATGTACACTGAAAAAGAAACTCTTGCTAATATTCTGTACATTCCGTAGTTGTACAATTTCGGAATGTAATGTCCATATCGAAAGAAAATTCCAACAAGAAGAACTCCAAGTATCGGTGCATAGATGTGTTTGAGTATTGCTCCAATTAAAGCAGATTTGAAGCCTTTCTCAATGTCATTTTCGTAGAAGTAGATGCCAATGAAACATAGGAAAAATGTCATCATATATGAAAGATGCCAAAGAACGTGATAAGCAGCTTTTTTCCGATGATTATTCCCAGCTTCTTTGTATTGATAGTAGAAATATCCGATAATGACTCCGATTAAATAATTTCCAGTATTCAAATGTGTGGGACTATGAAATTCATAAAAATAGCGATCATATGGCGATGTTACAATCAACTGATTTCTCAGTGTCTCTGGTGATAATATTAAAATTGGTTCAAGCTTTGTTATGTAAAAATGAATAAATGAGATCACGAATGAAATGAAAACTGATCCGAAGAAGATGAGATTGCGTCGCTTTGGGTAACTGTTGAGGATTTTAAACATGAATTAAACTAATTTATAATTTAAATGTATGCTAACTTACTTGATGACAAGTAATAGAATGCCAGTAGCTATAATGCTGAGATGGAAGTCAGTTGAGATAAACCAAGTATGAACAGCACACTTCATGTCTCCACTTATATAATTGTTTATCAGCAAAATATTTGTCCACCAATTAAGTCTACAAGATTGGCGTTCGTAATATGTAAACTTATTCCAAAAGGGCCCAGAATCGAAACGGTGAAGCCACGATGAATGAAGAAGAATGACAAATATTAGGACTGGTACGAATCTGATGTATCGATAAATTATCGTCTTAACTAAAATACTGAAATTTTTAATTTTGTTTTTATCAACATATGAAAGCAAAACGATGCTGTTAAGAAATCCGCTAATGAAGAAAAATGACTGAACGAGATTTCCACCATTAATGACAAGCATTGACCATAAACTGTGGTAACTCTAATAGAGAAATAAAAAAAGTTAAGGTTTCAAAAATCCACCTGACTCGATAAAATTCATAAATAAAACTCACATTTTCAACAAAAAAGGGATTTTGGAGCGGCACGGCGACCATAAACCATGAACAATGACCATAAATGATAGGAATCATTGTCCATATCCGAATAGCTGAGATCGATCGCAGATCTCTCATTTCCGACTTAACGGGAGCTGATAGCAAATACCAATTGCGATGATATGAAAATGATACCAAAAGTTTTTGTTCTAATCGAAAGTGAAAGCAAAAATGTAAAATATTTGATCAAGTTCATTGTCATCATCATACTCAATGTTGGAGGTGCGGTCTTTAAGTGACGCTCAGCTTCAATCCGAATCTTCGATGTCTTATTCATTTGTATTAGTAATCTTTTATCATATGCAGATGATATTATTACAATCGTCAATAAAATGCTAAACGCGATGATGAAAAAGATGTCAAGCCAATCTAGATAATTTGCATAATTATTTATTTAAAAGTTAAGCTTGACTTTATTTGTTGATGGTTTTCTTATTTACCGATTTTCGTTGCGTTTCTATTAGTTGTGCAATATTCAATAGAGCTGAAGCCCTTGAGGTCATAAAGTTCCATCAATTCAACATTGATACATTGATTAATGATCTTGTTGTACTTTTTTCTATCTTCCGATGAGTTTGCGTAATTTATGAAATCAAAATTTATCTAAAATATATTACAATGTTGTTATCAGAGATTGTTAGAAAACTTTTAAACTGTGTCTACTTTATAATCCAATTTAAAGTTCTCAACAAAGAATTCTTCAGCTTCTGAGCCCAATTCCTTAATTGCTTCCATGCATCTGTTGACACAAATACCACGCGTTAATTTATCATGGCGAAAATGTTGTTTTTTTCTGTTAGAAAATTCCCAAATAAAGTTGTAAAGCTTTGAAGATGGGTCGGGCTTCAAAGCAGTTCGGACATAACAATATTTTGCTTTGTCATTGTATACTTTCATGCATCCCTCGTAATCGTCAAATTTATTTAGCAAAGGCATTTTAAAATAATTCACGACTAAAAATAAGAAACTTTATGAGGTTTTTAACACTTTTCATTTTAATTATCAGCAAATCACTTACCATCAATAGAATAATTTGTATAAAATTCCCCCATACACATTGGGAAAATGTACGCGTTTAATAATAAAAATATTTTTAATAACATCTTAAATAGGTCTTTTTAAGACAAAAGCTGAGTTCGAACTGAAATTCATCTGAGAAATGGTGCGAAAACTCAATAAACAAAACTTGTTTTCACCGAAAACCAAAATAAAATAATAACAAATCATTCTTGCTGATTTTCTTCAATTTAAATGGTTGAGAGTTGTGTAGAAATGACAAATGTTTTAATTAAATACCAGTTTTCTTTGAACAAAAAGCTCGATAACACGGCGTTATCGACTCTATCACAATATCAGAATAAATTTTAATTTCGTCTATAATTTATGTGATGCAACTTATCCGGTCTGGTGACTTACATTTACATACATTTTCGATGTTTCGACAGGTGATCTCTGAAAACGTGATTCAGATACTCACAACGATATCAGGAATGATGTTCTGAAACCTTTTGAAAGCAGGTATATCACTGTTGGATAGTACATAAATCATTCTTTATATTAATAAACAAGTTAATAAATTTGAAAGATGATGAAAGCGTCCATTGCCTCCCGACTGTTTCAACAGGTGGGTGTGGGTCATTTCAGACCCTGTCTTAGACCTGATGATGATGATGATGATGATGATGATGATGATGAAAGCTTGATGATTATGCGAGTAGATTAACAAAAATTCCAAAGAACATTTAAAATATTTTCTTGTAAAATTTAAATTCAAATTTAAATTTACCATATTCAAATTAATAAAAATTGATGTTAAAAATTATAGTAATTTGGCACGCTTGTTTTTGTATTTCAAGAAAAATATTTAATGTCACTAAAGAGATTTTATCAGCTCATTAACTTTATCGTTAAAGAATTTAGCTACAAAAATCAATAACAATTAATTAATAAATGCCAAAACATTAATTTTCACTAAACTATTGCCAGATAATTCTGACATTTTATTGCCTATATTAAAGAATTAGAAACAAATCCACAAATGTCTTGCAACATGCTTGCTAATAATAAGTTTCTTTTTCCCACCAGCCTCCAGGACTGCGTCTTAACATATAACGACGAGATTCATCATATAAGAAGATTGCCAAGCTGAAGGGTAAAGCTGGAAGCCACCAAACGAACCTTATATGAGAAACGGAAATGAATTAATTTAATTGAAAATTTCTTAAATAATCTCAAATAATGACTCACTTAAGTGGAAACATGCGAAGACCTTTGTCCATTCCAGGGCAATATGACAAGAAAGCAGCCAAACATGTCTCAAAAACAAGTCCAAAGTTCAAAGCCCAATTTGTCATACCTTGATGGACAAGGGAGTTCTTTCGGGTTTTGCAAATGATGAGATCAGCCCATTGCACAATAACAATTGAAATGAAGAAAGCAGTGTGGCATGTGTACTCTAAAGTTTTACGATCTTTGTAAGTCTATGAAGATTGAATGAAAATTAATATCATTGAAATCATTCATCATTATCAAAGCTTTCACCCATTCTTGTCCATAAGAATCTTCCAAATTATTAATAGCTTTGGAATCCCAACGTTCACGAATGCCAAACAAAATCGGTGGAAGAAAACCATTTTCTCCCATTATGAAAAAGTAGACGAAGAATCCAGAAGCGGCTTGAATCATTCCAATTTGTCCATAAGCCATTGAAATCAATCTAAGATTAAAGTTTCAATTTTAATTTTAATGACATGCAAAATTAATTTTTCTTACCTTTCATTAACTAATTTATCGGTAAAAGGATTTCTTGGCGGTCTCTTCATAATGTCGGATTCTGCTTCTTCATAAGCTAATGAAATGGCTGGGACCTGAGAATAAAGATGAATTGCATTGGATTTGCATAAGTAAAATCTTCACTCATACCATGTCAGTTCCAAGATCAATGCACAAGATCGTTACAGTGCCTAAGGGCAATGGAATGTCACAAATAATGAAGGCTAAGAAAGGTGAAATTTCAGGAATATTTGAAGTCAATGTGTAGGCGATGGATTTCTTTAAATTATCAAAAATTAGACGGCCTTCTTCGACACCGGTGACGATTGAAGAAAAGTTGTCGTCCAACAGAATCATGTCAGCTGCCTTAAAATAAATTTAACATTTTTATTTTAATTTTAAAATGAAATCTTCTAATTTATTATTTACTTGTTTAGAAACATCTGAACCAGCAATACCCATAGCGACACCAATATCAGCCTTCTTCAAAGCAGGAGAATCATTGACACCATCTCCAGTCACAGCAACAATTGCACCCATTCTTTGACAACCTTCCACAATAATCAGTTTCTGTTGTGGTGAAGTTCTAGCAAAAACAATTTCTGTATGATGACGCAAAATTTCATCAAGTTCATCTGAAGATAAATTACGTAATTCGTTGCCATGCACGACACATGCTTTAGCTTCGCGTCGGTTAACATCAGAAACTGGAATGTTCAATCGTTCTGAAACATCCTCAACAGTTTCATTTCCTTCAGAAATGATTCCAACTGATTTCGCGATAGCCTTGGCTGTGATTGGATGATCACCAGTAACCATGATGACTTTAATACCAGCAGAACGACACTTGGCAACAGCATCCGGAACAGCAGCACGAGGAGGGTCAATCATAGAAATTAAACCAACAAATCGGAAGTTTTCCAATGGGAAGTTGACTTCGTCAGGGTCGAAAGCAAAGCCTTGTGGATATTTGTCAGATGGGAGCATAAAATCGCAGAATCCCAATACACGTTCACCAAGTCCGCCGAGTTTCATGTAAGCTTCATTGAAAGCATCTTTCATTCTTTGATCCATTGGCTTCTCTTTTCCATTCACGAAAATGGTCGAACACAAGTCAAGAATTCTTTCAGGTGCACCTTTCATTACCAACAAGTATCGAGGATCACTGCCATCATCAGTTTCATGAATTGAAACTTGGAATTTATTAGTAGAATTGAAAGGAATTTCGCAGACTTTTTTATTACGTTTACGGAATGCCATGACGTCATTAAAAGCTAATTCCATACATTTCAAAAGGGCAGCTTCAGAAGCATCACCTATAACGTCTCTTTTCATTACTGGTGTTCTACCTTGTGCACCTTTGAATTCAGCACGGCTACACAACATAGCAACTCGAGATAAAGCTGCAAAGCTTGGATTTGAATGATCACATTCGAAGGATGATTGTTCTTCAGATGTATCAGTTGCGATGATTTTATTATCATACCACATGTGAGCTACTGTCATACGATTTTGTGTTAAAGTTCCAGTTTTATCTGAACAGATTGTTGAGGTTGAACCGAGAGTTTCAACAGCTTCCAAATTCTTAACTAAACAATTCTTTGAAGCCATTCGTTTAGCTGTCAAAGTCAAACAGACTGTTACTGTTGCTAATAAGCCTTCAGGTACGTTGGCGACAATAATTCCAATCAAAAATATGACAGCATCCAACCAGTCATAACCGAGGAACATTGCAATAAAGAAGAAAGTGACACCCAAGAAAACAGCAACGCCAGTAATGATGTGAATGAAATGTTGAATTTCCTTGGCAATTGGAGTGTCGCCAGAGTCCAATCCCGAAGCCAATCCAGCGATACGACCCATTACTGTGCGATCACCACATGATACAACAACTCCCCTAGCAGTACCTTCAACAGCGTTTGTCGAGAAGAAGGCTAAATTTTTCGTTTCGAGTGGATTATCATTAGTAAGTTCAGGTCCACGTGATTGTGGTTCTGACTCGCCGGTTAGTGATGAATTATCGACCTTGATGAGAAGAAATTATTTTTTTTTTCAAAGTCATAAAAAGTGTTAATGTTTTGATGTTTTTAATTAACACTTTTAACTATTAAGTAAGTTTTTGATCGATGCTGATTAAAACATCAAAAAACTATTGAAAGTTAAATAAATACCTTAAAACTTCTTGCTTGAATAATTCTTAAATCTGCTGGAATACGATCTCCAAACTTGACTTCAACGATGTCACCAAGCACAAGTTCTTCAGCTCTTATTGTAAGTTTTTCTCCTTCTCGAACGGCAAGGGCAAACTGTGGCACCATATTCTTGAATGATTCCATAATTTTCGAACTTTTTGATTCCTTTTTGGTGATAAGACATTAAAAATTTTGTCAGTAACTTGATGTCAAATTTGCTTTCGATAACTTATTACCTGATAGTATGAAAATATTCCAGTGACAATAACGACACCAGAAAGTACGACTCCCAAATATAAATTGTCTTCAACTGGATCTTCTCCAGTACTTGCTTGAATTGTATAAGCAACAAAACATAAAACTGCACCTGTCCATAGAAGCATAGCAAAGCCACCGAAAAGTTGCTTACAGAACTTAATCCATTCTGGAGTTTGTTTGGGTGGTGTCAATGCGTTTGGCCCATCTCTAAGGAGAAATTCCTTTGCTTTAGCGTGTGATAAGCCCTGAGAAAGTCATTTTATTATTGAAAATGATTATTTAAAGAATAATTTTGATCTCACAGTATCCGGATTTGTTTGAAATCTTTTATATAATTGGTCATAAGAGATTTTATGAAAATCTACTTCTAATTCCTGCTTTAAGTCGTCTAAAGTTTCCTTCTTCTTAGGTGGCTTTTGTTTAGGAGCCATATTTAAGTTAAAACTCTATTCAATCACTATAAATACTTGAAAGTTCAAAATGAAGAACGAAAAGAAATCTTGAGATGATATTTAGATGGCGTACGCCGTCAAACTGCCAAAAAACTGCTATCAACAGAGATTTATAAGTATAAAAAGGTGAGTCAATTTTGACATCTTATTCATGTTAATTGTGTGTCTTAATTGTGGATAGATATGACGAAAGGTTAGCAATTAACACTAGACGGAGACAACATGTTGTCAAATAAATGCAGTTACTCAGTAACCACAGACATATCCAACATAAATAAACTTTCCGCAAGTATTTGGATAAATGTAATTTTACATGTGAAGTTTTGACTGGTGTTGTGATCTTGAAGGAAAAATTTTTTTTTGGCTTTTCAGTCAGTTATTATTATTTGTGCTTTTTTTATTTGAGCAACGTTTCGATGACTATTTTGCCATCCTCATCAGGCTTCTACCTTCTACAGGTAATTTTACATGTTTTTGATTTGGTATTTGATGGAGTAATTTATTGCAGTAAGAATTGACATAATCGTCTAACAAGTTGTATCAGAGTAATAAATGGAATTTTAGGGAAAATTAAATTCAAATGATCATCAATTTAAATGATTTGTTAAATAATCTAATAAAAGTTTAATACAAGAAATTTCCAATTGACAAGAATTGTTCAACTTCGTCTTACCATTCGTTTAATTGTCATTTCAACATTTGAATTATTCCTAAAAATAATTTTCAAGGTGAATTCTAAATTTAAAAATGTCTTGAAAAATATGTACTCCAATATCTTCTATACGTATCTACATATTTATCAGATATCTGTTTGATTTAAAAAGGTAAATAAATGTTTGGGAAATTCCTTCACTCTGTTCTTAACTTGCAGGCTTGAAAAAATATTTTAAAAACAGGTTTTGTATAGTTAAAGCTAAACTTTTATAACAATGCCATTTAAGTGTTAGCTTAGGTCACAAAGGTTAAACAAATATCCAAATTTATTATCATTTTAGAGAAATTCAACTTTTAACTTTCCCACTGCATAATCATAACCGAACCGAGAAATATGTGATGAGCATAATTTATTGCTTTTAAATGTTTTTGGATTTCGACTGGATTTAATGATTGTAAGATGAAAGCGGCTATCAGTCGTGTAAATGAAATTCAACTTGTTTTTTCGTTCAATGCAACATGTTTCGATTCTTTATTTGAATCCTTTTCAAGCAACTGTGGATAATAAATACATTAATTATATCTAGTGTAACAAATTAATAAAAGAATCTAACTTACTAACAACAAAGTTTCGTCCGGTTAACATAAAATATTTTTACATTTGTTGTTGTGTAAATGTCGCAGTTTGAGAGGCTAACATCGAATAAAAATTACATTTTAAAACAAATTGCAACAGAATAGCATACATTATAATACCTAATATTATCAATTTTATCACAGAATCTAACTTAAATCAACTTTTCCTTATTTAATTAAATGTAAACAAACTTAATTTGCAAAAACTTTTTAAGAAATCCTCGTGTCCGTTCAGAAATACTAAAGGAGGTTCAAAAAATTTTTATAACTGAATACTTTTTCCAACTTTAACTAGA